ACAGAGGTATAAATATAAGGCCTACTCTGCCTGGGGACTGTCTCTTCAGACTTGGTCTCTTAGGATCATCCACAGGTACCTATACTGTAGATAGGTCTTAGTCATCAGGTCTATTCCACTTCCTTGTTGCCTGCTTAGACTCTTGGCACTCTTAGGTGAGCAGACTTAGTCAGCCTGTGTTGCCCTAACATATGTACCTGAATGTTTGAATTCATCCTTTGAAACCTGACCAAGTAATAGACCATGAGTGTCAGCTGCTGACATACATACACAACAAGTATCATTCCATTTGTGATAGCTATCTGTTTTATTTGACAGCTTGAAGAAGTGGAGATGAGGAGTGCTCATTACAGGGGGGGATTAAGGGCATATCAAGATCAGAAGGCATTAGCAACATGAGAAAGACCATGGCACAACTAGCCTCCTGCACTATACACAACACCGGAACACACTTGATAAGTTTGCTCCCCAAAATCCGCAACCATGTTCACAATCATCTCTCCATGAATCTCTCCTAACTCCTCAGCTGCCTTGTTATATGCCTGAAGATTGGCACACATTTTCAACAATGCCTCCCATTCTTCATGGCTGAGATACTTGCCAAGCCACAGGACACTGGAGGACAGAGAGTTGGAGATGTAGTGGTCAGCAGAGCTTGCAGCCTTTGTTCCATATGAGGCAACTGTGCCTGGAGAGTTGGAGATGTAGTGGTTGATAGAGCTCACAGCCTTCACATCATGTGAGGCAACTGCGCCCAGAGAGTTGGAGATGTAGTGGTTGACAGAGCTTGCAGCCTTCACATTGTGCAAGGCAACTGCATCTGAAGAGTTGGAGATGTATGTTAAGTTCATCACACTGTTGTTGCTTCTGGCAATCATGTTGTTGATACTAGAACAATGTCAGGATCACAGCAAATGTTGACGATGACCTACTCACAGAGTCTCCGTTGTGAGGAGAGGATAATAATATGTTGTGAGTCTGGTCAAGTATGAGGTTGTTATGATGAGAGATGGAGACAGGAGGCTGCAGTAGCTGGTATTAAAAAAGCATCCGCATCCTGTGCTGGTGTGATTTGGGTCCGTGTCATGACCGGAAACATGTGTTGTCTGGTGTGACATTCCATTATACCAGGACAATCATGATGGACAAAGGACCCTGTTGAATTTAATTTTGTCTGGAGTTGCACTTTTCTTGCAGATGGTTGTGGGAAAGTGCAATCAACTGTGAATGAAATGATTTGGACTTTAAGGGGTCTGATCTTTCACATCAAGTAGAAGCAATAGTCAAGAATCCCAGTCAGCAAGCACCAAGGGGTGACAACAAATGAATCGACTCAATGTTCATGGAGTAAGGGACAAAACAAGCCTGTCTCTCCTTGAGAGCAGAGGTGAGTGGACTGACTAGCTCCATCAACCACTACATCTCCAACTCTAATAAAAAGCGAGATGAGCGGTCTGGCTGAGCTACACCCACTACTGCGTCTCCAACTCTCCTCAAGATCAAAGATGAGTGGTCCGGAGAGCTCTGCTGACCACTACATCTCCAACTCTCATAGAGAGCGAGATAAGCGGGCAGGCGAGACTTGCCTGCCAATAATATCCTTCATCATTCACAGATGACGAAGCACCATACCCTGAGGTGCGCTATTGGCATGCAAGATATTGAAAGACCTCCTGATGCTAAATTCTTGTTGATGAAGAATTATATTCTTATTATCAATAGAATCCTTTGTTAAGCCTTTAAAGAACGGTGGGCCACGAGAGAACGGGAAAGCCAAACACATATACGGGGTGGACCGTGCAAGAACCCCTAAGTGCATTGCCCCCGGATTAGCACATGCCAGCATTGCAACTTTCTCTTTACCACCACTACAATATACCAACCAGTATGTATCCTCCTTTTTATATGAATTATTTCACTAATCCTTCACCCAGAACATCCAGTAAGCATAGCAAGATATGTCTGCATCATCGGGAAGTGCTGGTGGTGCAGGAACGACGTCTGGAGGAGAGAGAGCGAGTCCCCTGCCGCCGGTGGGGTTGTTGGCTCATTTGATGTGCAGTATGAAGGACGCCGGTCCTGTGGAGAGGGCGATGATCAGGGAGATTATGCAGGAAGAGCTGATGGTGGAAGGGGCGAACTTTGATCTTGTGGTGTGTACATCGGATCGTCTGGAGGCGCATATAGCCTGCTAACTCGTGGTCAGGCGATGCAGGGGCAGTATACGTACAACCCCGTGCCCGAAATGACGACGAACAATGCCAACGGGAATGCGTGAACGACTACCGGTGCTAGCAAGAATACTGAGCTGTCGAACAGCATCCTGTTCGACTATGAAGACGAAGTATACAGGTGTCAGCGCGAGATCCGTGCCCAGGCTGACGGCAAGCGCTGTTGCGAGTCCACGCCCAAGATCTGCATCGGAGTTGGCAATATCGGCTGCATGGTATTGACTTCTGTTTGGATAAAATGGGCTACTGTGTCGGTTGCGGGCGTGGCGCCTGCAGGATGATGGGGCAACAGTTCACATTGAAGTCCTGCGGGTATACGACTGGTGGGTGGATCTGCTTGATCCTGGTGTTCGCAACCGTGGTAATCGGCCTCATCTGTGAGTACCTCTTCTCTTTCAGGTAATATGTAGTGGTCGACGAGCTCCGCCAACCACTACATCTCCAACTCTCAGCCCTTACATCTGAACTCATACTGACACTTCCTTGCAGATTACGCTCGTTCCGGTGGTGTTGGCAAGTGGGCTCATGAAGCCATGGACGCAGCCTTCCCCACCGGCACTGGTGCAGCGGGCGCTGGGAGTGCTGTCTCCAGCAGCACCTCCAGCAACCGGACGACCCACAATTAGGTGCCCAATGTCTCAGGCTAGACCGTTTCTCTCTGTCAGATTGTTGTATCGCGTCCAAGAACTTGATGAATCCACATTTACGATGTAGGATGCAGACAAGCAATTTGAATGTGCTTGTAAGTCAATTTCGCCGTAAGTTGTTTACATCTCTGCGCTCATAGAGAGTTGGAGATGAGCAAAGCTCGCCAGATCGCTCATCTTGCTGTCGATGAGAGTTGGAGATGTAGTGGTCAGCGGAGCTCGTGAGTCTCCGCCCTCAGTCAGAGATAGAGATGTGATGAGCGGGTTTGTTAATGTGTTGATTGAGGTATTGTGTATTAAGAGCATTCAATAATAATAATAATGATACTCACATAACATGTGATACACCCAGAAGTCACGGGACGTGCATGGTAATATTATAAAACTTGTGAATTATCAGATTTCTCCCCTCATCAATTCCTGCTCTTCGATCGCATGAGTAACTGGTGATATTCAACTGGCTAGCCACGGGGCCCGATATCAGCACTTTTACGGCTACTTCGCATAAGGTAAACAGGAGGAGGAAGACCCTGTACGGCTTGCACCGCAACCCTGAAGTTTTCCACAGCCTGCCGATTTGGCGGTGTATGCAGCGAGAGTCCGAGCAGTCAAGTACCCACTCTACGGTAATGCCCACCACCTCATGCCACGATGTACGACACTCAGACAGGCGCTCACAGTAGTTTCCACTTCGAGGTGTACTCGATGATGAAATGTATTGTCCGCCCAAAGAAATCTATGAATGCCAATATTATATGACCCTCTTGATCTCAAAGAAGGACTACAATCGAGGGAATGTCAGTTACAGTGGGCAAGTCATGCGATCCGCTCACCTTGAGGTAATAGATTTGGAACCCGCAGATAAGGAAAAGCATAATAGTCTGTGCAACGGACCACCATTTTACGCGTGTATTCTGAGATAGTGTTCGGTTAAGTGCTCACAGCGTTGAAAATGAAAGAAACGAACGGTAGACTCTGCGGTATTCCTGTGCACGCGCTCTCGGATTACGATGTATTCCTGCTCATCCTTGACACCCTGCAATCCAGATGCCAGATCCCGAATCTCCTTCTCGATTGGTGCCATCGTCCCATCGTCGGCAATGTAAATCACGCCGTGTACATTGAAGCTACCGTTCACATATCAGCATGTGAAACGAAATGAAGAACGCATAGACATACCTGATAAGCTTGTCTGACATACTGCTCATCTCGTTAGAGAAGCAGTAGGTGTAGCGTCCGTCCTTCTGGGCAGTCGTTTTTGCCGTTCCTGTTGATTGCTTATGATGCTTGCTAATGGGGATATTGTCCGGATCGGCAAGCTAACGAAGCGGTCAGCGATGCTGGTCCTATGGGCCATCTTGGGCAACGCACCCAGAAATCGATGTCCAGAGACCCGCCTTGGCCGACTTGGTAAGTCACAGTCATCTGTAGCATTACGTCAGTATACACTTGGTACTGCTCATATAGCGATACGCACTTGATCCTGAACGTGCAGATCCTCAAAGAAACATGCCTTGGTTGAGGCTGGTATATCGATCATGTGCGCTCGTGACAATTGAAGCAAACATAGCAGGAAAAGCGATAATGGTAGCTGCATGTTGAGATGTATTTTGAGAACAACACAGGTAGTTCTGTTTTAGTTAATCGTGCTTGGCCACCCGTGGTGACCTACGCTCGTCACTGGTGAGAGAAGCCAAACGTGTCACGCTGCAGACACCCGAAGGAAGGGGCACAGCCACTAGAAGCCTCGACTCGGAAGTAAATGAGCTTAGTTTAGCTTTCCTGTTTGGGTGACGTTGAGAGCAGTACGAATATAGTCTCCATCATCGTTGAAAGTGAGAAGTTTGATGGATAGAAAGAGAAAAGCAACATCATATTGTCGTGGATTCGACTTTCACCTCCTCCATCACTGGCATGGGTGCTACGTTCGCCGAATATTCGGGGGTGGGAATTCGGGACTTCGTGGTGGTACTGCCCAGTGCCCAGTCTGCTGTGTCCTTTAATTCGGCTGTCGACCAGGGTTCATCTACAGCCCTATCATATTTTCTTTCGAGTCGGTTAAGCATCTTGTCCCAAATTCAGCTTTCACCTAGTGGGTGCTCCATTGTGTGTGATTGGCATTGCAGTGGCTTGCACCCTCAGGGTGTGAGTGGGTACATGGACATAAAGAGAGCATTGCCATTAAAGGTCAAGATCAAGATACTGCGGGCTGATTGGCTCTGGTGTATAGAAATGACTAGAAAGTCTGGCCGTTAACTCATCGATACAATTTTAGTTGTGATGGGGTATGAGTCTGGCCTTTCACATACAAAACGCGTCACCGCACGCGGTGATGGTGCGGAGGAAGGCAGGTGCGGGATCAAGTTTTGGGGAATGCGCCTACATACCGCGCGCTCCGGCCCTTCAATCCTCCACACCTCTGTTGTCTACCACCACCACCGTCATCGTATATCTCTTCAGTTTCTTCATTTTTAGTCATGTCTGAGAACGTTCTGGATGCTGCAACTCAGGTATGTATATTCTCTAATCTCTATAGGAGGAGTCACGCGTATCGTCGGAGAGTTTGTTGATGAACGTGTTACCCTCCCAATCGTCGCCCTCCAAATTGCCCTTTTTGGTAACTATGTCTGACTCGGGTGTATTCATAGGGAGAGGGCGAGCACGACCCTCACTTCGAGCCAGTTATGAAGCTCACCGAGAAGGTGGACACGAAGACGAATGAGGAGAACGAGGATGTCGTTCTGAAACTGTGCGTACAGGATGACTCGCCACAGACCACTTCCGATACTGAAACCGGCAATCCAGGCGTGCTAAGCTCTTTCGCTTTGAGGCTTCCAGTTCTGAGTGGAAGGAGCGCGGTACTGGCGACGTCAAGCTACTCCAGGATCGTACCACGCAGAAGATTCGTCTCGTCATGAGGAGAGATAAGACGTTCAAGGTCTGCGCCAACCACGCGAGTACGTCTTCGATCTATCCCATATTGTCGTTTCCGTTATTTACTCAATCTATCCAGTCACATCTGAGATCAAGCTTCAGCCGAACGTTGGCTCTGACCGCAGCTGGGTATATAAAGTGCAGGCTGACGTGTCCGAGGGTGCCCCAACCGCCGAGACGCTGGCAATCCGCTTTGCGAACAAAGACAGTGCGTCCCGTCCCCAGTTGTTATATAAATATTTCTCATTTTGTTGCACAGACGCTGAGACTTTCAAGACAAAGTTCCAGGAAGCTCAGGCCAGCAACGCAGCCATCGTTGTTGCTCCCGCCCCAGAAGCACCTGCCGCCGTCCCGGAGCCCACGCCGGAGGCAGCCCCAGCTGAAGAGGCAGCTCCTGCTGCTGAAGCCGAGGCTCCCGCCGCCGAGGAGACTGCCGTTGAGCCTGCGGCTGAGGAACCGATGCACGAGGAGGCTGTTGTCGAGAAGGCTCACGCTGAGGAGACGAAGGCTGAAGAGGCCGCAGCAGCGGAGGAATCCAAGGTTAAGGAAGAACTTGCCAAGGTTGAAGAGACCCAGCACGAGGAGGCGAAAGAGGAGCCTGCTGAGGAGGTCAAGGTGGAGGAGCCTGCCGCAGAGGAGCCGAAGCCTGAAGAGCCGACCGAGGAGGCGAAGCCCGAAGAGACCGCTGCTGCTGAGGAGCACGCCGACGAGTAAAGTGATGGAGCTGTTTCTTTAGTCATTGCCTAGGTGCAGGAACTTAAGCTCTGGGTACATCTTATATCAGCTGTTCCGCGTTCAGTGGACACCCATTCCTTCCATGATGATGTACCTTACGTCACTTCCATGCTGAAATCAGATTTTACCTCGTATTTGATGAGCCCCGGTCTGCAGTCAGATATGGCGATCAATGATGGCATTACCAACGCAAAAAAAAACCATACCAGCCACGACGGAGAGGACTGGTGTTCATTTTGGCGGTGAGTTACGTAAGGCACCGAAGCATTCCCGGAGCCGACATAAATCCGGACCGCCAGTGAGTCTTTTGTCTGTTCGTGTAAGCAGAGACGGCAGCTCTTTCCTCTTGTAACTTCACTATGCCTAGAGATCGTTCGGTCGACCGATATCGCGATCGCGACAGATATGATCGTCATGAGCGCTACGACCGCGACGACGGTGCGAGAAAGCGGCGGTCACCCGACTATGACGTTGAGGACAAGGACAGGAAACGCCGGCGACGCAGCACAGAGAGAGACGAGAGAGGTCAGAAAAAGGAGGACGAGAGACGATACAGGAGGGGAAACGAGGGTGAGGATGGCGACAAGAAGTAAGTTGGGCCGATATTGCTTTGCTTTGTGCTATCTGACACCTCTGCAGACGGAAACGCGATAAATCACCATCAGAACGGAAGTCCAAATCTTTAAAACATCGAGACGCGGATGACGATGCGGCACGAAAGCGTGCAGAGGAACTCAGCGCATACGGCTCGATGGACAATCCCTTCAACGACGTGAACCTGGGCGAGAAGTTCAAGTGGATCAAGAAGGCTGAAAAGGAAAAGAAGATGGGAATAAGTGCAAGTGAAGCTGCTCATCGGGACGCCGTGAGACGACAGGAAGCACAGGAGGAGTTGGAGAGGTTGAACAAGCGACGAGCAGAGCGAGAGGCAGAGCAGCGGTTGAGGGAGGAAGAGGAAGTCCGCATGCAGCGGCTTACGGAGAGCGCGCAGATGGAGGAGTGGATTGCGAAAGAAGGAGATTTTCAGCTGGAGCAGGAGAGGAAACGTGCGGGTATTCGATTGAAGGAGAAGCGAGCAAAGGCCATCGACTTCCTGGCACTTAACTTGAGATACGGTGGAGGTGACCAGGGTGAAGACGACGAATTCGACTTGGATGAAGCTGGAGTCGAGATCGATTTCGACGAGCCATACAAAATATTTGAAGTACGTGTATTGCCCTTGATCATCCGCGAAGATACTGATGTTCATCTCAGAACTTGACGTTTGAGCAAACGGAAGAACTGCACGACGATATACTCAAATATCTCAGCCTTGAGAAGAATGACTTGAATATTGAATATTGGACTGTGTGTGAACCTATTACTCCGTAACGGCCTTTTATTGAATGTACTGTTAGAATCTGGTGGTAATCTGCAAAGACCAGCTTGGTCGCATGCAGCGCGGACGGGATCCGAACCGAGCGGTTGGAAAAATTGTCGAGTCGGACATTGCCGCGCTCCTATCCGGTAAATCGTACGAGCAATTGACTCAGCTGCAACGCCAAATACAGAGCAAGTTGTCGAGCGGCGAACCTATAGACACGGATTACTGGGAGGGGTTGTTGGAGAGTTTGTTGGTTTGGAAAGCGAAGGCAAAGCTTCGCGATATTCACGCCGTTGTGGTAAAAAACCGTCTTGAAGAACTTCGCAAGCGGCAACGCGACGAAGCTGTACGAGCTCAAAAAGAACTCTTGGCCGATGTCAAGACGGAGAAGGAAGGAAGGGGTGATATGCGGGCGGAAGTTGCTGACGCACGGCACACTGCAAGGGAGGTTGAGGCGGTAGAGGAAGAGGAAGAGAAGCGCGAGCCTTATGAGAGGGCAATGAGCCCAAGCTTGATTGATCCCAATCGGTTGAAGTACGAAGACAGGCAGATTCCTATTATGAGTGAAGAAGAAGACAAGCAACGATTGGTAGGCTTTTTTATGCCACCCGTTTTCTCAGTCTTACTTTTGTCATCCAGTTCGCCAAACGCCATGCTGTGACACAGTCACAATTTATTGCTAAAGCACCTCGTCCAGTCGCACCAGCACCTGCGAGAGCGCAAGCCAGCACGGCGGATATTGAGTCCGAGGCTCTCTATCGAGAAGCGGCATCGAAAGAGCTAGACGAGGAGGAAGAGGAGTTTAACTGGGAGGAAATTATCGCCCTACCGAGCACATACTCCTGGGAGGACAAATATCGACCTCGCAAGCCCAGGTTCTTCAACCGCGTACATACCGGCTACGAGTGGAACAAGTATAACCAGACACATTACGAGTACGTCCATATTCATTTGTCGGGTATTGCGCTGACATAGATCCAGCGTTGACAACCCGCCGCCTAAGGTCGTCCAAGGGTACAAGTTCAACATCTTTTACCCAGACCTAATCGAGAAGTCCAAAGCGCCGACTTACAAGATCGTCAAAGACCCCAAGGACGAGGAAACAGTGCTGCTCGTTTTCCAAGCCGGGCCGCCGTACGAGGACATCGCCTTCCGCATCGTGAACCGTGAGTGGGAATACTCGCACAAACGAGGTTTCCGGAGCAGTTTCGACCGAGGATGTCTCTCGCTCTGGTTCAGCTTCCGGCGGAATGTGCGTCTTACACAAATTGCTCGTGCCTTGTCCACCTACTGACATACATAATAGTTCTATCGGAAGTAGGGCCACAGAACTAACACTACGAGAGAAATACAAAGAGAACGAAATGGAGAGCGACACTACTACGTTCATATGAGCCAGTCAGGCGAGGCATTTTTGTATACCTATTATTACATCCAAGAGAATCCCATACAAAAACGCCATTCTTTTCGACCAATTCAGAAAGGTTACTGCAAGCCTTGAAGGACGTCCATATTCCCGCCGAGGACGTCATACCCACTTGGGAAATGCGCATCAAACACATTCTCGATGAGAGTATCGTTCCAGAACGAATCCGAGACGTTCGTTGGACCGAGCATATCCATGATCGTGAACTGGGGCTCGCCGAGCACCTGAGCAGCCCAACGGTAGTCCGGCACATTGGGTGTGAGAGGGGGGAAGTCCATTGGTGGTGGGGGAACATGATCCGGTGGGAGGATGGTGCCATTCGTAACGTGTGTGTGGGGTTGGGGCTGGCTGTGGTTGTCAGGTGTAATGACCTGCGCCGATGGAGCAGAACTGTCGTCTCCCGGCGAAGCAGATGCTGAGGAATCCGTATCCACCGGACTGGGCTTGCGCGGGATATGGATCGATGTACCATAGAAGGGGAGATTGAGCGTATCTCCGTCTACGGCGCCTGGTGGCGGGGGCAGGTTGCGGGCGGCCATACACCGAGTACGGAGGATATCGAGCCCTTTTACACCTTCGAGCGCGACGACGTTTTCGCTGCCCATGTTAAGCAGCAGGTCGCGTGCCATCTCGACCCATTTGTCGAGGTCATCCGCTTGCGGATCGGTCGGATTCTGGAGAATCGCCGCACAGAGAGTGGCTACGCATGCCAGGATGAGCATATACCCGTGTTGAAAGGTGGCACTCACCAGCAGGCTCAAACGTTCTGAAAGCAAGCATAAACCACCTGAGCTGGGCCTTGCTTATTGTGCTCTGGAGGAGATGCTGCGCCGAGAGGAGTTTCTTACAATTGAGGATACAAGCCGCACGGGAAGTCTTGAAGAACTCGGCTGTGCGCACTGCGTTCGTCTCGTCATCCATCTCCATGTCTTCATCCGGAGGGTTGCGGAGGAGGAACGGGCGCTGCAACGTAATCCCGTACGTCAGTTGTGGGCTCACGAGGTGGAAAGGGAAGGCTTACGTGAAGGGCAATCCGGGTCGACTGCAAGTTCATCATCATCATTTGACTCTGATACGCCAAATACGGGCGTTCCAAAGCATCCGCCGCGCTCTGGCTTCTGAAGTAGCTCGGCAAATTACGCTCAAACTCGTGCAGCGCGCTATCGAGTTCGAGGACGGTACGATATGTTGGTGGCCGAACACCGAAGCACTCGTCCGCAATCCGACCAACGATCTTGCTGTAGTGGATGCTGAGGATCTGGTACGAGTAGTGCGTGGGGACACTGAGCGGCTGGTCCTCCAACTTGTCCGCATCGGTGAGCTCGTCGTCGTCCACGTTCAGGGGGATGCGCACGTCGCAGTGCTTGGACACGTCAGCACGCGTACTTTTTGATAAGGCAGGACGGACCTGGTCATGGATCACATATGGTCTTCCGAGCGTCATATTCTGGCACCGGTCATACGAGTACAACGCCCACCACATCCGCCGCCTTAGCTCCGCTTCAAGAGGTCTCATGCCCCACTTGCCTTCTCCATCCCTATGCATCCCCATGCTTTGTGCGATACGGATAGCAGCACCAATGATACTATAATTGTCTGTCGCACTGCCCTCGTTCTTGCTGTAGACGGCGACGAGGAGCATGGTCTGCAGGCGCTCGAGAGTGGGGTTCTGCTCGTGCTCTGAAGTAGCCAGTGTCATCCGGGAGAAGTTAAACAGCTTAGCCCGCAGCTGCTCTCGATCCGTGCCCAGCTCGGGAGGGACATCCACCTGCAGAACACGGGGGATCAGCCTCACAGCATTCGGCAAAACAAGAACATACCATGAAATCGGCCATTTCCGAATCCAATAGGAACTGCAGTGCGCTCGCACACATGACCGCAAGCAAAGCAACAAAATCGAGGTTCTCCGACTCCTCCTTATTCCAGAAGAGCACGTAATTCCGCTCAAATGTCGGACGATGTACGGTATCATACAACCAGTTGAGCGTCGAGTTCCCGAAGAAGTGGTTCACAAGGTAGTCCGTGACGTGTCTGGGTGGGAACTGAGGTCGCATATCCGGTCGAGCGGCATGCTCCATCTCCCCGGGTTTGGGGAGAGGTACATACACCGAGCCCACATGGGGCTCGTTCGCTTGTTGGGGAAACCCGATTTTGTTCAGGAAATCGGCGACCGTACCGGGACCGAGATAGCTCGTGTTGACCACTCCTCCGGCAGCGGCAACAGTGCTTGCTGCTGTGGGCGGGTGTCCGTTGACGGGAGATGTGCTTGCACTCCCATTTGCGCCTGGAAGTGGGTAGGGGCCGAGAGTATCGCGCTTTCCCTTTCTGCGCCCTTTGACACCTCCGGAAGGCACAGGTGCTGACGCCTGATTCTCCATCACGCACTTGTCTGCCATCCCCCGCTTGACGCAGCGTGAACAAGGGTTGCCCCGATCACATTGCTGCTTGCGTCTATGACATTCTTTGCAGGAGAGAGTGACCCTGTTGCGTCTCTTCTTTGAAGGGCTTGGAGGTGTGGGTACGCCTGTTGCACGAGGTGCGGGAGGTGCTGGTGGTGGACCGGGATGCGATGGGGGCCCGTTACCATTGACGGAAGGAGGGGGAGGAGGAGGAGGAGGACCAGGAGGAGGGATAGGTGACGCGCCTGTACTTGTCACTGGCGTTTCTTGTTGAGGGAGCGTGGTGAGGGAGGCAACGATGGCCGACATCGGCGTTTAGAGCAGTAGGTGAAGAGTGTGAAGAAGTGAAGAGCGGAAATTGCCGCCGTTTAGTGTATCGCCGTTAAGAAGAGATGGGAGGAAGGGGGGAGAGTGATAGCACCGACACAGAGAGAGAGAGTACTTCACTCACTCTGTACTAGTGGGATAAGTAATGTGTTAAAGCCCTCCCCTTCCCTCATCCCCTGCAACGCCCGCTCATTGGTCAACATCACACCGCTCTCACATAAGCACATCTGATCCCGTTCCCACGTGGACACTCCCTGCCACCCTCGGCCGGGCAAACGCCGACACCGTCATCGCCGAGTGTGGCACTCCTTCAATAAAAGAACAAAGAACAATTCTTTCCCTTCTCCTAATTCCTAATCACAGCATTCTGACTATGGAACCAATCACACCTCTCGCTCACATCATAGTCCCTCACCACGCCAATCTCCGTGAAATTCACATCCATCGCGTTCCATCCCAACCCCGTGCTCTGATCCGACCACACAGGCCAATACGGCTTGTCCAGCCCAGAGTAGCTCACCGCGTTCGGGTCCAGGTGAGTTGTGAAACTCACCATCCAGTCTTTCATATATGCCCCAATGGTATCGTTCGCCATGTATGTCCCGTCGTTGTTCTCGAAATACAGGTACGGGCTCGTGGCGCCGTGCACCTCACTCCCAGCGTAGAACAGCACCTTGTACACCGGCAGCCCCGCGTCCGAGACGGCAGAAGAGAGCCAGTACGTAGGACATTCGACTACTGCGTCACCGAACAACTGCGCACGGTGGTAGAACGTACTGTTGAATGCGCTTGTAGGGTACAGCTCGTACAGCCGGCGGTAGAACGACGGTGTCGCCGAGGGCCAGATAAGTGCAAGATCTGCCAGTTCCTCCGCGGTTCCGTTTAGCGACGAATTGGAGAAGGGAACGCCTAGGTAAAACAACAATCTTAAGCGTAATCCTCTGCGCAAGGGGAGCACGTACCTTCATACCCATCCCGGTCAACCAGTACCGGCACTTTGGCGAAATGACCATTCTTGAACTCGTTACTAGGCAAGTCTCTGATGATCTCCCCATCTACAGCAGGTCCAAACCAGTAATCGCCATATCTTTCCCTCCACATTAGTTTTTTAAAGCGACAAACAGTTGAGCAACATACCCATACCCATCCGCCTGCTTGTACGCGGTTAGGAACATAGACTGGGTCGCGATGGCCAAGGTTGTCTCGTCCAGTCCTCGCAGGCAAGCTAGGTCAGTGCACTCTGTTGCGCTCAACAAATATCTGTACTGTGTCGCCAGCACCGAGTTGTTCTTGAATGACTGCCACCAGGGATACTCTCCACGAGCAACTCAGCCTCGTCTCAACTCCACAAAGGTTTTCAACTTACGGGTGATTACAGCTCTGAACGGCGGACTCGCAACACCTCCGTACATGATCATTTGGGTCATAACCGCCCCTCCTCCAGCGGACCCACCAAGAATAGTGATCTTAGCTGGGTCACCTCCGAAGTCCAAAGCGTGCCTTTGAATCCATCCGAACGCAGCGCGCTGATCGAGCAGGCCAGCATTGGCAGTGCCGTCTAGCTGAACCTCAGGGCTGCTGAGGAATCCGTATACTCCTAGACGGTACTGGATCGATATCCAGATGAAGGCGCCCTTACTTTGGGTAATCATAACATCACCTGTGCCTTGATAGGAATAACCCTACGTTCAACCAGTCAGGGAGCGCGAACCCGTCCCGAGATGGAAGACGCACCTCAGTGTACCCACCACCATGGACGAAGACCATGATCGGAAGAAGGGCAGAGGGCGGATGCGCAGGTGCTTGGATATTCAACAGCAGACAATCTTCCGCACCTGCAGGGAGAGCACTAATGTCCCCCGTGGTGGACCAGACGGGCACACCTTGGAGACATGTAGGCCTACGCATGGTGAGTCATGTCCGACGAGAGATGGTGAAGTACGCACCCGTAGGTCGTCGCGTTGATCACGCCCTGGCTGGAGTAGTTGTTGTTAAGCTCGATGTCGATAGGCGGCTGCCATCTCAAGCTCCCACTCAGATTTTGGGCAAAGTAGATACTGTTGAAATTGTTGATGCTGCAACGCTTCTGTCAGCCATGTAGTCCCAAGAACGAAACTAGCTGGACGTACTCGTCGCTCGCATTATACCAACCGAGGTACTTTGCATACCCCAGATCGAGCAGTGGACCTTTCGGGGTAGAAGAGATCAACGCCGCAACGCGCGTGAAGGCTAGCGGGAGATATGCTAGCAACAGGGCCTGAACTCTCATTCTTGCGGATGCCGGGACTGCTCGCACTGCTAAAACCTAGAGAGTAGACATGTTCGTCACTTTATGCGCCAGGCACGGGCCGGCCCTCCATCATTTGCTCTTTGAGCTGCCAGCAGGTGAACATCCCCCTTTAGATACCGTCCAGACAAGATACGGGAGAAGTATCGTGTCCGACCAAATGAATCTCCAGCGGATGCTACACCGGTCATGCGCCAGCTCAACAAGAAGAGAAGACAGACAGCACGGAGAATATCGAAGACTCTACCAAGAAGAAGGTGTAGAGAAGAACATTCAGGGCACCGTTTTGGCAGACAACATCCCGAAAAAGGTCCGAGATGAACAGAGCACATTGGTCGAACTTGGACTAACAGGCACGTTCTGCAGAACCGATCACTCTTGGGGAAATCACTGCGGATCTCACTTGACCGTCGAGGGCAGGGAAGTCATGAAGTCAACAGCCATGAAGCCGATATGCACATTTGAGCTTCTTGTTTCCAGTCGAACAGCAGTTGGGTGTACTAGCACAAGGTCGATGCTGACGGCGATGTGTCATCTGCGCGCAACCCCGGGTATGGGAACTCAATCGGGAAGTGGCGGTGAGTCTCCTTCCCCAAGGAGATTGTGGAGAAGCACGATTCACAACGCGGGGGAATGCCTTCGACATTCAAGTGAGCAGTAAACTATCGGAGCAAAGCCGTCCTTGATCGTGATTCCATGTGCAACTCGCAGGTGTACGATGCCGGCCCGTGAGATTCGGGCGTTCGTGAGTCGGACATTGGAGACAGAAGCAGCTTCTCACATATCGGCGTGGACAAATTCCCAAAATAACTAGCGCGTATCGATTTCATAACAATGAATGCAATGGAAAATCTCATACGCACACCTCTTGAGCATTTGACTAGTTCCGCACAACATAAGACTGGGAATGGAAGAAGTCGCATGCTGCATTCCTGTCGAAGTCGGTCACAACTCCCATCTGAGTATAATTGACATTCATCGCCAAGAAACCAGCGCCGTCGTTGTAAGCGGACCAGTATGGTTTCGGGGTTTCGGAGAACGAGACTTCATTCGGGTTCATGCATGTCGTGAAAGACAGATACCAGTCTTTCATTATCGTGCCCAAAGTGTCATTTCCAGCAGGGGTACCTATACAACATTAGTGACGAAAGGCTTTCACACATCTTATGCATCGCACCGTCGCTGTTATTCGCATACAAGTATGGGCCTGTAGCTGCATGCAACTCGGTGCCAGCATAGAAAAGTAGCTTGTAAGCGGGAAGACCCGCGTCAGCCACGGCACTCGCCATGTAATAGGCAGGACAGTCAATAATAAAATCGCCAAACCACTGAGCGCGATGGTAAAAGGTCGAATTGTACGCGCTCAGCGGGTATAATTCGTAGAGTCGGTTGATGAAGGATTGTCCAGCGTAAGGGAACAAATTGAGCATGTCTTCAAGTTCCTCCTCCATGGTCGTGACACTTAGGTTGGAGAAAATGACACCTTGCGTGGACATTAGTTAGTTCATTGAATGGGTGCTGCCTGATTGTCTCACCTTCATAACCATCTCGGTTGACAAGGAGCGGTACTTTAGTAAAATGTCCCTGCTTGAACTCATTCGATGGAAGGTCACGAATGATTTCTCCGTCAACGGCGGCTGCACATCGCAATCAATTCGAGGTTGATTTAGTCAAATGAAGCAACCTACGTCCGAAGTAGAAGTCACCGTAACCATAGGACCCTGCTGCATATGCCTGGACATAGACTTCCTGAGACGCGGTAGCCAAAGAAGTCTCGTCCAATGCACGAAGGCAAGCTAGATCGCTGCAACCCGTGGCCGTCAGAAGCTGTCGATATTGCGTTTCAAGGGCAGAGTCGTTTTTGTAAGGCTGCCACCAGGGATACTCTGCTATGCTTTGAGAGATTGTTTAGTGTCGACCTCTCGAAGGACTCACCGGCAATCGCGGCACGGAAGGGAGGGCTTGTGACACCGCCATACAAGATCATCTGATTCATAACAGAACCCCCTCCAGCGCTCCCACCAATAATTGTAATCTGGCTTGGATCGCCGCCAAAGTATCGGGCATAACGCTGGGTCCATTGCATAGCAGCACGTTGATCGAGAAGGCCTGCCAGCAGATCCATGTGAGCAAGTGCGAAGTAAGATCCGCGTGGAGGCAACTTGATAACACTCACCCGCGTTAGCGACACCGTTTTGCCTGATCTCATAGCTTGACAAGAACCCGTACGCGGAAAGACGATATTGGATGGCGACGTAAACGATATTGCCCTTCGATTGCATGATCAGGGCATCGCCAGGAGATGTGTCGCCATTTCCTAGGGTATACCCTGTCCTCAATGTCAGTCGTGCAATAATAGATCAAGCAAGGGGGGAAGCATCCAACCTCCACCGTGAATTTGCAGAAGAGTCGGCAGGGTATCGTGGGCTGGATTGGCCGGCACCTGCACATTGAGAAGCAAACAATCTTCTGACCCAGCAGGCGGCAAAGTATAGTTCCCAGCCCAGAATGGTACCCCCTGCGTGCATTCGGGGCTGCAACAACGCATAAGATTAGAGACCCCAGACAATCAAGATATACTACCCATAAGCGCCGGCGTAGAGCGCACCTTGCGACGCGTAGTTGTTATTGAGCTCAATATCTTGAGGGGGTTGCCAGCGTAGCTCCCCAACAGGAGGCTGCGCGTACCGGATGCCATACCACGAATTCACGCTGAACCCCCTTCAGTTAAGCAACCAGATCAAGGACACAACATACCCTGTAGAGGCATTGTAGATTCCTTCGTAGGTCGCATAGGGCAATGTGAGCAGAGGACCACCCCAAGCGCCAACAAACGAAGGAGTGAGCGTCACCGTTATGGCCAACAAAGACAAGGCACGGGTCATGATACAATCTCAGACGGGGTGATAGAGGAAGAGGTGTCCCAACATAACAGAGGGGTCAACAGGTGCGGATTGCGCCAGGTTCATATACGTTTTCGTGGAACTTCAGAGTGAGAAGGCGACATGGAATGATTCAGAAGAACGGGGACAAAGCCAAGAGCTGCTCATGCACGCCAGCATTAATCTGCCAGCAACCGAGGAGAGTATATCAGGCTATGCCGAGGCAGAGCGGGAGGTATGGCACATCCCTTGAAGAACAGGATTACTCCCACTATAGTAGCATTCTTGGGCATCAAAGAGATCCGAGCTCAGCCAGTATGCCCCATGAAGTTCTTTGTAGAGTGACGAGGCATGAGCACTCGTAGACAGGAGAGTTTGCCTGAGATCGAGACAGTCATGATGGTCGCAGGGTTCGCAACAGTCGGCGGAAGCAATCCGATCTCAGCTGGATTGGAGCTCAGGGAGATTTATTCCTAGAATGACCCCTCGGCGACATAAGAAATTGTTCACCATCAGGAATTGCTTTCTTTTCGCATTTATTATTAAGGTAATACAAGTTGCTAAAAGGGAAGAACAAAACATGGAAGCATTATCAAAACAATCAAAACGATCCCGAAATATGAGAGACCGGCCCTCGTGCGTCTTGTTCACGCTCCTCAATTGGATCGTCAGTGATTGTTTAGGGCAAGCGTTGGGGGCATCGGAGGCGTGACCTCGGATTACAGGTAATGTTGATAACCAATGTGGTCCATATTTTCGTTTCCCCTGTCTCAAGTTCTTCTGTGCGAATTCATGTTTGTTAACAAGAATTTTCGGCATGAGATCAAGGGATAAATTCACTTTTGCACTCGCTGCATCACTGATATATTATGCAGTCATGTTCCTTTCGCATAAGTCATAGATCAGTGTTCATTCGTAAAAGGAAAGTTATCAATTCCGTACGGAATACCCTTGCCCGTGGAAAAAGTCACATTTCGCTGACGCATCAAAATCCTCCACAACTCCGATCTGAGTATAATTGACGTCCATAGCATTGAAATCGAGATCTCCACTCATGTATGAAGGCCAGTATGGTTTCGTAGCATTCGACCACGATTGCACGTTGGGATCCAGATGTGTGGTGAAGGAGAGCCACCAGTCCTTCATAATGTTACCCAGGGTAATATTAGCGCCCTGCGTTCCGACATTATCCCCAGGGATGACTGCCGACCCTGAAATCATACGTAAGATGCTAGTATCTAATGAGGCACCCTTGCAAGAACGCACATAGAGATGGTGTCGTGGCACCATGAAGCTCGGTCCCCGCATCGAAGATAAGCTTGTAGACGGGTTGTCCGGCATCACTCATAGCTGTTGCCATGTAATAGGTGGGGCAATCGATAATGAAGTCGCCAAATAGGGTCTGACGCTGGAAGAACGTGGAGTTGAAGTCACCTGCGGGATACAATTGCCAAAGACGCTTGAAGAAGCTAGACTTTGCTGCAGGAAATAGGGTCTCTAGGTCAGCTTGCTCTTCCGCAAACGTTGTTTGGCTTGCATTAGAAAAAATGACCCCTTGGCGATAAGTCAGATGACGATCCAACGGGAAATTCAGCTACGACGCACCTTCATAACCGTCTCGGTCTACAATCAGGGGAACTTTGGTGAAGAGACCTGTTTTGAAGGCTTCTTGGGGCAACACCGGGATAATATTTCCATCCACGGAAGGCCCATAGAAGTAATCTCCGTACCCGTATACGCCTGCTAAATACCCATCCGTGAAAGTGCATTGGATCGAGTTGGCGAGCGCCTGTTCGTCGACATCTCGAAGACAAGCTAGATTATCACAGTTCGTCTCCTTGAGGAGCTGTCGGAATTGATACTCTAAAACCGTATCGTCGTGTCGTGGCTGCCACCAAGGACGCTCTGCTAGAATAAGAAGCATATCTGTCCCGCAATGACAACACATACGGGCAATGACAGCACGGAAAGGAGGGTTCTTGTCTCCGCCATAGAGAATCATTTGATCGGTCATGCTGCCACCCCCAGCGCTGCCGCCGGCAATTGTAATCTTGGCCGGATCACCTCCGAACGCTTTAGCGTTCCGCTGAGTCCATTGAATACCAGCACGCTGGTCAAGAGACCCTGAATCAAAGTAAGTGGTCAACTTTGCTAATCACCTGAACTTGGAGATGAACTACGAACCGACGTTCGGTGATCCATTCTGACGAACTTCAACGCTGTTAAGGTATCCGAAGCCGCCAAGGCGGTATTGGATGGAGACATAAACTAGCGACCCATTTGCGGCATACATGATCGCGTCGCCCGGTTCTGACATGGAGGAGCCTTCGGTATAGCCTGATTACAAGTCATGTAATCTCTCTTCCATCAGTGGAAAACTGTACTGACCTCCGCCATGGACCTGGACCAAGATCGGGAGAGATCCCGAGGTCGGCCTGATCGGCATGTAGACATCTGCACGCAGACAATCCTCTTGACTAGTCGGGTTTCCTGGCGTAGAATTGCTCCAGTACGGAATGCCTTGAATGCAAGTTGGGCCGACGGTCGCCGCATTGATTACACCCATGCTCAGGAAGTTATTGTTTGCCTCAATGGGCAATGGAGCCTCCCAACGAAGGGCGCCGACGGGAGCCTGTGAGTGATGAACGCCGTAATAGACGCAAATTCTACATGTTATCGATTTTAGATGAAGGTTCAGGAATGAAAGTATAGACGCGCACCCCGTTGTTGTGTTTTCATGGCCCGAGTATCTCGCATAACCCAGATCGAGAAGACAAGTTGCCGACACAGACGCAACACCCCAAGCACCGAGAGAGACAGCGGGCAAGAGTTTCATCCTTATCCATGACCTGGAGTATTCAACGACGGAAAGGACGGCAGTACTAGATGGTACAGTCTAATTATAGTCGGTTGAGCAGGTGACGAATTCTACTGATTCGCCGGCGAATTGACCAGTATGCCGCCGTCTTCCCCATCGAGCAGGTTTACATCGTCTGATTTTCTGAGCCTGCTTATGCCCGCACAGAAGAGAAGAGAAGCGACTGAGGCGATGGCTAACATAATAAATAATATGCTTGTTCGCCAGCTGGCCGCGTGACTACCAGACGTGGAACTTAACAAGCCTTTCCAGTGTGGAGGCCCTGCGTTGTTCTCAGCAATCCCCAGACATCTCGCACACCGAAGACCGTGCACTCACATTGGTGCCCGATTTCACCCGACTAGCTCACTGAAAGTGTATCATAATTACCAAACACTGAGTCAGATGGTAGGGACGTAATGGACAATTGCACGACTCAGAGATCCTCCGTTGTTCGTACTGAAACTCGGTGTTTTGAAAGACGAAACAGAAGAGATACGTGTGATTCTGGGATGCATGTGGATGAGTACAATGCATGGTGCGCACTTCCAGCAACGTTCGACGTGAGATTCCTAGAGGAGCGCAAACTGAAAAGTGTGACTCCCAAAGTGCGGGGCTGGAATGTGTCTTGCATTTGCTTCCGATCAATCAGCACGCATCCAAGAAGATCTGCTGTTCGCCTACACATTTCTCGAACACCATAAACAGAAAATTCATGGGTTCCAAGCAAGTATTTCGGGCCTGATCATGTCAATTCTTCTCAGCAAAGTGAAGAACTTCTCAGCCAGGTGTACGAAGACTTATGGTGGAGGGCTCGGGCCGTGCGGTAATGTCAGGGACTCCCGTCTTGTGATACATTTTTCCGGCTCAGCATGGATGCTGACATTCGACGCGAACGCAACTATGTATGTACCAACCAGACTTAGGCTGAACTCACGCTGCGCTCACAACATTAATGCCGTGGTTGGACTCAACGGACTTCTTCAACCCAGATAACCATGCCTTGCATCCTCTGACCGTCGGAGGGTGTATCATTCTGACGACGCTTATCTATCTCCGACTATCCTCCTATCGTACAATGGCGCCTTCATCGGTCAGTGGTGTATGCTCAGTGTGTTTCCGTGGTCATGCTGAGGCATCGCTTGAAACACGCTAGATCTATGATTGGGTGCTTACCGTCACTTATGGATCGACGCTATCACGGATCATCACTCAACCCGATGTCAGCTATTTTCGAGGACTGTTGTCTATTTTCATCATATCGGTCTTTGAACATATACCGTCATTAATCGAGGTCTGGATCCCTGCAGCTGCCAAGATGTTTCGATCCAAGCCTGTTTGCCTCGTCTTCAGGGGGGTATTGCTTGAGGACGTAGCCCGCAAGAACCGAGTCGCAAAGCATGACATCCTTAAGGCACTGAGGTTCAAAGGGCTGGTCAACTTCGACGAGTGCGAAGCTGTCGTCCTCGAAGAAACCGGAACATTCAGCATCATCAATCGTATTTCAAAGGAAATGGATCAGGTTCCAGAGGCATTGAGCAACGTGGATGGATACGTTCATAGGTGGAATCAATCGAGAACAACACCCTGTTAGATTTCTTCTTGTTCGGGTTTAAGGAAACTGTGTTATACTTTGTGTGTCAGTTTTACAATCATATCTGGATAACCACCCAACGCCCTTTTCATCAAAGTGAGGCAAAATGTAGGTAGACAGGTGGACTGGGACGCCTGAGCGGGGTCAATTACGAAATTTCATCACTTGCAACCACTCGTCAGTGATACAACAACGCTTTACCCACCAACAGATTGACATTTCATGAGATTCGATTGATTACTGCCTTGTCATGATCGTTATACAGCGTGTCTTCCACACAACAAGGTCTCAAATTAGCACTGTCTGGGGCTCTCTCTAGTCTACGTACACAACAACGAAGGGGATCTACACAAAAAAGTTCAATACACGGTCAAGCAAATTGCGAAACATCAACATACCTCTACGTCCTCCCCCTCTACATCATTCACCATCATTTCCACCAGCATGCTCTTCGTGTGCGGTGGCAGCGGTTTCCTGCTTACGTTCTCCACTAGCTCAGTCATCCTCATGGCCAAACGCTCCTCGCTCTTCTTCCTCGGTGTGAATGGCGACCAGAGCATAGATACTCCAGAGGAGACCATGCTGACTTCAAGGTTCTCCCGGTCCTGGAAATAGTTCACGATCTCTTGCAAAGTCACGTTGCCGCGGAACTCAAATCGATCCCACAGAGTCCACTCCTTGTCATTATATTTGTTACGTGCAGCTCGGATGGGTTCAGAAAAGCCGAAGAACGGGAGGGCGAGGTTGACAAATCCATTCTTGTAAGCCTCGAGCCTCTTCTTCCCATCAATCAACTTGTAAAGCTCCAAGCACACGAGCCCTGACACCACAGCAGTTGTGGTAGCAATAGCAGGAATGATCTTGCCAGCAATCTGCTTCGTGTGATGACGGGTAGCGACGGCAATGCCATAGTTCGTTGCACGGAGATTAGATGCAGCAGTGATGAAATCGATGTGGAAGTTGGTATCGTCGTCCTTCTCGAACTCGGCTGGCAGCAGGCGGTAGCCCACCAGGCTCGATGGAGGTGGAAGTGAAGCCAAGAGCTCAGAGATATCCTCACCACCTATAACAAACAGTATTAGGTTGGAACTATCATAACTTGAACGGCACTTACCATCTGGGTTCTCTGGTGGTGCATCTGCATCATTGATTTGTACCTTGATGCCGCTCTTCGGCTCGAACTTCGGGACGACCATGTTATCCAGAACTTTTTTAAACACATCTGGATCGGTGGAGCCATGAAGACCATAGTTTGCAGCATGGAGATTCGCCGCACACATGATATACTCCATGTGTAAGGACTTAATCGTGTCAGCGTCCTGCATATGAAAGTGAGCAAAACACCTACGTCAGCCGGGTTGAAGACCAGGGCATCGGGGGCACGCTTGGGACCCGACCAGAACGGCGTGCCGTTTGATGTAACAGCATCCTTGGGCAAGCTAAACAGAAGCTGCTGGATGGAATTGTTGAAGTTCTCTTCGAACTGCAGTCGTCCCCACTGAATGCACTCTTCGAAGGTGAGAGGCTTGTACCGAACCAGGTAATCGCGAATTTGTTGTACGGTTTCCGTCTGCTGACCGGAATACTTAAGGGTAGTCTCCTTGAAGCTCGGATCGGTGAGGTATTGGTTGACGCTCTGGATAGGCTTGACAAAAAGGCCATCGAAGTGCTGACGCGCCCACTCGATCGTGTGCTCGATCGCATTTGGGAAACTCTTAACCGTGCACATAGGTGTTGATTTCTCAGGGGGGTCTTGGGACGACGAGTACGACTCGGTGATGTGGGGAACAACGACTTGGGTATTACCCAACGTGCCGAGGGTGCCTGATTCCAGGAGCGGCTTCTGGAAGAGGACGCAGCGACGGTCCATATACATGCGGGCCTTGATGTTGTCGAGGGCATTGGTGACGCCATCCAGATGTGCAAAGAAGACGTCGTCGTAGATATCTGTGGACTAATCAGTATGTCTTGGCATCATCCATTTGAAGATACGCACTTTCAGTGTCCGGGCCGACCGCATCCTGGTGGCTGACAATCTTGCCCTTGAGATCAGGGTTCATTTCAATCACAGCTCCGGCGGCAACTTCGGACTTGAAATTGCCAAGATCCTTGGGTCGGAATAGGAACTGTCGGTTGAGGTTGCTCTTCTCAATCGTGTCTAGATCCGTGACATGTATCACACCTGTACCGGTCGCAAGGCCCATCATGCTCCAGTTCTTCAACATTTCGCAGCCGATAGCGCCACTTCCAACTAAGAATTCCCTGAAGTTTGCAATCTTCTCCTGGAAAGCACGGCCGAAGACTGCAACCTGGCCATCATACCGACTGCCCGTAGGAGCGCATTCGACCTCAGTTGGCATTTCATCGGGAAGTGACTCGAGAGAGTCGAAGTAGAGGTGTTGGACGGTCGGGTGGAACTTGGCGCTGACCGCCTTCAGGATCTCTTGAGCGACGTAACCGCCGATCACAGCGACCATGGGAGAGATATCTCCACAAGCCTCAAAAGCGAGCTCTTGCAGGACCTTCTCGTCCAGATCATCCTCCAATCCACTGCTCTTCTGGATCTCCTTGGACAAGTCAATGATCTCGTTAGCCTCTGTAACATTTCTAGGCTTGGGAAGGCGACCATGTTTGTCGCGGAACGCCGAAAGTGCCTGGAATCCAATGTGAAGGGTCGCAGGACGATCGAACTTGGCGAAATCTGTGATGAGGTATTCCGGGGCCTTCAGCGACTCTCGTAATGGCTTCTAGGAGGATGTAAGGACTGCAATCAGTACGACGACGCATTTACTTACGAAGTCGATGATCTTTGGCATCTTCACCTGAGTAAATATACCACCCGAGATATAGTCTTGGAGACCGGTAGTGTCACCGATGGTGAAGGTATATGGCCCTATCCTTATATTAGAAATTGTAGGACCTCCCAAATCATGGGCTCACCTTTGACGGATACCTTTCTCGGCTCACACCCATTGAGCTCTGTCATACCCTTGACTTCGGAGAACGTTACAAAATCACCATCCTCGAGACCATGTCTCGTCTCGTCCAAGCACGTCACTACAGCATCCTTTTCTTTCTCGATCTCCACAACCATGCCGGTTAATGGCTGCGCACCAGTCGGATCGATGCAAGTGAATCGGGGGCCAAAGTCACAGAACACGGAGCCAAACAGGCCACGAACATCGGCGGAGATGAAATGAACGCCATTCACATGAGTCCATTCATTGATCTCCAGCTGCTTGGTAAGGGACACGTCCGTCAGAACCACAACCTAGCATCCTCATCAGCAATGACATGATTTCGTGAGAATCTACGCACCTGGAACCCACGAATGACATCTGGAGTGAGAGACTGGCCCACATGCCCACCGAGATCCTTGACCGGGACATAAGCATTCAGCTCAGCCAACCGAGGAACTGTCACGGCAGCGCGAGGCTTCCCGATGTCGCCTTCCCGCAGAAAGAACTGCAACAAGTGAATCATATGGCATGTATCATGCTGACTGGCATACCTGGGTCCCAAGGTCCTGAACTGTGACTGGCTCTGGGTCATAGATAGTCACAGACTTCACCCCAGCAAGAACAGTGTTCTTAGCTGGTCAAGGGCTTAGTCAGCGCGTGCCCGAGAAATCGGACAGTGGATACAAACCAATCTCCACACCAAGACCTCTCACACCAACGATGAGAACATTGGATGCGGCCATGCGCTTCATGGCTATCGAGATGTTAATTAAGAACGGAAAGACAAACTATCTCATACCTTCATGCCCTAGAACGTAGCTGTAATATGCATATCAGTCAGGGTACAAGCCGCATACACGTCGTTGCCACTCACAGTTGCCGCGAGTATAAGCCTTCGTCTATCTTCTGCTCATCTATATCCATGATGTAAGTAAGTACGCTTGAGCCTTGGTGCAATACAGATGAAAAGTAGAGGAGATGGGATATGATTTGCTGGTGTATTTATACGCTGGTGGTCGACTCAGGACAACGTGATCCCGACCAGGGGTTTAGGGAGTTCTGGACAACGCGGAGGCAGCATGACGCGCACATGGAATCAAAATGGGCCTCGGCTTTAGCAGCAGACGCTCATCCCCGACAACGTCGACTTGCAGGCGCGCGACCTTCACCATCACTGAGCACTCTGGGATAGAATACAGCCAGCATGGACTTGAGTGGCTTTAGAAGCCTCGTCAATGGGCCCATGGGTCTCGATGATGCCCAGGAAGGCATTCCCGTTGGCCCCATGGATTCGATCTCCTTGCAATTGAAGGCAATCGGCAACGCAGCTACAGCACCTCCGAAGGTACGAACAAATCTCTACCTATCGCACCTCGTGACTAATCCATGGTGGTCCACGTAGCCTGTATTATACGACTTCCGCTACGATGATGAAGACACCGTCTTTAATGAGATTGAAGAGTTCTATTCATACGCCGAGGTCCCACAAGTCGAGGAGAACATTAAAGCATGGCAAGGGTCCTTTTCAGGGGGTGCGTTCAGCTGAAACGATCATGGCAATCCTGTGGCTAATTCAAATCTACAGAATGGACCACAGCTTCACCTGAAGTGCGCAATGCGCATGTGCAATTGTTGTTGGAGAGCCTGGAACATCGAAATGCTGAGAAACGGTTTATCAACTCTCGCCGCCTCCTATATCTGCTGCAAGGCTCGTGCGTCGAGACATCATCAACGGAAGACCAGCATTACTGGATGATCCAGAACTGCAACATGGTCAGAGGTTCCGATGGTATCAGCAACATCGTGGACGCACTGCTCATTGCAAGCTCTAAACACGATATGTTGAGCAATCTGTCCGACCATGATCTTAAGAATCTTGGAGTATCACCCAACGACAAACAAGATTTGATCGAGGAAGTCAACACCGAAATTTCAATATATCTGAATCTTTTATACCATCTGGTTGAAGTTTTCAAGGGCGATCGAGACTTTGGCGATGAGCTTAGTGAGTGTGCCAAATGCCGGTGTGCTATTTGTTTTCTCATTGATTCTCAGTGTCATTGGAAACACCTTTACCTGTTACTCTATTCAATCTGGTTGCTGCGCTCAAGGAGAAAAGTGCCAAAGGTTACCCCGTCAAGAAGCTGCTCATTGTTTTGTGGAAGTCACTTCTAGCCTGTTTGGGTGGACTTCGGGAACTACGGAGGGCGAAGACACTGGCGCGCGAGTTGGCAGGACTTGAAGGGGATGACGGTGATGATGGTGAGTGCAAGCTATTTGTCGTTATAGCTTTTGTCTCATCCGTCCCAGCGATATGCAAGTCCACACCAATGGATCTGCAGCTATATCATCAAGAACTAACTCAGAAATATCCAACGTTCGCTGCAGCCCAGCGCCCCGAAATCCCTGCGGAGAGATATGCGACAGCGTTAGCGCCAATACCTGTGCGACCGCATTACCACTACAACCCCCCGGAAGATGAGTTTCCTCAGCGCTTCGATGCACGCCCAGGCTACGGCCAACCAACTGCACCTTTTCCCGTGACACCAGCACCTTCGCCACCTCCTCAACAACTGCAAATGAGTGGTAAGCCGAAGAAACAGCAATATCAGACCGATAATACAAAGCCATTTGTATTCCCTTTCAGTCGAAACTCACGCCAGACTGTTCCGTACGCGATTGAAGAGGCCGACAAGCTTTACATCAGGCATATGCATGTCTCCCTTTCTGTTTACCAGATGTGGAAGACCAGAGAAGACTTTATTCGTGATGAAGGCGGAATGAGCCCTTTGCCTGAGACAGAGATGGAAGAGGCACCCTACGATCCTCGAGACGAGAGTCAAGGAAGGGCTTTCCGAGACATCATTCGTCTGGAGAAAGCCATTGCGGCCGTTGATCAGCAGCTTAAGGTTGCTGAAGCCCAGGGCAACCAGTCTCAATGCAATAAGCTTCGGGAAAAGGGGGAGGACTTGCTCAGGCTACGACGTGTTGAGACCATATACGTGGGTTTTTGCTGATCCGTTATTGTTACGTTTCCTGACGCGCGTCAGTCCGGAGTTCTTCCTGTGCTGCAAAGCAGTGTCGTCGTGCTGCTCAAATTGTTGCTGGCCACCGTCACAGCAAGTGGCCCGAATCCTCCTCCCAACCCCCCCGTTGGGTCACAGACCGAGCCTCCTCCTCCTCCCTCATTGACATTAGAGGAGATCGATGTAATACGTCATCGAGAAATCACGTCGAAAGCGGTATCCGCCATCCTATTGCTGTCCCTAAAATGGTTCAAAGTGTCGAGTGCGTAGCAAACTTCCTCCACGTGTACAACTGATCGATCTATGCAAAGACATCATGAAGTTCCACCACCTCGGACAACTCCTCTTGGACTCCAATTGCCTGCTTCTTGTACTGAAAATGTTTGGATTGCAAGAGGTGTCTACGACAGTCACGGCTAAACATGATTCCCCTCCCCACAAGTGAGTCAATGCTATAATTATCGGCGGTGTTGTTCTGATGCGGTGCAGCTTCTTCAGGTATTGTCAAGAAAATCATGCGAAGAACGCGCATAAACCACGGCCTGAAGACTCCATGCTCTCTCCTCCACGTGTATCTGCACGACTTAATGGTCAATCAAATGGTACACAACCTGACGGCGATGTCGAGGTCATAACCGAGTATTCTTGGAGAAACTTCTTCACGAGCATCAATTTTGTCAAAATTATGCAGAAGCTCTCAAAGCATCGCTCCCATCGGATATGGTTACTTGTTCAGTACAAGAGCTCAGCTATCTTGAAGCGAATTCTCAAGGTCTCGCACCCCATGCTGCAGCTGTTCGTGCTGAAGATCATCAAGAGTCAAGTGCCGTTTTGTGGTCGTAAGTGGCGGCAATGTGTGTCTTGTTCCTTAGCATGGTGCTAGGTGCTTACAGGTCTCCTAGCGAATATGAAGGTAATCACGTCAATATACCTCAACTGCAGACCGGAGTTACGGGACGAGTGGCTGACAGGGAACGAGGTGGATGATGTCACCGATGCTCTGGTCAGTCGCATCCACACGTTAGTAGACATACATACACTCACCTTTGAGAATAGGCCCAGGAACAGGCGTTACGATCACTGGTCAAGTTTTGTATGATTGGCGGTCTCTCGTGAATGGATTCCCGCTAACTTGATACAGATAATACTAAACGTTACGCGCCAGCACAGCCTTTGGCATCCCCTGCTATGCCGCCGCCTCATCGTCGCTCAATAAGCCAGACTGGTGTGCCGACAATCGATGGTCTAGCAGCTGGGCCTGAGCTCACCAACATCTCACGAACGGGACCACCTGCGGATGCCGATGTGTTTCCTCCAATGCGCTCTCGTGCTTCCGATCCCTCCTTCTTCCTTCCGTCTATCCCTGAAGATGCCGCATTTGAGGAAGAGTATGAGGACTACCTATCCGACTTATCAGATGACGGGTATCAAGATGGTTGGGGTTCGCCGCTCAATCGTTCTCCTGTGTCTTCGCCCCACCAAGAGCGGCCTCCAACCAAAGCCGCCTCGGCATGGCAGCAACTGTCAACTGGAGGACTCGACGTAGCAGATGGCATCAGCGATAGCGAAAGCATTGCCTCCATCGGCGAATTAGGTGATGATGCCAGAGCCACAGCTGCCGACCCATCACAAGTCATACTAGCGGACGAGAATGTGAATCAGTGGGAGGTACGTCATATAGCTCGCAGTAATTTTTTTCCCTGCTAAACGTTTCGTACAGCACCTCAGTCCCAAAACTCTTTCTGCCCTGCCAAAATCGCCCGGCACACATCCTCGTCGGACGAGCTCGGGTGGCACATCGTTGCGTCCTGTTCTGCCGTTTGGTCTGGATGATGGAAGTGCAATCGATATCGAGGAAGAAGAGCCTGAACTGGGCCCCATTAAGAAAGGTAGTGAGGCACCGTTTGCTGCTCAAGAAGGTGGCAAAGGCGTCGACGAAGTTGAGGTAAGCGTTTGGAACGAATTGAGGCAGTACATAATCTGATCCCCCCGCCAGTACTTGTATGGTGAATAACGAACGAAGAGGTTGGATATCCACAAGTATACATACCCCGAGCATTCATGATGTATTCTCCACGGACTGTTTCCCTTGACTTGACAGCTATGCATTTTCAATATGACAGTATCAATGTGATCAGGTTGTTTCATCAAGCTGCGAGCACGGCGGAAAGCGTCATCTATCTATTTTCTGCTTAACAAGTTCGCTTCCTCTCATCTCCCAGTCTTCGCACGTCATTGTGAGCAACAGGCAGTCTCGGCCCAACTTGTAGTTTGGATCACCATCTCTCGTACGTGTCCCCGGGGACTCAACCACATAAGTCCATCTCAACACGCCTTCTCTTATCATCCCCATCTTTTCGGCCAGGCGGATCGAAGCGATATTGTCCGGTTTTGCGAGCCATGTTACCCGTCTCAGCCCGAGCCCGGGATGGGCAACAGCAGAAGGGAGCTCCAAGCAATACCGCAAGAGAGTCCCAACAGAGTGGGTGGCCACATGTGTCTTCTGATACGCTGGAAGCACAACAATAGGTCCAATATCAACAGAAAGATAGTCGAGGTTTGCATTATTCAAACCAATAATTCCTGCGAAGCTCCTAGAAGGATGCGCCGATAGAGACTCAGGGAGAAGAGTCTTATCGAAGATGGCGAATAAGATTTTCCCAGGACTGCTCCGCATGCCTTCCGCGAATATCAGGATGCTCTTCAGAGTCGCCATTGAGAAGGGTAGGAAGTCATAGAGGAATTGACAATCAACGGTTGCATTGAAGTACAACTCGGCATGCAGCTTTGGTATGAATGGGATGAGCTTGATCCGGGGCGATTCCAGGCTTAATGGAAGGATCGGAAAGATAAAGTTAACGTCGTAAGGCTCCGGGCCAAACGTTGCATCTTCATCCGTTGTTGGTGAAACGTGATTATTAACGAAGGTCATTGTGTCGGGAAGTTATTGGGTATGGATTTTGATTTTGGTTGAGAGGAAGGATGAGCGTGCACCCGGAATAACTCCGGAATTGAAGAGCATCGTGCGGAATCAAAAAGTTCAAAAAATCGGAAGACCCTTTCGAAGCCCAGAGAGGCCAACCAAGCCAGTACGTTCACTCTTGTACATCCACCATGCCTCGCGTTCAGAGCAAAAGGCATAATCCACGACATGACCCTCTGCACATCCAGTTGAGAGAGGATGCAAACTTGGAGACTTCGGGAAAAGTATCGTTGCCTGGAAAGAGGAGCAAGCGGAGACGTAATGAAGATGAGGACGAAGTATTAGCACCTGCCTCTGAAGCAAACACAGGACTGACGACAGAACAGACTGAGTTTGACCCGAAGACATCTCGGCGTATTTTAGAGCTTGCTCGAGAGCAGCAGGGAGAAGTTGAGGAAGAGCAAAGCGAGGCGGAAGACTTTCCTCCTCTTGGCGGCCCCTCGAAACGTCAATTTAACTGGGCCGGGGCTCGAGATGACGAGGGTGATGAGAGCGACGTATATGGATCAGACGCAGATTTCGGAGAAGAGTACGAGGAACTAGTGAGTGTGATAATTCAGGTATGCAACTTGTGTAATTGATGGACAGTAGCACATCGACGCAGAAGACCTACACACACTCGATGCGCTGTTACCACCAGAAACGGGCGCTCGCAAGACCCTTGCCGATATAATCCTGGAAAAACTAGAAGGTGCTGGTGAAGCCAATCAAGCGCCCAAAAAAGTACGTACGCAAGATCCTGACAGCCCACCGGATCCCGCAGCCGGCGTTGACCCGAAGATCGTGGACTGCTACCGAAAGGTCGGCCTCCTCCTCCGAGCGAAGAATCCGACGTTGCCCAAACCGTTCAAAATCATTCCATCTCACAGGGATTGGGCGCGTCTCCTTGCTCTCACAAGCCCGCATGATTGGTCCCCAATGGCCACGTTCTATGCAACCAGAATTTTGATCTCCAACCTAAAGCCTGATCAAGCTCGGGTGTATCTTGAAGGCATTTTGCTGGAGCTCGTTCGTAAGGACATTAGGGAGAGCGCAGACAAGAAGCTCAATTATCACTTGTACATGAGTCTAAAGAAGGCCGTTTTCAAGCCTAGGGCATTCTTCAAGGGTATTCTGTTCCCCCTTTGTGAGGTCGGCGTCTTCTACATCATGGCAAATTACAGACCGGCTCACACCCCTGTAGGGCTACTGTAACTTGCGAGAAGCCGCCATCATCGGATCCGTCCTCTCAAAAGTCAGCATCCCGGTATTAGAAGCCTCAGGTGCCTTGCAGCGACTATCAACGATGGACTACTCCGGTCCGAACTCTCTCTTCATCCGTATTTTGCTGGATAAGAAGTATGAATTGCCGTACAAGGTCCTGGATGCGTTGGTCCTAAATCACTTCATTCCCCTTGCCAATTCGAGAGCACATGCGACGGAGAAGAACAAGCTGCCGGTTTTATGGCACCAGAGCTTGCTGGTTTTCGTCCAGAGGTACGTCCAGGAAATGTATGCTTCATTCCATCGGCTGACTTCTCATTCAAGATATGCTAATGACCTCTCACAAGACCAAAAGGACGCCCTCCTTGATGTGATTCGCCTGCAACCCCATCCCCAGATTAGTCCAGAGATCCGTAGACATCTTGTTGAGTCCGTAGCACGGGGAGAGCCAAGGCCGCCTCAGGAAGGTGATATTGACATGGATGTATGATAGGTCTGACTCCTTCATTTTGATCGTATTCTGCGAGCCATCTCAGAAAGCACGCGTGTGGAAGTGAGATTAAGGTGACATTATGGCACGACAATGATATTCAACACAAGATGAACAGAAACTGAAGCAGAGTCGCAAGATCAACTACAACAAACGACCATACTTAAGCAGCCTCGGTCATGCGTTTCTTCTTCTTCTTCCTCTCTCCACCCTCGTCAGCGCCCGTCAGGCCGGCCGCCTCACTGGCCCTCCGCTTCTTCTTCTTCTCGCCTTCCCCGTTGAGCGCAGGGGTAGTTGGTGGGGCGGGTGGTGCCGCCTTTGCAGGTGACTCCTCCGCACCACCCAGCTTTTCGCTCTTCCGCTTCTCCTTCCTCAGCCGCTTGCGCTCTTTACATTCCTCTTCTGTCTCCCCTACGTGGTCCGCCATACCCACGTCCCCATTCGCCTCAGCTGGAATATTCGTCTCCGCAGCGGCATCGAACGCCTCACTCATCTTACGCTTCTTCTCTTTCTTTTCCTTTTTCTCTTTCTTCTTCAACTCGACTTCCTCAGCCAGTTCACTCGCAACCTCGTTCGCTGCTTGCTGTGCCTTCGCCTGCGGGTCCCGCTGAGTGGGCAAGACGACCGAGTCAGCGGCAGTGTTGTAAGTTGCCCCATTGCCGGACATCGTAAATGGTGCCTGCTTGCGTGCACTCGACTGCGGATCGACTGCCGCACGAGCAGAGGTGAGGCCTGACTTGTACTCCAACGCCCGGAGGCGAGACTCAAGCTTTGCCCGGTTGGTAATGCCGATCGACGCGGCCATCGGCTCGCCCTTCGCTTCGACTTCGGTGAGCGCATCGACACGGACGGAAAGGGCAGTCTTGGTCGCAACCATACGTGCCATTTTGCCTTTAAGTTTTTGGGGTGCCTGGCCGATGAGGGAGGCCTGTAGCATGTCAGCCTCTATATGCGTACGGTAGTGGGAGACGTACATGGTAGATTAACCCGTACTTCGGTGTATCGTGTTTCGTCTTCAGCGCCCGGAAGAGGGCCTTCTCCGCACCCAAAATCTGCACCGTACTTGCTGGCTGCTTCGCCAAGCTCAGCAAGCTTCCGGCATGGCTGATGAGCCTCGCCCCCACGAGCTCTCCAACAAGCGCAGTCAGATTTGGCGCAATAGCGTTCATGCGATTGCGCAAGTACTCAGACAGTTGTGCACGGTATTCGGTCATGCTGATCACCTGGTCGCACAGTAGGTGGATATGCGCAATGTCACTCTCCGAGATCTCGGTACCCATGGATATGTCAGCGGCAACGCGGACGGTGGCTTCGAGGTCCTCGGGCAGGATCTCGGCAAGAGATGTGGTGGCGGCATTTGTGCGCATGCCCACCGTGCGGACGACCTTAGCGTATGCAAGGTTGTCGGTGATGATCTTGGCCATTTCTGGAAAGTGCCATCCATACCATTCCTGACATACTTCAGTTTCATCTCCTGCTTAATAACGAACTAGGACACACCTTGACCCGCATGGAATAGTGGTTGATCTCCTTGTCTAATTCATCAAGTAATGCGATAGCCTGCACGACCATCGTATCCACCTTATCCGGCGAGAACTTGAGCTTATAACGAGACATGCTATGTCCAACACCAAGTGAAAATGACTGCAAATCGTCTTGGGTAAGTCCGTCGAGAAGGGATACAAGCTGTTCGCGAATTCCGCGGTCGAGGTCGAGCGAGCTGTCGCCCGATTGCACCTGGATACCTAGCTTCTTCGATATTGTGCCTGCGAGCTTCGAGTCCGCTACGACAAGCGTTTCCTTCCCCTTGGCCTTGTTGACTACTTCTTCCGTGAGGAACTTCTTGAGTCCTTTGGAGAGCTTGGACTCTTGGGCCGCGGAGAGGTGCTCCACGGCGGTAGCTGTGGAATCGAACCGATGCAAGGCTTTGAATCTTAGGCTGCGTATTCGCAATGTTAGACACCACATCAGTAGTCGCGGTTGACAGAAACATACAATGCATTCGCTTTCTCTGGAGTCTCGAACTCTTTCCACAGGTCTGGCTGGTCGAGCTTCGCATCGTTATTTAGCTTGAAGAGACAGAACCCCAGCGAGGTCTCGAATAGAACCAGCATTTTGACAGCGATATTGCCGCAGATTTAGCAATATCTCAGTAGTTGTCGACAGGACAAAACTCCAGATATGAGGAGAAGGTTATGCTCGTGTGTGAGCGCTGAGTGAAAGTCGGCGCCCTAGCAAAGGTCGATTTTTGTTTTTGGTTCCGGAGAAGAAGGATGCGCGTGCTTCTGACTGCTGTTCCCGTTAGGGTTACATGGACAAAAGATCCTCCGAAGACCCTACATCATCTCCGACAACAGTGCTGAAGTATTACCTTCTCAATTCTCTCCTATTAAAACCTGTCGAATCAACCCCCCTGCATCCGCGCTGCGACACGGGATTCGATAGGGGATATATCCCGGGGTCTGGATGGGATGTCGGAGGGATTGCCGCCAGCAGTTCCACCAACGTAGTAGGTAATTGCACTGGATTCTTGGGCACGGTAGTCGAGAAGTGGGAACGAAATAGACCTTTTGGCCCATGAAATAATTGATGCATCATCCGTTATACCTGACAGGGTGTGGAGCAAGTTGTATCTGTTGGTGCTGGCCAAATCAGCCACTGTGGGTGCATTTCACCAGGAGCTGTGGCTTGCCTGCAGGTTGCCCAGGATTCATACACTCTCCAACAACTGAGCCTAGAGGCCTTTGGTGGACTGCTGGGACTGCTGCCACCCCAACTGTCTGCAAATATCCACCATATGCTTGAATTCTCAGAGAAAGTCACACTCTGCAATCAACCATCATGTTGTATGGCCAACGTCCGATTCCCATGTGACTGCAGCAATGACCCGAGGAGGGAAGCACCGTTCAGGAGCACCTCCAACCTTCGAGGGTCTTGGTCATTGACTTGGTTCCCGACGCCTTCATCCTCTCCCATCTAGTACATGCTGGGCATGCTGCGAATTCTAAGACGGAGTCGGTCAGGAAAGGCGTTCATGAACTTGCGGCCTCCGACCCGTTCTAGTGGCTCGTGGATACTTACGAGAGGTCCTGGTTCGACGGAAGGGGGAATATGGTCAGAGTTGCTCATCGTGGCGGCCTTAGCTGTGCGTCTCTTTGTTTACATCGCTATCTTCTCTTACCGCGATTGCAGGCTTCTGGAGCGTATATAGCACAACAGTGGACAATCCGACATCCTCATGCAGGGCCTTCGCCGCAGGTACAAAATGTTGCGGCACTGCCCAACCTGCAACTCATTGCATACCAAGAACTTCAGCAGCATGACACGCGGGAAAGCTGCTGGATACTTGTCCGTGGCCAGATATACGAGTGCGCCGTTATTTTGGTTGTTCAACCCCTTTCTGATCCTCAATAGCGTGACCGACTTCCTCGCCCAACATCCCGGTGGTGCATTGATCATTCTCTCCCACGCCGGAAGGGATGCTACCGCCGCCTATTCCTCTCACCACCCTCCAGCGCTACTGGATAATATTCTCTCCCCCTCCCAGCACCTCGGCGCTGTTGATCCAGCGACCCTTCCCCCAGGACACCACGCGTCTTCCGCCGAACTGACGGAAGACGAACAACGTGTCAAGCAAGCTAGGGCGGAGATTCCACCGCTAAATATGTGTATCAGTGTTCAGGATTTGGAGGATGTAGCGAAGAAGGTCATGAGCAAGGTCGCTTGGGGATATTGTATGTCCGGAGCGGACACTATGAGTGGTACGTCCTTCCCCCTGTTCAAACAGTCCAGAACTGACAAATACCCCAGCATACAAGAACAATATCGCGGCCTTCTCTCGTTATGCCTTCCGTCCGCGAGTTCTGCGTCCAGTATCGAGGGTTGACACTTCGTGCTCCATCCTTGGTAACCCCAGCGCCCTCCCCATCTTTGTCTCCCCAGCTGCTAATGCCGGTCTCGGCCATCCACTCGGCGAACTTGGCATCGTCCGCGGCGCTGCATATGGAGGCATTATCCAGGGCGTCGCGTCTACGTCGACTCTTCCGTTGGCGGAGCTGGAAATGGAGAGGAAGGACGGACAGACGATGTTCTTTCAGCTGTATGTGAACAAGGATCGGCAAGTCAGCGAGAGGCTGCTTAGGGAGGCGGAGAGGAGGGGTTTTAAGGCGGTGTTGTTGACGGTGGACACACCCGTGCCGGGGAAGAGGGAGATGGATTTGAAGACGAGGGGGTTACCCACACCGGTGAGATGCTCCAACCTTCAGACCGAGCATTACTGACTCAGCATCAGGCAGCTGCGGCGGCGGGTGAGAAACAGCTAAGCTCAACCCAGGCGGGGATCGCCAACTCCCTGGGTGACTACTTCGATGCAAATCTGTGTTGGGATGATTTAGCCTGGTTAAGAGTGTGTATGCTCTATGACTTTGCGTTAAACTCTCATCGTAAAGCAGAGTGTGACAAAGTTACCGATAATATTGAAAGGTGTGCAGACTGTGGAGGACGTAGAACTCGCCGTCCAGCACGGTTGTGAGGGAGTGCTTCTTTCGAATCATGGTGGGCGACAGCTGGACTAGTAAGCATCGTCCCGTCCCCTGTCTCGTCCTCCATGCTGATACAACCAAGTGCTCGCGCACCTATTGATGTTCTTTACGAAGTCCGCAAGTGCAGACCAGACATTCTCGATGAAAAGAAGATCGAAGTTTACCTAGATGGTGGTGTGAGGCGCGGAACAGACGTCGTTAAGGCGCTTTGCCTTGGTGCGACAGCTGTCGGGATGGGACGTCCGTTGTGGTATGCCAACGCTGCGTATGGACAGGTAAGTATCACGCGAATATGAAGGCAATTGCATGTTGCACTGACGTGGCGTCATAGAAGGGTGTTGTGAAGCTGATTGACAGTGAGTCCACGTTGTGGCTTTCTGTTCCGCTATCCTTACACGCGGTGTAGTCATGGCGGAAGAGATTGCTACGGCGATGCGTTTGCTGGGTGTTACGAATCTCTCCGATCTTAAACCAGAAATGATCAGCCGCATATCAAATTTCGATCCTAGAAAGCCGTATCATCTTCCCGTCATATGATGAGCCAAGAGGTCGGGTCATCTCGATTCTGGGCTAGCCAGGGCTACATCTCATGGTGAATGACATGTGTATTAACTATGAAATAAATAAATATGAATGAAGGAAACAGTCTTTCATCTGAAGATGTGATGGAACGATTTGTAACAGAACGGCAAATTGAAACGTGACAAAGTTCTTGATCTGGTCGTCACTGCATTCTGCAGCAATGAGAGGCTCCCGTATCAGGTCACGCTATGCGACTACAGTGCCGGACGCAGTAGTCATCGTTCCATTGCTTGATCCCATGAGAGCAGCGGCCTGAGCAGAGCTGATGGTGTTGATGTCATTCACATCCGCTGTTCCAGTCACAGCAAGCTCGGATAGGATGTCCTTCTGCGAGTCAACAAAGGCGATGGCCGGGCCAGCAACGACGTTGTTCACATTTTGGGTGGTGATGTCGGTGGTGAGAGGGGTGGAAGAATTGGTGATCCACGCGAATACGTAACCGTTGATGGCGGGGGAGACGCACTGCGTGATTGGTTGAACAACCGCATCAGTAGCCGTACCCGACGTCCACTGGCACCAAAATGCATCAGCGTTGACTGTTTGGGTGGTCGCGTTGCCCCAAGTCCAGTTGAGCGCCAGACCAGCAGGCATACCAGCAAACAGGTGAGTGACTTGAGGAACCATGGGCAGGTCCACTGTGGGCTGATTAGCTATATCTCATCATTCAGGAACATAGAACGTACTGGGGAAAATCTCGCAACCCGTGATGAACTGACCGGCCATCGCAAGAAGCTGAGACGGAGTGAGTGCTGCGTCGTAGCTCTGAGTCACAGCCTCGGCGCCGTTGAAGATGTTGAACAATGTTTGATGACGTGCTTCGACGGTGACGATGTTGGTAACATCGAGGAGCATCTCCGGGCTATCGAGCATGGTGAGCGCACTCATCAGCGCACCCATACCGATGTACTCCATTTCACGCCCGAACTGAAGCCAAGTCGCCACGTCAGTCAAGACGGGCTCGAAGTGGAATGCGCAAGTGCTGATAGGCTGGGAACCAACGGACTCGAGGACGGAACCCCAGAACTGGATGTGGTTGGATTGATCAGTGGCAAAAGTCCTGTTTTCTTGTAAGCGGGAAGATGCGGATTGAGAGAGAAAAGTCTTACAGCAGGTTCTCGAGGACGAGATCGGGAATGGCCCAGCCGGCAGCCGAAAAGTCCGCGGCGGAGAAGGCTGAGAGGCCCTCGAGATAGTATGTCGCCTCGAACTCCTCCATCATGTGCAGAAACTCTGCCGCTAGTGTGAACACCGGACTCGACACGTCAGGGAGGAATACTCACGTAAAGTTTGGATGTCTGCTGCCGATGCGGTTCTCTTGGCCTTGTTCAATGGGGCAGCCAGAGCGGCGCCAGAAGCAGCCAGCAAGGCAGTTGCAGATTGGAAGAAACGCATTGTGTAGATGGTTGACGATGTGGTGAGCGGAGTGAAGTCTTGCAGAATGAAAGGCAAGCGTTCAACGCAAGGGCTCAGCCCGAGTAACCCAGTAAAGGATCTGAAAAGAAGTTTGGTTGAGCTGCCTGAGCTCGAGAGGTTAGAGCTAGAAGAGTATGAGTTGTTGAGAAACATTCTGCCTTCTCAGCCGCCTGTATTTGAAGGTTTGACCCACGAAGCTGCGGAGATGGTAAGGAGACGACGAACAGAACACATTGGGGCGTATAGACGCAATCTAGCTCGCGTGCGGTGAGGTTGTTGGCGCACTCGGTGAGGGCAAAGGCAGAGAGTCGCGTGCTCTGGTGGTATCGCGTCTACTGCCATGGTCACGCGTCTGATATTCTGACAATGGCAATGCACGGAATGGCTCGTCCGGCGGCCTATATTCTCATATGCCTCGCAGACTGCACAATCGTCAGACTAGCCGACATCCGCTTGTGATAAAGTAAATGTGCGTGGCTCCTCCTAAGCCTGTCATGCTACGGTCCGGCGGACATCTCGGGTAGGCTTGCCAGCGGAGCAAACACCAGCTGGTGCGCTTGGTTGTCATCTCTACACCACGCTATCATCGTGGCAGTCCTTCCTTACTGTTTTACTCTGTTTTCTCGCAGATGATCGAGCCTAGAGGCATTCATAGCAGGACCAAGATGGTATTGAGGTATCCGTCTAACGGATTATAGATGGAGCTTCTCGGTGACCTGATCGGCTCAAGCCAAACGAGAGACCATCTCGGGCTTAAGCTCCGAGATCTTGTTCACCCCAAGCAGGCGCATACCTGTGGCTATCTCCTCTCCCATTACTAAAGAGCGGAGCATGAGTCCCGGACGCGCACGCGGAAATTGCAACGGACTGACTTTCTGCTACCTTGACGATACCCTCCTCCCCATAGGCGGCGTTGGCGTACAGGAACGGCCTGCCGAAACCTACCGCAGTTGCGCCAAGACAGAGGGCCTTGAGCACGTCTGAGCCTCGCCGGAAACCGCCGTCGCAGTATACCTCGAGCTTCTTCTGGTCCAGGATGTCTGGCCTACGCTGGCGAATTTCCCAGAGGATATCGATTGATGCCGGAGCGCTTGGAATCCGCGTCAACCAGGCACGGAATATGGACGATACAGGTCCAAACTCACTAGTCCAATTGGCGACCACCATGATTTGAGAGCAGGACGCCGGCACAACCATACTGTAAGGCGATCTCAACATCCTCGACGCATTGCACACCCTTGATCACAATGGGCAGGTTTGTGATGCTCTGTCAAGGAAGTGTCGGTACGGCACAAATGCCTGACCAGGGAAGACGCACCCTGATCCAAGCGAGATCCTCCCACTTCAGGTTAGAATCGAAATAGCCACCGAGGGAGTTGGCAACACCAGCACGAAGGGCAGTTCCTTGGTCGCCAGAATTGTTCGCACCACGCTTGAACCCGTATCAGTGAGTGTTCCTAGTTGCAGTTGTAGTACTTACCACCACTGGGAGGCCCCTCGCTTTCATGTCCAGCTCGCGTTTGCCCAGCACGGGAGCATCCACAGTCAGCATGATCGCCTTGAATCCAAGCTTGTCGATTTTGCGAAGAGTATCTTCCGTAATCCTGTGGTCCGAGTTCACATACAATTGGAAGATAAGCGGCTGCCCCTCCTGCCTCGCCTCTGCGATCTCGTCGATCGTGCACGATGCATTTGAAGAGATGCCCTGGATGAGTCCGGCAGTGGCGGATCCCTTCGTAATGTTGATCTCACCCAGTGGGTGGCCGAGCTTTGCCATCGCAGCGGGGGACACGAAGACTGGCATGGAGCTGGGGATCCCAAGGATGGTCGTGGAGGTATCAACGTCCCGAACTGGACGCAGGACACGAGGGCGGAACCAGTAGCGAGAAAAGGCAGCGAAGTTGTTGTCGTATGCGCTGCCGGTGTCGGCCGTTGAACGATAGTAGCTCCATCCGATTTTGGATAGCACCTGGTGGGCGACCTCCTGCTCACAGCCCAGTCAGAAAGCAATCCATAATACAACGTAAAGAAGCAGACCTCAATGTCATCGAGATTGATCAGGAGGTTGATGTTCTTGATGTTCTTCCTCGCCTCCTCCACCCTGAGCTCGTCCTCCGTCTTCACCACCTCCACCACGGGGACCGTCGCCGGGTCTACGATGCCGATGTGCTGCTCAGGCGTGAGCAAGGTCTCGAAGAATCCTCCAGAGTGAATCGCGTCGTAGATCCCGGTTGCATCCTGGCCAGAGTGGCTCAGGATGACGGGGACACCGCCAGGGTGGTTGTCAAGGAAATCCGTCACACTGCAATGGTGTCAGCGTGCTCGTCCAAGACGAGGAAACGCACGACGCACTCGTAGATCTTCCCATGAACCATGACCCAGCAGCTCTCGCGAGTAGTGTGCTTCTGAAGCTCCTCATAGGAGATCATGCGCACACCGCCGGGTGTGGTCTTTTGTGCCTTGGATTTCTTCTTTGGTTTGGCATCGAGGTGGATCGGTTGGGAGAGAGCAACGCTCCCAATGACCTAGGGTATGTAAGCGAATAGGAAATGACATTGTATACAAAAGACTCACTGCAGCACCACCGATTATGAGCAACTCTGCCCAAATACCCTTCGGCGCCGCCCTGCTGGTGGACGCGTATGTCCTTCTCGCCAACGTCCTCGCGCCAACAGATCGACTCGCTGCGATCCCTCTGAGGGAAGTGCCCTGACGAACAGCGACCTGCCTCAGATATCCAAACATGATTCCACACCGTCTAGATCAAGCCCGGACAGCGATGGGGACGACAACGAGCGTCGGGGATACGTTGTATGAAAGGATGTGATATAAACGAACTCCCATTCGTCTTTTATATCTGCTCCTCGGCCCGGACGGTCAGTCACATGCGGGGAAAGGGACTTTCCCCAACCTCCCAATGAGAACTGTTCCACCGCTGCTTCGGCCGCTTTCGGCGGGAACTTGTACCGTCCCGGTGAAATAATTATGACCTTGTTTATTACAATACAATAGGTAATTCAATGGGAAACGACACCCGACAATTCTCGCTATGTATTTTATGCTTTCCGTTTCTTCTTGGGTCTCGACTCCTCGCCCTTTTCGTGCGTCCTCGTCTGTTTGATTGCATCCAGAACGCCAGCTAAACTCTGGTCCGCCTCAGCCTCCTTCAGAATGGTCTCTGCCTTGCTAGACGGCTGACGACGTTCCTGTGCCTGGTCTTCAGCGTGCGCTGGCTTGGGCTTCTTCGTTCTGGGTGCGGCACTAGTGAATAACGCATCAATCTCGTCGCCTTCCGCGTGTGATTTCCGCTTTTTGGTTACTGCAGGTCCTAACGAAGCAGCGCCGCTTGGATCGATATTCGTTTCCGTTTTGTTGGGACTAAGGTTTCCTGCTGTCAGAGCGGGAGCGGCAGATGACTGAGCGGCCTTCCAATCCTCAGGCTTCCGCTGAAGCAGCGTCAACCTCAGTTTACGCGCGAAGAAACGACCGTAGTGCGATGCCGCTAAGAACGTCTCGTGCTTGATGAGCGATCTGGCGATCTTCTCCTATGCAATGCATCAGAATATTTCCAGTGCAGGAGAAGGTTGACGCACTTTGAGGAACGTATCCGCCTTTGCCCAGCATAGATCTCCCACCCTGCTGCCGATTCTGTCATCCACAAGCTCGTGATACACGCCCAGGTAACCGGAGATCCACATTCTCTTGTTCTTGTTTGGCACTGTACCGGAATCGAGGAGACCGTCGATCACACGTGCGCTGGTGGGGTGATGCGCGAGAGCGACGCGCTCAGGCGTTGAGAGGGATTCAAGAGAGTCCAGAATTAGGGCGTTGGATGGAGAAGGAAGGTGCAGGAGAGACTGTAGTAGGAGGGATCCTTGCAGGTTTATGGGGTCAGAGTCTATTGGTTTCTTGCGAGGCGGCTGAGCAGCACTGCTGTCGTCTGTTTTCGATGGCATGGAGAGCACCTCCATCTTTTGTTCCTTGAATGTCTAGTCATAAAATCAATCTAATGGTGTTAAAATCAAAAGCGTGTACACACCGTATAAGGCATGCATGTCAACATGCATGGGACGATATTCTTCTTGTCCGTTGTGTCGCTGAAGCCAAAGGTGGACTTGACAGCTTCTATTGCCTGGTCACCTTGATCCAAATCTGCGGCGCGGGCGACAGCAGCGCGCAAGCCACCAGTACGATTATTTTCTGCAAGTGCACTCAGAATAATGTGAACTGCGCTATGAGCTGCCTCAGTACTTACTCAACACCCCTGCCCACCGTCCCTGCATTTCCTCCCACACCTCGCCCAATTCTTCCCCGTTCAGTCTCCCAACGGCACTAGCTAGCACGAAATTGGCCACCGGATGGACAGCCAGCTTCGGAAGCTTGCCCCTAAAGTAGACCTCCCATAATTTGTGCAATATATCTTCTGGAGCGACAGCAAGGATCGTCTCGAGGATGTGGGAAGCGGTCGCGTCTCGTAGCATCGTCTCCACATAGTCCGACGCCTGAACGTCTTTTGTTCCGTCTTTGATTTCTCCAGCCAATCCGACAAGAAAACTGTCCATGACAGATCCTGGCTGGCTCGCCAGGTCGGAGCGCGCCTCCACTTGTAGTAGTAGCTGGACGAGCGGATTTGCAGCCTTGTGTGCTGCCAAGGACCGCACAGAGTTGGGGTCCATCTGCTCTTTGAGCTCGCCGACTAGTCGAACTGCCAGATTGGAAAAATCAGCCGGTACACTGGTAGTAGAACTGAAGTTGGAGAAATCAGGAGTAGAGAGCACCCCGGTCATAGGGCCTTGCTTGGCTCGATATTTCGAGGATTTTTTACTTCGAACCATTCCTCCGCCACCCACCGTGGCCGAGTGGGAAGAGGTGAGAGGGATACGGTCTCCGCAGAGCAGGATGACCAATGCACCCAATACGTGCGCGCCAAACGGATCCAGTACGACAGTCCCAAGGGAAGGGAGGAGTTCGGCGTGCAGGGCGCGAACGAGCTCCGACATTGTCCGCAGTTCCCCATGCTCTGAGGTCGTTGAAGCGGAAGAGATAACTCCCTGAGTCTCCCTCGAGACGGTGGAAGGGGAGAGTGTGAGCAGCGTTTGACAGACGTGGGAAGCGAATCGGTGACATGCGAGCTGGGTAAACCTAGCATTTCATCATCAACGAAGACTCCCGAACCTAGACAGTTATAACTCACGCGCCCGCCAATCGGTCACAGAACACCCTTCTACTAAAATCATCCATCGAGTATATCATTCTCTCCAACACGACGGAGCAATCTGGGTCTGTCGATGCCTGGAGTTCCTTCCCGCTCAGCTCCTCTAGGGCAGCATTCAAGACCGCCCTCCGCGTCTCGTTTGGGTCTTCGCCTTCGACCAGACCTGCTTCATCCGCTTCGTCGTCAAGTCCAGAGTTCCACGACTTGAGCTTATCGTCTACGTTCCGGAAATAGGCTTTGACGTCGGGATCCAGTATGCCAAAGGGGTAGTTCAGATCCTCTTCAACATGTGATGGACCAGCCTGAGGCGGCTGGGTGTGTGATGCTTCGCCGGGTTGATAATATTCTTCTTCGTAGACAACATGATCATTCTCATTCTCGTCGGTTTTCTTATGTCGTCGACCACGTTTCCGTTGCTCGCGAGGCATAGCGATCTCAGGTGTTCAGAGAGTTGCAACAAGTTAGCCCCAAGCCAAAAAGTCACACCCTGAGGGTCCTGACAATTTGTTCTTACGTAATGAAATAAAACGCGGGGGAATTTCAGGGTCTCCCTGTTGAAGAAAAGACTGGGGCGAAGGCCAAGGCGTTCCGCTGCAAAGAACATTCCAGCTCTCTAGATACGTTACACACTCTCCTCCATGGCTGAAGAACGTAGATTAGTAGTTATTGTTACTGGGGCAAATAGGTAAGAAGTCCTGGATCGTGTTGCTCCGCGTTCTCACAATCGTGCAGCGGCGTCGGCCAGGGTATCTGCGAGCGTTTGGTCCTCCAAATGGCAGGCGCCCTCCCACCTCTTGATACCCCTATATCTCAGGAAGATGTATCTTCTGCGACTTCGATTACCCTAATTATGGCTTGCAGAAACAAGAAGCGTGCAGCGGCAGCTAGAACAAAGGTCCTTGACAGACTTGAACAATCCGGGGATCAGGAAAGACTGCGGGAGAGGCTTAGAATCGAGCCGGAGGATCTGGACCTCGGTAGTTTACACAGCGTGTACCGTTTTTGTATGAATATGCAACACAAGTGCGTCCTTTCCCTGAGCACCCAGTCAGTACTCACGTCAAGGCCACACAGATACGGTTACATAACCCATCTATTCCTCAACGCGGGCACAGGGAATTTCACCGGAGTTAACTGGCCTCTCGCGGCTTGGCAAATCGTCACCGAAGGCACGCATGCACTCATCTACCCGCGATACAAGGTTCAGGGTTTAGGAGCGATGACGGAGGACGGGTATGGGCTGGTCTGGCAGACGTGTGTGTTTGGGCATTTCATGATGGTCCGTCATGCCTTCAAACCATGCCGTAGGGAAAGATGCTTAATGAGCGATGTAGGTTCGGCTCCTGGCGCCGTTGCTGGTCAAGAGCCCGTTTAGTGACGCGAGGGTGATCTGGACCACCTCCGTAGAAGCCGATATCGCTGCATTTGAGACAGACGACTGGCAGCTGTTCAAAGACTCCGCTCCATATGATGCCGCCAAGTATCAGCAGGAGCTTCTCTCCTTCTCCCTCGATCAGGAGTTTGCCCAGCAAGCGGAGACGAGGCATGTGAGGAGTTTTGCAATCGAACCTGGCGTGTGTGCCACTTCGATCTATACTGAGACCCTCGGATGGTTCCTTGACAAAGCGATGATATTATGCCTCCACCTTGTATGTACATCGTTTGTTCTCCAAGGCCCAAGCTCATACTGACGTATGCTGGTGAAGTGCCGCTTGGCCGGCTCACCAACACATGTCGTCGACCCGTTCAAAGGCGCGGTCGGTGCAATCTACGTTGCCCTTGTTGCGCTTTCTTTACTCCCCTCCGTGGGCGAGCCGACTCGATACGGTGCACGGTGTCACTGGCTCGGGCAGGAATACCCCGAGAAGGTCCTGATAGATTCCAAGCACTGGGATATGAAGAAGGCGGCCGATCTGAAGGACAACTGCAACAGATTGTGCGATTCGTTGGTGCAGAAATTCAAGGAAGAAGACGCGTCAGAGATGAATGGTGTCGCTAACGAGAAAGAGAATTGATGGTCAATTTTGTCTTGCTTCCATTGGGTGGATTTACGTTTATCATTGATGCATATACCGTTGTCAACTTTATATATACAGAGAGCGGTGGCTGTGCAAACCTGGGCGCTATTTTGAGCGGCCAAATTCCACGCGCACAAAAACAGGGCGGCGGTTCGCCACTCAACACGTCGACATCGTCACGGGCGACGCGCTCGCCGTTCTATTTGTTCTGCTCATCGTCTAGAACGAGGTATTCATCGTCCACTACGATGGCGAGCCTCCTTCTCTCTACAGCTCATCTGTCCAACATCTACCCCATCTCACAGCCGATCACAGTTCCTACCACCCAATCTGGTCTCGCACTCCTCCCAGACCCTGCAACACACCGTACAGAAGCTGACCTCGCCTCCTCCGCCTCATCCCATTTGTGGCCAGAAATTGGTCGTGTTCTCGCTCGGGTAGTGAACGACCGTCGCACCCTTGAGCTAACTCATCTCTCTTCAGACTGCCCACCGATCAGGTTCCTTCTCCCTTCTCGCGCTTTGGGGAATCCAGGGGTGGCATTCGAGCAACAGACGTCATCGCTGCACGTCCTTATCCTCACAGAAGCGAACTCCCTCTATCGACTCAACTTCCCTGCTCCTGCGCTGTTCAACACTGCTCCCCTGCCGCGTAATTGGTGCAAGGAGTATGTTGTCAAGAGCGTGCTCGAAGGAGATGGACCTGTCTCGCTCATGGATATGAGCACGGTCCTGATTGGCTTGAGGGATGGAGGGGTATTGAAACTGGATCAAACGCGCATGAGCCGGCCAGAAGTAGTCGATGGGCTGACGAGCTTCTATGATAGTACGCGCCTTTGTTTTGGCGTTCGCGCATACAGCTAACACAGAAGTAGCAACATGGAAAGAGACACCAATACGGCCATCGTCACTCTACAACGCATTGACATCCTTCATCCCCTTCACCTCCGGCTCAGCATACGAAAACCCAGCGCATATAGTTTCCCTAGACTGCGCCTCCTCATCCGCGCTCACTGGATTCGCCTTCACCGTCTCACGGGATCGGCGCCTGCGAGTCTGGCATCTGCCCAGCTCTACCTGCGTACGTACTGAAGAGCTTCCGTCATCTCCGACCGCTGTGGCCCTCGAGGCCTCACCACAAAAACGTCGACCCCTGCCTCTGCTTCCTGCCGAGTCCCGTCGGCTTGTCCGCTTCCTACCGCCTTTACCCAACGCTCCCGCCCATGCTCGCACATCGCGTGTACTCGTTTTCCTCCCTACGCCCTCCGACCCTACCTCCGCGGGGTATTTCACTTTATTCGAATTGCACCTCTCACATGGACACGTCCACTCCGTTCCGATCTTGGGTCAAAAACCCGCTTCAGAACAGAGTGCCGGCGCTGATATCCGTGACTTTTGCGTGGAGAAGGGAAGATTATACGTCCTCTGGGACCAGGGTGGGCGAACCCTGCTAGAATCGACACCTTTGGAGTTCGGTGAGCTCGCCCAATCCCGTTCCACCGCCAAATGGACTTCCGCAATTATGCCCGAAGAGCCGGACATGCACTCCGGGCACAGTCTCTACCGCCCCTCCTCCTCCAGCACATCAGAAGAAGACGACCAGATGCTACCGAGCCTAATTCACATGTATTCGTCCCCCCTGACGACCCCAGGGCTTTTTTCTCCCCTTGCGCTACGAGCTGCTTTAAGAGAGTACACTTCCCAGCTACTCTCCGACCTCCCTCAGGATGAAGTCCTCCCTCCAACACTCTCAGAGAAGTACGAGTCCTCACTTCAGGGCATTATTGCTGGAGTAGGGTGCGCTGTTCCTCTGGAGAGGGATGGCGAGACTGGACTCTGGAAGTGGGATGCCCAGCGAGAAGGGGTAAGAAGGGAATGGGAGCGGTTCGGGGCTATTGCTGTAGAGCTGGAGCGGGCAGGGCGGGTGCCGCTCTCCCTTGGAACAGGGAGGGAAGGAGAGGTCCTCGTGCTTGAGAGAGAAAGAGTGGGCGTGCTTGCGGAATTTGAACCTCCCGGGACAGGGAGCAAGGCCGAGCGCGGCCTTTTGGAGTTCGCCCGGGCATTAGTGCGGGCTACAGGCTCCCAAGGGTATGCGGAGTATGTGCAAGAAGTCCTGGCCACGGTGAGAGCGCCGATAGAGCAAAGCACGGAAGACCTATCTATGGGCCTGTACGAGCGCACTATCCGACCTCTTCTTGGCAACGTGCCAGAGCTGCTGAGCGGCCTACAAGGGCTATCCGACATAGGCAGCACTGTACAAGGCTTGGTCAAAAGCCTTCTGAACCTCAATACGTTTACCGACACCCTGCCCGTTGGGGAGGGCGAGCTATGGAACGGATGGGTTACAAGCTATATCTGCTCCTTCGCCAAATCGCGCGCAGACGCTGTCCTTTCTCTCTTCGCACTCCTCATTTTCGCTTTGGTAGAAGCGCCCGGGTCGCTACAGGACTCCACAGCCCTGCTTGGCAGCGCACTTGTAGCGCTGCATTCGATCAGCACGTTGACGTACCTGTGCCAGCAGCCAGGCGGGAACCCGCTGCGGAAAACTGGCCCAGGTGGAGCTGAAGAAGACTTTGCTGTGCGCTTCGGGCGTCTGGCAGTTGGGACAGAAAAGCAGGGAGGAGGACTGAGGAGAGGAATCAACTACTGCTTGATCCACTCGTTGCTACCCGAATCATCGCAAGCGGTCAATGTGCGCGAGTCAGCGTTTGATTTCGTTCGTGGATCGGGCGTGCTGGAGGTTAGGCGGGAGATCGGGGTGTTATCGGGCGATGTGAAGTTCTTCAATGAACTTCGAATGAAAGGGCATTTGCAGGTGGTGGTGGAAGTTGCTGGGTGGTATCCGAGATCACCAGCGCTGTCATACGTCCTGGGACGGACACTTTTGGAGTTGAAGAGGGGACAGGAGGCGGCTGAAGTTTTGGAAGGTGTCGCGAGTGTTTTTGGTGAGCTGTTCATCTAGTTTTGCTGCACAGCTGACTGATTGGAGGTCAGATGAACACACTGCAGCTACCCTGCTCGATAAGCAGGCAGTGATCGCCGTTCTTCCCATACCAGAGTTCCAAGCAACGCGCTCCTTCATATACCAACAAATCGCATCCTGGTTTGAGCAGGCCAGTTCCCTCTCACTCGCTGTGTTGTACTGGAAGCTCGCCATAGACACCGCAGCCTCCAAATCCGACCTAGCCCACCTATGGTACAAAATATCTGCAGCCCAAATCGAGCTCGGGCTATTTGAAGACGCCTACGGTACCCTCATGGCCACGCCACACCGCGACCAGCAGGACAACACGCTTCGTAAGCTTATCGACGTGATGTGCTCTTCTGGGGAAGCGGACAGGCTCGTGCGAATGAGTTTTGCCGGTCTGCAATCTACGGTAGAGGACATTCTCGACTTCAAAGCGAGGAATCATGATCCACTGCAGCCCCCAGATTATAGCTTGATCCTATATTCCTGGCACGTGTTGCGCGGTAACTATCGAGCCGGTGGGTCCTTTCTTCCAGTGGAAAAAATGTCAGGCTGATGTCCTGTGCTACAGCTGGCGCGGCGATGTACCACCATGGCCGGCGGTTAGGAGCGCTTACGAATCCCAAACTGGATCATCATGGCGTGACGCTGAATCAAGCCCATGCTTTCCTGGCTGCCATTAACTCCCTGTCATTAGTCGAACCCCGGAATGCTTGGGTCGTGTCAACGAGGGCAGATCGGGACCCAGTGCGCAGTCGTTTTCACCACCTTTTCATAAGCAAACTGACACCATTGCAGGGTGAACATATACCGGTTATTCATCACATTCCAACAGAGCTGTTCGCGTCGGGAATGCAAGAACGAGAGCTAACGAGCATTGAAGACATCCGACGTGAATACGTGCTTGCGCTAGCGCGACTCGAACTGTTACCCCATCTGCAAGATCTAGGCACTACTGGTAAGTGACACGTCACAGATTGTGAAAGCTCCTGACAGCTTCTCAGGGATTCAATTATCCCCGGAAGATGCTGTGGCCGCTTTCGCACAATATGGGATGTATGATTCCGCATTCAACACTGCATCAAGCTTAGGGGTAGACATGAGCGGCCTTTTTAAAGATCTTGCTCGCAAGTGCACGTCGATTCGCTCCGACACTGGAATAGAGTACGTGCGGTTTATATATGCTGCGTACATTCCCACTGACGAATCACCTAGTACTATGAATGTTGCACCCTGGCTTGAATTGGCATCGGAGCGAATAGGCTCCTGGGATGGTTCGATCGGGGAGAAAGCATGGCGATACTTACGAGAGTGTCTCGAACGATACGACTTGCCTGGCACGGGCTACCGATACTACAAGGACGTCCTCGAAGCGATGCTGGCGTATAACAGACACAATCGCGTACCTAATTGGCTTAGCAAATTCTTTGAAGATCACCAACCAGAGCACCTCATTCGCACATTCTTACGATATGGCTTGGTGCAAGATGCTGTTGCATACACAATCACCCTAATTCAAAAGGCGCGCAATGCTGGTGATTTATCACACCGAGTCTCGCTTACATATGAACTAGTCAAACGCCAAGCTCACCCTGATACCCGGTGTTACTGAAACATGGTTGCAATATTCCCTCATTCAATCTGTGATTGACTTCGGCCAGAATTCAGGGGAAGGTAACGTTAGAGTGCTGGCAAAGAATGTGGAGGCGATGATCGAGGAGCGCATACGGACAATGGATGATCGTAGTCGGTTGGTAGCACACAAGCTGGATGGGAAATGATGATACATATTGTAATCAAGTTTGACGGGTACATTGCGCTTCCGTCTAATACATATCCTACTGTTACATCAGAAGAAAACAGAGTGAGCCGTGAATACCAGACCAACAGATCAAGAACAAAACTACAATAACGCGCAATGTGAGAGACAGGTCCAGATACTCGTGGAATTGTTTTTGATTTTTTTATCATGCCATCACGCCATTGATCCCTGGCGCATTCATACTCGGCTGAGGAACGGCGCCGTTAATCTGATTACCGTTGGGAACCCTCTCAAGGAATCTGTTCCACTGGTCAGAGTCAAGTGCAAGACTTGTACTCCATACTCCTTCATCTCCCTGCATATTGTATGCCATGGGCGGTCCGCCCTGTGCAGGGCCCATCAGACCCGCGGCCGCGGCATAAGCGCCGTCAATACCGTTGGGCGTATACACTGTGCCGGGACTGCTCCCATGCGGAGCAGCAGCGCCTGTGGTTACTGTTGTTGGGGATCCATTCGGATGACCCTGTCCCATGGGCGGTACAGACACAAGCGTTGGGGATAACGAATTTGCTGCGTGTTGCCATGGGAATGCTAAACGGCGGACGAACTCCAGTTGGGCGCTCATCTTCATCTCGCATTCTCCCTCGAAGTGATCGACGCAGACTTCTTCGTACAAAGGAGCAAGCGCTCTGAGAATGTTGAGCGCTTTCTGCGCAATGCGGACGCCTTGTGCCTGCAGGTGCTCGAGGGTCACAATCGCTCGGCGAATATCGTCACGGAACATCTTGGCATCTCGTTCATGTTCCTCAGAATAAGGTCCCGAGGCTTGCCAAATGAGCTGGAACGAGTAGTAAATGGCGGCATGGAAGATATGGTAGGGCCCCCATCCGACATGCCCAGGCACAGTCAGAGGTGAAGGCACACCGACGTGCACCTGGCTCTCCTGTTCACACCGCTCCAAAGTGGTGCAGACGTAGTTGATAAGCATGTCCGCCGCTCTGACGGCGAGTTTGTATGACTCCAGAGCCTGTGGCGTCATAGGGGGCAAAGCACCTCGAGCGCTTGAAACCGGGATCGTAAACGGACGGTGGAGGGTGAACCGAATATGGTACATGGCCGAATTTAGGTGAAGGGCCTGGATGGCCAATCGCCGATCCTGAATTCGATTGCTGACAAGGAGTGAACCGAGAGGCAAGGGATCTGTTCGGCAGCCGGCCGGCAGCCCTTCTGCCCAATTTTGAAGCGCGTGGTCATGTTGCATAATCTTTTCATACGGAACCTTCTTCACACTCAGAGCGCTGTCCAGAATGTCCCCGAGTATGGCGCATAAGCGGAAGAATTGACAGTGGGTTGCGTAGGGACCAGTATTGTTGGGAGGGGAGTCGAATGCGTCGGTTCCATCAGGCAGCAGCGTGTCAAAGTGGTGGTTCGCGATCGCCACGGGTCGCCCGACAAGGAATGCTTGCCATCGCCCCAAAGCGAGCACATTCCACCAGGCCCATCTCCTGCGCTCCACAGTTTCCGCGTTGAGACGCCATCGGCCAGGGTCACGATGTAAACCGAGAGCAGTGGCGTATGACAGCACTTCACCGCGAATGTGCCATACATCCTCGCAATCGTCCTTGCAGATGACAAGGTACTGCGTCCGAAGGAGCATATATTCAATAAGCTCTAGACTGGGACTGTTCTCGCTTCCTTGACGATGGCGGTTCAGTGCGTTGCAAGAGCTGTTGTAGTAGTTGCTGGCGATCTGACTAGCAGTCTGCTGCGGCCCCAGCTGAGCTAGAACTGGGTCGGTTGGTGAAGTGTAGAGAACGGCAAGCGCTAGAACAATAAAGATCGTCGCAAGCAGAACATGGTCGGTGCATGTGGATGATTTGAAGCGCTCCCAGTTCGGTAAGAAAGAGTTGGGATGGATGTACACATGCACCCAAGTGCAATTTTCGAAGAAATAGTTGATCAGTCGATCTGCGATGTTCACATCGGGCAGTGCTGAAAGTAAATCCAGGTTTGACATGGGATCGAGAGTACATGCTGCTCCTTGCTCTTCGATGGGCACATCGTGTTCCAAGTCTCTCTTATGCGCATTCTGCAAAAGGTGAGAATTAGCTGGCGCGCAATAATATAATAAGGACTTACACGAAAGTGGAAAAGAGCACTGGCACTCGTAGGTCCGGTGTATAACCCACCTTTATCAAGATCGGGCATGAGCTCGGCATTAGCGCCTGGGACGTTCGAAGCGCCGTTCAATGTGACGGAAACAGCTTCGCCATCGCTGTCACGTTTGATACCGAAAGTTCTAGGTGGGGAATCTCCGCGGTGACCGTTAATATGAGGAGCGCTTGAGGGAGGCAATGATCCGTGGCGGTTAAAGTAGGCTTCGATGACGGCAAGACCCTGACGGATCTGTGCAATACCATTGTGGGGATCATTGCGATAACTGGAAGGAAGATATATGAGCTTGTATAAAAGTGCTATGGGGAAGACTCACTCTTCCGGGCGACTTTCTCCGTCCTCCGTGGTATAACATTGGTTGGTGGTACCCCTCAAGACACACCCTGAGCATGGGCGTGCCCGATCACATTTGAGCTTGCTTGCACGGCAAGGAGCACAGTTGATGGCACGACGAGACCGCTTCGAGGGTTTTTGTCCAGGAATCATCTCTGTATCTGGTGAGTGTTTTCTCACGCCGTTAGTTGGCGTTCCTGTTGTGGGTGTTCCCTTGGGAGGCGAAATGGTGTTTCTCGCTGGGATGTGAAGTGCAGGCGGGTTCCCTGCCGAATACGAATGCATCATATTGGCTGACATTATATGCCAGTTGTGAGAGCTGTGCTAGCTCGACAGTTGACGAGCCAATGTGATGAAGGGTTGGGAAGAGACGTTGACGAACGATGTGCCAGAAGAGGACAAGATGGTGGTCGAGACGAATGCGATGCTGGGACGCTACTGAGAGTGGGAGCGAGGCTTTTTGTAGACCGTTCGAATTTTGGCTGAATGATGTTCCCAATCAGAGGCGTGGGATACCAGCAAGTACTGGAGATGGTGATGGTTATAAACGAAGGAGAGCCAACTACCAAGGAGGGGGCCAAGGCACTGCGCCACTTGCCACTCGCGCCCTAGCCAAAAGTCGACTCTATTTCGAGACGGAGATGACCAAGACTGAATTACATCCGTCATACGGAAACAAAACTGCTTCCCTCTCACCTTGTTGCGATCGAACCAACCGCCGGAATGCCATTCGATCATAAATTCTCCCTGGTTTTTCCCCCAGCTCTTTTCTCCTCCACCTCTTCCCCCAATTAACACGCTTACGGCACCCCATGGGTTCTCACAACGGTGAAATACGGACTCACTCAATTCGGAAATTCCATCAAATATCCTCCAATTGCCTTGCAAATTCTCGAGTCACAATTGTCAACAATTGCAAACTTTCCTTATTAAAGAATTCGGAGAAATCAACTTAACGCCGATCCTCCACCTCTTCGCATGCAGACTACGTTTCTCAGTGGGGGCTTCTCGCACGGGGATATTCTCTCGTTATGCCCGGAGAACCCTTCCGGGGCGCCCAGTCCACAGAATATCAGAGTACTTTTCTTCGTCTCATCGGCATGCCTTTGGAGCAACCACGCGATGCGCTCACTCTCTGCTCACATTTGGTCTCAGGGGTTATTTCTCGCACTGCGTATATTTGGGCATCCCATGCGGGTCGAACGCATTCTATTCTATTGTCTACAGGGACTCAGGATGATGGGGTGACGTGATTTCGGCAGCGCTTTGCAAGGGAAGGGAACGCCTGAAGCGCAGCCAAATACATTCCGATGTCTTCTTTGCTGGCCTTTCAACCGTCAAAGAAGGTGGCATGACCCCGGAATCTTCCTTTCGACAGCAGTGCCATCGATCTAGATCTAGGAAAGCTTCCAGTCTAATTATCGCATCCGGAGGTCCGCGCCGTAACCTGTTTAACAACCGAATGAGGGACGGTTAGCTTCTCGACTTCTCTATCTTGGATCAAAACGGAATCGGGCGGCCATTGGCCGCGCCTCCGTGCCTAACGTGGCTTCACAGTCTTTAAACTTCCCATGCTTTCTCACCTCCACATGATTGGACAATCTTGCTGGTGCCAGCCGTCAGTCGGCTATGTGGTTGTGGGCTGTTGGTATCGAATTAGTCAGAAACAAGCTTGGCCCGTCATCTCAAATATCGTTCTGGATGCGCTGTACCACTGCCTACAGTCCTGAACTGGACCAGCAAGCCCATCAACGACCGTTTCTCACTTGTGCGGACGATAGGTTGGGTACCTTCTCGGCTTCCCAAGGCGATCCACAGCGACGTCACTCCCCGATTTCGCACCCTGCCTTCTTATCTCTTTCCCCAGGCGTCCTTTCTCTTCGGGACTACAAGCATGCATGTGTGTGTGGGAAGGTTCCCCTGACTGGAGCCGCGCATACTCCCTCCTGACCTTGTTCCGAACACGTTGGAATTAACAGGGACGTGGGCTGTTCGGCGCCGATACACTTGCACACGGCTCAATTTCTTGCTGCATGAGATGGGAATCCCAGCGTGGTTGGACCATGTCAGACCACCATCCGATTGCGCTGCATGATTTATTCCGACGGAGCGCGCTAATCTTATGCTGGTTTCGGAGGGTTACTCCCGCAAACTCCCGACCGTGCTGGACTCCCACGGTTCGGCGTTACAAACACCGCTCCCCCGGATCGTAGCGCCTCACTCAAAGTCGGGAGCTGTAAACACAATGTTGCTGACTCGCTGGATGGATGGATATCTTGCTTGATGCTGAAGGCAATACAAGAGGGTGGTCTGTCATATGCATTATTCTTGTGCACGAACATCGGGTGGAGGAAATTTCCGGCTATCACGGATCGTACCGCCGGTTGAAGTGCTGTGTCTACTTTGATGTGGCTGGTTGCCATTGTCACTTACGTACGAGCTATGTTGCATTTGCAACCCCAACCGGCCACTATACCCAAACAATGTATCGCTCTCGCATGGACAGGTCATTGTCGAGGGTTCTTGTAGCGTCTAATTCAAGCCACGCGCTCGTTGGGACTCCACAGCACTCGTTTTGCCATTCCAACCCTTCCGATAAACGATAAAGGTTGAAAACGACATCAACGTGCGATGATGCTGCACAACTCAGCTTAGTATGTCAGCAAGTTGGGCTGACTGAACATTCCAGGAAACTTTGGGGATTGCGCAGAAACCTTCAGTATTCAAGATAACCCCACTTTACTTTAAAGCATTATTGTGCGTCCCAGACCTGGAAAACTGGAACTCGTAATTGCGTTGTCGTTGACTGCCAATGGCCATGACTCAACAACAGTAACATCATTGCCATCAGGTGTCTTTCACTAAAGAATGATCAGTCGATGGTTTGCATCGATATCATCAACCAATCCATTGATGATCTCCACCCGATGTTTTGTAACCCTTCTGTCTCGATACCTGGCTTAATTTGTTCTCTGATGGATGTTCATGATCTCTTTTTTTTCACCATGAATACATTAGGATACGAACACAACGGGATCCGAGCAACTGCCATTGGATAGAAAGTGCGGTGTATCGGTCGTATCTCCACGTCGATACAGCTTCAAATCTTGTCAATTGGTACGATTTGGGGTTGTAGCTTGCGGGCACTGGATCTCACGTGTAAGTGAGGAGCTATCTGAGTTGCTGTACGAAGTTGTGCGTGCTGACTACCCAGGCACATCCGAAATCCCGCGATTTTGACTCTGCCTCAATCTTTGAAACATGCAAAGTGGATGCAGGGCTTCACTACTGTCAAGATGTATTGCTGAGATATGCTGATGCTCAGTTACGCCTTGAATGCTCAGTTACACCTTGAATTTTCCGCCGCCGACTGGCTACGCATGTGTCCGAAGCAGGGCGGTCGGAAACCTGGTGCCTTTCGAGGAAGGCAGCCCGACTCTCGCTAGCGGCAAACAGGGCGGCAAGTTGTTAGTCGAAGCCTCTCGAATTGGGAATATCAAGTGTGATCGCAACCCGAGCGGCGCAAAGTCCGACGAGCTGCCAATTGCGTAAAGCCTGTGGATCCGCCGGTTGTGCCACCAAGAATTCGATGGACACGCCCAGACCGTCGCGATATGTTACTACCTCACGACCCATCTACGCTTCTAAACCGCCTGGGGCGCAATATAGATCTTGTTTTTATCGGTGTGAGGTACTCCGCGGAGAATTTGAGCTACCAGACAGATCCTCTAGTTACATAAATGTAACTGTTCTGGCGGCGGTGGTTGAGCCGAAGTTACTCCGACGCAACCCGAAAAACAAGAGGTCTCTGTCAATTTCCTAAATACTTGGATTATTGCAAACAGCTTTTCCGAGATTAGATAAACAATAGTCGATAAATCGTAATGGAAAATTATGGAAGAGTTGAGTCACTGGTATTGCCTCCGAGCATCAATGGGGGATTTTTCGAGAACGTTCTCCGCCGTTCGTGACGGGAGCGAGGTGCGGGTGAGGCAGACCTATTTTACTTCACACCAACCATTACTTTCAATATTCTCTATACCATCTCACGATCTTGACGACCATCCTTTGAGCACTCGTACAATGGCGGACAAGAGCTTTGCTGTGTGTACCTATCTGACAATCAGGCGATAAGTCGGCTGATGCGGATCGTAGGCAAACACTCTCAAAGACCAAGGCAACAAAGCCTTCCAGGCAAAGCAGTACGATGACGCGATTGAGCTTTTCTCTAAGGCAATCGAACTGGATCCGAAGAACCATGTATTGTGGTCCAATCGTAGTGCTGCTAAAGCGGGCAAAAGACAATGGGCTGGGGCTTTGACCGATGCCGAGGAGGTGCGTTTCTAATTTGGGCGCTTGTATTATAGCAATCCTGATACGTGTATCTCGAAGACTGTGAACCTCAATCCATCATGGGGAAAGGGCTATGCCAGGAAAGGTGCGGCACTCCACGGACAGAAGCGCTACGACGAGGCTATCGCCGCATACAACGAAGGGTTGAAGATAGAGCCGGGAAACACCGCACTCACAAAAGGGCTAAAGGAGGTCGAGAACGCTAAAGGTATGTGTTCTTACGTTCGTTTTTTCCGTGGAATTTTGCTCATGTGATTGTCATTCAGCTGACTCCTCGGCTGATGCCGGCCTTGGGTCCATGTTCCGTGATCCCAATATGTTAGGCAAACTAGCTGCGAACCCAAAGACAGCGGGCCTTCTTGCCGACAGGGACCTTGTCGCAAAGCTCCAGGCACTGCAGACGGGTCGCACGCTTCCTCAAGATGCGCTCTCCGATCCTCGCATGATTCAAGTATTGGGGGTCTTGATGGGTATTGATATGCAAGCATTCGAGCGTCCCGAAGGATCCGATGAGTTACCTCCTGGTATCGTTCCCGAGTCTTCCTCGTCCGCGCCTGCATCGAGGCCAACTCCTGCTGCATCGAAACCTGCGCCTGAGCCCACACCGAAGGCGGCGCATAAGCCCGAACCTGAACCTGAGCTGGAGGCGATGGAAGTTGATGAGGATGATGAGACCCGGGCGAAGAAAGAAGCCGAGGAGGAGAAGGGAAAAGGCGCTGCTGCGTATCGCGCTCGTGATTTCTCGGCCGCAATCACGCACTTCTCCAAGGCCTGGGAGATCTGGCCAAAGGACATCACCTTCCTGACAAATCTCGCCGCTGCGTACTTCGAGCAGGGTGAATATGACGAATGTATCAAGGCTTGCGAGAAGGCTGTTGATGAAGGTCGCGAGATCCGCGCGGACTACAAGATGATAGCCAAGGCATTTGGTCGTATCGGCACCGCATACAACAAAAAGGGCGACCTGGATAATGCTGTCCGGTTCTATCAGAAGAGTTTGACCGAGCATCGTACGGCGGAGATTCTGACTAGGCTGCGCCAAGCTGAAAAAGACAAGGAGGAGGCGACGAAGAAGGCGTACATCGACCCTGAATTGGCTGAAAAGGCTCGGGAGGAGGGTAACGCGCTGTTCAAGGCTGCCAAATTTGCCGACTCTGTCAAGGCATACAGTGAAGCTATCAAACGTGACCCGTCCGACCCCCGTGGGTACAACAACCGTGCGGCAGCATACACCAAACTAGCGGCTCTCCCGGAGGCACTCAAAGATGCCGACGAGGCGATCAAGGTGGACTCCAAGTTCATCCGGGCTTACATACGGAAGAGCATGGTACTTTACGGGATGAAAGAGTACTCGAAGGCGATGGAGGCTGCGCAGCAGGCATCAGATCTCGACGAGAAGAAGGAGCATACGAGAGAAATCGAGGGTCAGTTGCAGAAGATCGCTACGGCGATGTACACACAGCGCGCGAACGAGACCGAAGAGGAGACGCTGCAAAGGGCAATGAGGGATCCTGAAGTTGCTGTACGTACCTACACCTGCATGAGCTGTACTTTTTACAATGCTGACGTGTCTCCAGAACATTATGGCTGACCCTGTCATCCAGTCCATCCTACAGCAAGCTCAGCAAGACCCCGCAGCTCTTCAGGACCACTTGAAGAACCCCATCGTAAGGGCCAAGATCCAGAAGCTGATTGCCGCCGGCGTGATCAAGACGCGTTGAGCCGTCTCCTCTGGCGATAACGTGCCTCAGTTGGTGTCAATGTAGTAATAATCGCATGTGATGTGCATCTGTCATTCTTTTAACGTGGTCTTTTCCTGGTCAGATGACAAAATACAAAATCCATTTCTTGCAATTAGTGTCATTGTACAACAGTGGTGTGGTTGTGTACATCCGCCCGAAGATGAGCCGAACCATGTGTACATATTCCTGATCCTATACCGGAACGCCTAGCTGTCTCCTCTAAGTAGACTTCTGCACAGGGGACAGAGGTAGGCTGGTGGTCTTCCTAAAGCTGGGTGGACAGCTCCATGACCAATCTAGATACCCCTGTTCCTGGAAGATCGACTTGACGAGCCCCTCTGCATATCGCCTCGGCACACCATCTGTCGTGGGGTTGTTCACCTCTCGCCAGAGAGCGACGGCCTCGTGCACTTCGTGTAGGTTACTGAGACCGATAACGGTCGGTACTGTCAGGCCCACTGTGCAGCCCATGATCTCACCCTCGCGCTTGAGGGTGTATCCGACGGCGAGGTTAGGCAGCTCGCCGGGCCATTCTTTCACCCGCTCATACGCTACCGCAGCGACTTCTTTTAGTTTCGTAGGCGCAGGGTGCCAAGGTGGCGCACGGGCTGTGAGCAGACCCATGCTGAGCGGGGAGGCGCAGAAGACTTGGGAAAGCTTGGCATCGCTGTGCAGATGAGGAAGGAAGGAGACGAAGGCCGAGTTTTGTAGCGTGTAGTGCGAGTAGGACAGGACGGTGTCGAGCGGTTGGAAAGGGGGTGTGTGGAGGGCGAGGATAGCGACACGGAGAAGCATAGGAAGTGTGTATCCTGTGGTATGTTCAGGGGGTTGTGGGACATCGAGGTTTAGAAAATGACCAACCGGATATGCCTATTGCCCGTACCAGGCCCTCCTCCTTGAGCTTCCTCATCTCTGTAAGAGCCTCGATGACCCTCCTATCGCCTGATCCCCACACTTTGCCCTCTTTCCCAGGAACCAGGCCCCAGTCCGCACCTGCATCTGTGAACACCTTGGAATGAAGCCCCTCAAGCGGGAAAGGGCACATGGGGGAGGCGACGAAGTCTACGTCGTGGAGTAGAAGAACGTCGAGGTAACTGGTCCCCAATCGCTTGAGGGAGCGGAGCACGGACTTCCGGATCGTCGAAGGTGTGTAGTCGAACTCATCTGAGCCATAACGCCCGCATTTGGTGATCTAGTGGATGGGTTAAATGCAATAATAATCGACATAGACAAGGCGCACGATCTTGTACGATGACCGAGGGAATTCGCCGGCGAGTGCCTGCAGACATTGTCCTAGCACAACCTCGGAGTCGCCATAGTATGGAGAAGTGTCGAATGCCCGAATACCGTATCTTATTCGCATTCAGTTCGTGCTCGATGCAAGGATACCAGAGACTGACCGTAATGCCAACCTGACCGTCCGTACCGGAATGTCCGACTGCAACAGTCCCTCGGTGTTATATATCGTCGACAGGGTGGCCGCGCCGAAGACCAGCTGGGGGAACGCCAGAGGGCCAATGTTTCCCTGCTCGCCGTGGTCAGCACAGGGCACCTAAGCGCCGCCGACGCGTGAAAAGGTTAAGCGGTATACATACAAGCTGGAGCCCCGGCTGGGGAAAGTCGTTGACCTCCTCTCTGATGTACGTCGGGAAGGTGTAGGACGGCTCTGGCTGATCTGGATGACGGCTTTCTTGTGCCATTTCCGTTGTCTACCTCTACGGTGGTTGTGAACAGTGGACAGCGACGGTGTGCAGATGGCGGTCAAGGTTGAAATTGACGACCTCGAATGGCGTCCATGACAGGGCCGCGCGTGCATTATATGAGGGACGGAGGCACTTGACCCATCTCTTCTTCTCTCCACGTTGAGCGCCCAAATGTTGAAAGTAAATTGAAGACTTTTCTGCTTCTCTGTTCATGTTCTTCTCGCCTTTCTCTCTTCGTTACCATCCCACCTGGCTTCTCCTGTCTCAAACGTTCTCAAATGAGTCGAACGCCCGTCGACGAGCGATAAATTGCCGTCTCTGCTCACCTCATCACCTCAGGGCCCTGCAGCGCCTTGTCCACACTAACAGCTGTCTATCCCTGCCTGTCCAGTCCGCTGGCCGCCGTGTGGAATGTGCAAGTGTACGACAGCGAGCGATGGCCGCATGGGATGTGTCATCTCACCGAGTCTGGTACCCTTCGCGCATTGTTATGGCCGAACATCGGCGCAACCACCGACAGCCGTATTCATTGTATCGAAGTTCAGAATGTGGAATTCATAGACATGAACGGCCTCGAGCATGTTGGACTTCTGGGAAGAACGGACACGAGCATCCCATCCCTCGGGAATGGCTGTCCGCGTCCTCCACACCGGCGCTGTGATGGAATCCTATGAATGTTCGACAACGGACGACATTCATGGGACTTACCATTGAGCAACCTATTCAATCTATTGAAGAGAGTCGCACTAGTGAAGGCCCTGGTGATAATCTATTGATGGTTGCTCGCTTAGATTACCTATTGAAAGGTTGTTGATAGGGTTGTTCGGCCACAGGGAACGAACAATGAATGGTCCGAGGTCGCCGAATTATTAGTGCAGAGGGGATACTCGATATCATCGTTTGCTGCAATAACCAGGCATCTCTTATACTCCTTGACCTCGCGGTTAGTGCGGTGTATGTTGGGAATTATGTGACTTCATGGGATAGGCGCTTAATCATCGGACGAAGGATGCAGGACGACTGCAAGTGCTGACAAAGACCATCGCAGTCAGGGCGTGGGAATGCGCTACGTGAATTGATATTGCTTTCAAGGGAACGAATAACAAGGCTTTGGGAAAGTAGTGTAACGGCGGGTCGCCACTAAGTTGGGTCCGGACGAGAGAGAGATTCAGAAAAGAACGAATTGAGGGAGCACGGGGGAAGATATAGGCATCCAGTCGCATCTATCAAGTCAAGCAAGGCATTGTCCGGGTTCGCCCCTCGAACCTCTATTATGAGCGTAACTCTTTCAATGCAGGAGTACCTCACAGGGCACCCTGAGCCATTTTAGCCTTGTAGTAGCGGACCATCTCCTCGACACCCATGCGAACGTTCCACCTGGGTTGCCAGTCAAGGACCTCCTTCGCACGCGTCGTGTCGGGGCGACGACGCTGAGGGTCGTCGCCGGGCAGAGGCTTGTAGACGATCTTCACCTTGGGAGCCACGATGCCGTCTTCCTTCTGCACCTTGGCGACGACCTCACTGACGATCTCTGCAAATTCGCCAATGGAGAACTCGTCGGTGTTGCCAATGTTGACGGGACGGGTCTCGCTCGAGTTCATCAGCGCAATCATGCTGATGAGAAATTAGTCGCTGAACACGGATTTGTCTACAACTGCGTACCCGTCGATGAGATCGTGAATGAACTGGAAGGAGCGGGTCTGGGTGCCATCACCGTACACCGTAAGATCCTCGCCTTTGAGGGCCTGGATGATAAAGTTGGAAACGACACGACCGTCGTAGGGGTTCATGCGGGGACCTACCTCACTTGAGCATTACATGACCAATACAAGACAAGTATCACGCACCGTAAGTGTTGAAGATACGGACGACGCGAACGTCGACATTGTCCTGACGGTGATAACCGTAGGTAAGCGTCTCAGCAACGCGCTTGCCCTCATCGTAGCAGGCACGGATGCCAATGGGGTTGACGTGACCCCAGCTGTAGCCTCGCGTGAGCGCTATTCAGAAGATCGTGAAAAGGTCAACGCACTAGTCCTCCGGCTGAGGGTGGACCTCGGGATCACCGTACACCTCTGTACACAGTCAAGTAGTGACCAGCGCTGAGTTGTAGAAACGATACGTACCAGAGGTGGATGAGATAAGGAAACGCGCCTTGGTACGCTTAGCGAGACCGAGCATGTTCAAGGTACCCATGAAGGACGTCTTGATTGTCTTAACCGCGTTGTACTGGTAGTGCGGCGGGGACGCGGGACACGCAAGATGGTAGATCTCTGCACGCGTTTTGATCAGATATATGCGCGCATACATAACCCATTTCATTATACTCACGATCACATTCGATCATAAAGGGCTCAACAACGTCATGTCTGACCATCTCAAAGTTCGGGTGGCCAACCCAGTGGTTGACGGTGGTCCTGGAGCCAGTGAAGAAGTTGTCGAGCACGGTAACCTCATGACCAAGCATCATGAGGCGATCGACCAGGTGGGAGCCGACGAAACCAGCACCACCAGTGACAAGGATACGCTTCCTCTCGGAAGGCGGCAGGAACTTGACTGGGGGGAAACGCGACAAAGTGGTATAAGAGATGGTGCCATCGTTCGGGTGGTAGATCGCCTTAGCGCCGGTATCGTCGGCAGCACCAGAGCCTGAGTTCGCCTGCACATACTGAGGGCGCATGTAGAGCTCACGGAGGGCCTCAAGGGGAACTTCACTGTCGAAGCCAAAGCGCTTCAAGCCGACGGTGACGATGGGTTGACCATCCTTCCCGAGGATGACCCTGGAGTCGTTCTTGGTGCCGTTGATAGGAGTGGGGACGGTGGTAGCAGACATCTTCCTGGTACTAATCAGGGGAGAGGCTGGGGGAAAGATGGCTATAAAGAAGGTTAAGAGAGCGTGTCAAAGTCGGGGATGGAAGAGGGCTGGCAAGTGGTGCCGGGGGCGTTGTGTGAACCTTGTGCGTGGCGTTGCCCGTCAAGAACTGCCCGTTCTCAACGGCTGTTGTCGCAACCGATTCAGGGACGCAACAAATCTTTTTTCCTCATCTTCTATCGTAGTATTCTTACGGAATCGCTCATCGGGACCGACAGGAAGTCAATGGACTAGTGCATAATACAAGTTGCTGCGTATATTGTTAGGTACGTACAGGGGAATGGTATGAATAAGGGTATCCAGTCGGTATACGAATCATGCAAGAAATCTCAGTACAGTGGTCAGTGTATCCGTGAGGTGTCCGTCATAGTCGGGCATTAAATCCAAAAATAGAGGAGAAAAATTCAAGGTCTCCATACGCCTCTACCAGACGCTTTTCCTTGTGATTTGTGTTTCGAGGTCGTGGAATTTCGTAATGTAGGGGACTGTGATAAGCGCCCAAATTCATCCGCCTTACGCAAGAATTGAATAGAAGCAAGAGGGGATCCAGGCGAAGATGAGGATGCGAGTGAGAAAAGGCTCGAGTTGCTTAAATCGCCGGCATGTGCTGGTGACGGCGTCTTGGGGTCCGAAAATGGTGAAGATGGGTCGACTGGTGATGCCAACGGAGAACCCGCCGCCTGCAGCGGGCTGCCAGCCGCCTTCAACAATGTAGCAGAACTTATCCATGGCTCCTTGATCGGTGGAGTCAAAGGACCTGGAGGCAGAATTCGGAAAAGTTCTGCGAAATGCCCTCTGATGAACCTGATCGAATCGGTTAGAAGCTGGGGCGCAGGTGAAGTACCAATACCACGCACTTGGAAAGCTCCATCCAACCGCCGCCCACGCGAACCATGACCGTCTGTGAACGTAGGATACGACAGAAATAGGGCTTGACGTTAGCATCACCAATGTAATACTTGCCACTTTGGTCCTTCCATCCCGGAAGTGGTCGAACGTTGACGTTTACCTACGATCAATTCGTCAATTATCCGGTAATATATACAGTACACAGAACGTACCGGAAGTCGATTGATGACATTACCAACAGCCACATCTAGTTTATTCTTCGGGTTTGCGACGTATTGACGCTTCTTCGGGCCTTCTCTCGAGGGTAGCATAGGTGAACCGAATGATTGCCGAGGTGTTCTACTCCAGGAAGAACTCATGGACATATTGCGGGGCCTAGTGGGGGTGACCTCCGAGCTCATTGAACTCTTGCGACGGCGCGTGTCAGAGATGCCGCGGGTCCATACTGGGGCAAACGAATCAAGGCTTTGACGACTCCTTTGAGTGTAATTAGAGACCACGCTCTCGGCGCGCTGCCGGAGAACTGCGGATGGAGTGGGTGAGTCGGTAGGTCGAGGAAGTCGACTAGCAGGCGTGCGTGGAAGAGGGCCGGATACAGAGCGACTGGTTGGTTTGATGCCGACGCTGGGAATCCATGGGCCTCCTGTAGATGCTGATAACACAGAGGATCGACCCGACAATATTGTTGTACTTGACTGCCTCGATAAAGATGGCTTCTTGAGAGATGGTGTCGATAAATGATTTATCGAAGTGCTGCTGCTCAGCGAGGAGAGAGACATAGCTGATTTCGTCCGAACAAAAGCGGGATCCAGTCGGTCGTTCGCTTCGTCCTTTGCTTCGGCCCATATTTGTTCAATGCGCATTCGCTCATTCAGAACCCGGAAATCGTCAGCCAGGCCATCAGCAGCCTCCAATGCAGTTTGGACAGTAGCCGATACATTTTCGAGGAGTGCACTTAATTGGCGGCGAGCTACACCATACCCAGATACTGAAGGCGATGCACTCGACTGAGGGGCATCCGGATAAGTGTCCAACTGGGAGATGATCTCGTTGATACCCGCATCGCATTCGTCGATCTTGGCTGCGAATGAAGCAAGTGCTTCCAGACGAGGTATCAATTGCACAGTCACATTCAGTTCTTGTCGGAGTGAATGACCCTGCGCTTGTGTGCTGACATCTGAGCTCGGTGCTGCTAAATCCTGTATTTTCTCTTGGGCAATAGCCACAGCAGAGCGAGCTTGATCGACAATGTCATGAGTAGGTAGCATGGAAAACTGGCTTTCAGGCGTGAGGGAATGGGCAAGTTCCTCCAGCTTCAAGTTGGAAAGAGTGGTCCTAAGGTCGGAAAGAACGTGGGCTTTCGCCACCATCATTTGAGCATCCTTGTTCTCAGTCAAAGGGACCAGAGTCCCAAATACATCTGGCAAATTTCAGAACAATGATGAAGCTGTAGAATATTGACAAACCTTCTTCTTTCTCATTCTCGTCAGACTCAACGACACCATTCTCTTGTTTCTCAACAGGGTGTGTGTTCATGTTGGTCATTAACGACAAGGCACTGGAGCGTCTTGCCTTCGGAGAAGCAGGGGGACTTTTGAGGTCAATGCGCCGCGAAGGACTTCCGGCAGTGCGTGTCACAAACCGCGGGTTAGGGAGTACATCTTCTCGAGAAGATGAGTCACGGGTCACAACTACACTTGGAACTGGAAGATTCCGAGAAGGGCTTGATACAGTGCGTGACTGCTCAGTATGGGCGTTTGCGGTAATGGAAGTTTTAGCTTTCCCTCTCGGTGCGACTTTGGAGGGCGACCTTGAGTCAGAGGTAGGCGGGAAGTAAGCTGCGTCTTCCTGCGGCATAGGGATGAGGATTGTTCCAGAAGACAAGCTTGAGTCGGAGACAGGCGCTAAGTAAGCCCCATCCTCCCGCGGTATAGGAACGAGGATAGTTCCGGAGGAGATATCGGCTGACAGCGAGTCTGGTATGTTTGCTTCATCCTCTTCAATTCCAGGAAATGCTAGGTTGCGTGGCGCAACCTGCTGTACTGTTTCCTCCTGGATATGGGGGGGAGCTTCGCTGTGAGGGCTCGCTCGTTGCATGGCAGAGGTCGTTTCCTCTTTCTGCTTGGCCAAAGAGTCCGCTTCTTCTGACTCCAGCAGAGCCAATCTCTTCGCCAACGCAGTTGATACGTCGCGGAGTTCTCGGAGTGCTGCTGCTGAGTTCTTGTGCAACTGATCCTCCTTGTCCTCCAGAGCTTCCAACCGTTTTAGACGGGGCTTGAGAAGTCCTCCGAGGTCTTCATTATCCTTATCAGCAGAAATAGTGCGCTGAACATCATCATGTGCTTCTTGGGATCCAGTCATGATATCGTGAAGAAGTTGGTCTAACGCTGATGCAAATGTGATGAGTTCAGTGGCTTCGCTCTCAAGTGCTTCCAATGCGAGCTGAACATCTTTAGTCGATTCAGCCCCAACGTTTGAAGCAAGAGCCGTTATTGCTTGTGTTCGAGCATCTAATGACTTGAAGACGTCATCAATGCGATTTTCGGCCTGTGCGAGGCACGTTTCCAGTGTCCGTACTTGATCTGCCCGATCAAGGAGTCTTATTCGTTTGTCTAGGTTGTGGATACCCCCTTGTAAGCTAGCACAGCGCACGTTGATCTGGGATCGTACAGCGTCATCGAGAACGGGAGGGTCAAACGGTACCACTATCGAAGGGATCACCGTAGTTTCGGGAGGTGTCTGAGGCATGGGCATCGTTGTTGAAGATTTCGGACTGCGAACCTTGTACGGTGACAATGGCGACTGCGTGCGGCCGGTCACAAAGGGAACACGAGCTGCAAGTCCGGCAGAGAAAGCCTCGATCTCTTGGCGCAAAGCGGAACATTGTTGACGTAGAGGATCTATGACGTCTGCTAGCTGAGGGATGACTGACGCCGCAGACACCTCTTGCCAAAGACCACTGGCCTCGAGAAGAAGCGAAGAGAGCCTGTTATCCAGTGCGTCCGCTTCTTTCATGGTATCTGCCATTGCGAACGCTTGTTCCCGCACGCGCTGCCAGAGCTTCGCCAGCTCTTGTAGATCTGAAAGATCCTGCTTGACCTTCTCCGAAGAGGTGTCGAAGTGCGATCTGAGCCTGTCCGTCATTGATGGAATAACACTCTTCACGGGCGTTTCGACAGCGCGTTTGAATTGTTTCGTCAAGTTGTCGACATGTGCTAACACTTCGGAAGGCGATGTTGAATCGGTAAACATTCGGTTTGAGGGCGTCTCAGGTGTCGGGGGGCCACTGCTCGATGAGATAGGCGACTTTGGCCTCCATCTATCGCATTCGAGACCGTTCTGTATCTCGATCTGCCGCTTTTGACATGACCGCTGGATATCCTGTGTAGAGCTCCAAATCTGGCAGACCGTGTTGAAACAAGATGCCAAGGCACAAGAAGCTTCACGGGTTGTGAGAAGTGAACGTCGTTCCGACTCGAGCGAGGTGATAGCTTGCATACAAGCATCCATGTATCCTGGGGCAAGGGTAATAGGCTTGAGAGTAGGAAGGTGCGCGCGCGCCGTTCTCACGAGCCGATCGGCCGATCGTCCTGCTTCGTCGAGTTCGCTGAGCAGTGCTGGTAAGGATGCCATATATGCGCTATGTCGACCCGGCTCCAAACAGGCTTCTGTCGAGAGGTCTGGTGCAGTTGAAGACTCTGCTGAAGTGTCGGCTCCTCGGACGAGTTTCACGGCCAACGCGGAAAGCTGCGACTTTCGCAAGCTCATCTCCTCCTTGATCTTGTCTGCCCGGTGTAAGATCTTGAGAGCATCATGATATTCCTTCACGCTCGTGGCAGCTAAGCGAGCTAGGTTCTGAGCAGTCTCCAATTCCTCCGACAACGTCTGTACAATCTGCTCGTTATGCTGCTCTTGTTCTGAATAGGAGTTGTGCGTTGGCTGTGGGATATGGCGGAATACAAGCACGTCGTACGCCGTTGTCGAGAGCCGAGATTGAAGGTTGGTCATTCGGTAGGACAAGGAGGCATGTAGCCTCTGATTGGGGGGTTTCGTTGAAGCTCTTCCAAGATCGGCCATAATAGCTTGGGCTTCACTCTGATGTCTAATGCAGTCGCTATAAACGCGGTCGGCCCTGCGGAGACAATTAGCGTATAGACGACGAAAGGCCGAACAGGACATACACAATCCACTGCTCAGCCAACGCAAGAGCAAACTCTCCCAATGACCTCCTCAAGAAGTCCGTCTCGTCCTCAAGTCTGTCTTGTTCATCCAAGAACGGCTCAGGTATTTTCTTCAGTGAGATAAGTCTATCCAGTAACTTGCCAGAGACTTCGACTCTTCCCTGGCGTAAGTTAGACGCGCGCATATAGAGCCTCGACGCGTCAGTTGCTAGCTGTTGACCAAGCTGGAACCGCTGGCTCCGGCTCGCTTGGAAGGCCATCGTTGGCGTAGAACGAGCAGAAGATGGTCGAGAAAAACCCGGGGTCATAGATCGGACAGCCGAGGGCGGAGCCGTCGCAGATGTTGAAGCAGAGTGTTCCGGGATGCCAGAGACACTGGAGGCGGAGACCTCCTCGTACGTCGAAGGCGACCACCGCGCATGCTCAGCGATGAAATTGTGCAAATCGGATTTGATAGCACGCCGCTCTTGCTCACATTCGGTACGCTGGTCTTCCCATCGTACCCGATGACCGAACAGATCCAGCTGTTCAGACCGCTGCTGGATCGCTTCCAGCAGATGATCCAGAGCAAGTAACGTCGACAAGGTGAGGTCGACAAGGTCGGTATCTTCCGGTGTAAGATGCCGATTTGCCGCAGCTGCGAAGCAGATATTGAGTAAACACCAGCATAAGCAGAAGTCATATGCACCTCTCGCAGTCTTTCTCAGTCTCTTTAAATCCGACTTATCAAACTGGTCCGTCTCCTTCTCCAACGTCCGCACCTCTCGTACCCACACCCTAATCTCATCCAGCGTCGGTAACCCCGGTGCCCGATCAGGATAAACGAGATTATCACTCCTGAGGGGCTCGAGCGGTGTCAACGTTTCCAAATACTGTGCAAGATCAGCCTGAGTTACGAGCCGCACGAGCCTCGACCTGCACACCTTTGTCTTCTCGATAATCCATGTTTTCCGCTCGTTGAACGCCTGCAGATCCGCTACGTCTACCGTATCGAGGTGTCCTACAGGCTGCGCTTCCCTTTCTCCCTGCTTCTGCTCTTCCTCCTGCCCTGCCTCTATTGGGTGTTCGTCCGTGGTCGTGCTCGTGGTCGCCATCAAGAAGTCCAAGTATACATGTCAAGAGTCGGTGTGCAAGAAATCTAGGCCGTCATGTAGTTTGGTGGTGGATGTCGGTTGTCGGAGTCAGAGGAGAGAGAAGGTGTATGACAGGCTGTCGGGTGTCGGGGTCGGTGTTGGTGTCGGATGCCGGGCTAGACGATGATGCGCGTTGTATCCCTGATGCAAGTGCACCGTCAACACATTCCTTATACCCTGACCAGCGGTGTGGAATGTCAGAATATGTCATAATTATTTAGAGCAGATTCTTTCATTTATGACAGCAACTTCTTTCAGATCCTGAGATCACGCTCAAGTACCATACCATACCATACCATATATACCAACCATACACAGATTTCCAATTATTCTTGTAGGACGTCTACTACTGTGCCTATGTTCCAGACAAAGCATGTGTGCATGCGAGACGTCCCGTTCCCTAGAGAGAGGGGAAGCGGAGCAGGGAGGACAATGCGTAACTATACAATGGGTAGATGGGCAGATGGACGATGGCCACATAGGGAGAGAAATGGAATGGAATGACAGTGCCAATGAACGGATGGGGCATATGTACGTGCTGGGAATGACTCCTTGCAGGAGGGGGATTAGGGATTAAAACTTGGGTGTTGGGTAGTCGGTTCGGTCCGAAGTAGACAGGATGACCATAGACAGGATAGATGTATTAATTGGTTCTTGATATCTGGCAGGTCATCAGCATACATTCAAGCACCCGGACAGTGTATTTACTTGGGTTATTCAGTGAGACCTCCGCCCACCTGCGACCTGCACAGGTTCAGCATACCTCCTATCCGCGCGGCCGGCCCAAAAGTCGGGGGGCTGCAGGTCCATATGAGCAACCTTGCTCCTCGCCTGGAAGAACTCGCGTTCTTCCCATTTCTGCGTGACGCGCTCTTCCACTTCTTTCTGCATCCGCTGGTCGGAGGCGTCAGAGAGGTAGTCGGTGAAGTCGGAACATGTAGCCTCAGAGAGGGAGGACATGGAGCCGATGCTATTCCTCTTGCTGGGGTCATACGACCCAGACCTGGAGACATTGATTCGGGCAAACGATTTGGTGAGATCGTCAGTCGCAGGGGAGGGCTTGGGCGGCGGGGGAGGAGGAGGAGGGGAGTTGGATTGGTCGATGGTGATGTGCACTTGAGAGGGGTGTATTCGGCTTGGAGTGCCGTTGGTGCCTCCTGAGCGAGGCTGGGAGGAGCGGGTCGGGGAAGCAATGGAGGAAGGGATGGGTGGGCGTGATGGGTCCACGGACCGCCTGACGGTGTCCGTGGGGGAATTGGTCAACTTGCTATTCCGGCTGCCAGGGGTCGGTGGGCTCGACTTGCGGTCCCCAGGCATCGAACCAGCCGTCTTGAGGGACAGCTTGGACGTCGTGGGAGAGCCACCGTCTTCCTTCCTCAGCTGGAGCTGTTGCAGTGACCGGGGGCTGATACGACGAAGCACCTTTTCTGGGATGGGTACCTTCCAGAAGGCGGCGACGGCCGGCCAGCATGCATCAGGGATGATATCCGTGTCTGCGTCTGTGGGTGGACGGCAGCAGCCAGGGAAGCCGCGGTTCTTCCCATGAGGTACTTTTCCTGCTGCGAGAGCTTGTGCGAACTGTATGTAAAGAGTCAGGCTGACGGGAATGTTGGCGTGCGTCGACGTACCTTGCAGAATCCGCACCCGTTGAAGACATCATACTCGGCGTTGGTGAAATAGGAGACTGCGGTGCAAGGGAATCAGGTGTCAGCGTGTGGCTGATGCGGGGCAAGGGGACGAGGCGAGAAAAAGAGATGCTCACTGTTATTGAGTCCCGGGTGATTCTGACGCTGGGTGCAGATGCCACGGAGGTGATGACAGGCAGGTTGCTGGCGGACGCGGCTGCAGAGCACACAGGCCTGGGTCGCGAGCGCGGTGGGGTCGGCGGGGATGCACATGGCTGGTGATCAGACTAGTGCGGGAGCGGAATGTTGTTGATTGTCGTTGCTGTGCGCTCTCGAGGAGTGTTGGGCGTTGATTGTGCGGCAGTGGGGGAAGGTGGGGATAGATGCGGCGACCTGGATGCCTCTATTGTTGTGAAGGTGGGCTTCTTGAAGGGTTTGGGGGAATAGCGCAGATAGGGGTTATGCTGAATGAGTTGAAGTGCGTTGACGACGTCCCAGTATGCTGGCAGGATGCTGTACACACTCGTCCTGGACGTCTGGGGGCACGTTGATGGTGGTAGTGTGACACCGGGGAGACAAGTCGTGTGAGAAGTCGTGGGTTGCTTATATGCACTTGTCACTGGCTGTCAATGCGTTGGTGCTGTCGTCGTCGTCGTCGTCGTTTGTCAGTGTGAAGGGGTATGGTTCATCGCTGGCCTTTGGTCTTCTCTGACCGTCGACGGTGATAGAGGGCTAAAGAACCGCCGTGGGCCGCGGGAACACGTGTGTCCGCGAGCTCACTCAACCGGCAACTTGCACCCGGTGAATTATACCGCTTATGGCCTTGCTCTTTTTGACAACAATTTCAACAACAGTAACTAAACTGTTGTTTCGCAGAATAAAGCACAAGAAGTAGGAGGGAGAATAAAAGAAATCAAATGCACAATAGCCTGTTCCTTGACGACTTTTTATACTCTCCTCCTCAATTCCTATAAACAGGGCGCCGCCTTTAATGAACCCCAGATCTTACTTTTTGCCTTCTTACTGGGACCGTCTGGAATGAATAATAAGCTCATTTAAATTGAAATCGGGCACTCACACGCGTCCGAAGTTGCAACGGTTCTTAGAAGCTTCGATTGCAAGGGGAAAAAAAGCACCCTTGCCGTCACGGGCCCTTTCACCCTGACATTTGGACGAAGGCAACGTCATTGGCCTGCCTTCACCTACGCATCAAGAGCTACAGTTAAGATTGGAAACCCCGTCTTCAAGGAGCGAGAAAATCTCGTATGAATCGAAATGAACAAGTACATGAACTATCCGACGAACTACCTTCCTTGCTCGCAAAAGTCCATTGACTGACACGTCTTCCATGATATGATTGATGTTGGAGTCGAGCATCACTTTCAGCGTCTACGTGCCCATTTGTAATAGAATGACACCTATAACGCTGACTTAATATGCAGACCTGATGCTAGCAAATGCACATCCTCTTCACTCCGAACAGCAATCGAATATGGTTTCGTTTATGTCGTACTGTTGGTGTTGACGATTATACCCGGACTGCGGATGCCCACGCATATCAGCGCTGGGAGCTTTATCACTGTCAGATATGCCGGATCCGGAGACTCCTTCACCTGGCAACTCTTCAGCATCGATGCCTGGTGCTCAAACCACCCACCCTGACGCCGAAGCGCTTCTGGCAAATCTCTTTCCTCTCACACATTCCTGGTCGACGTGAAGCCCAGTGTGGTCCTGTTCTATACGGAGCCAAAGCCCTCCACATCTCTCTCAGACAGGAGTGCGTGAAGTCATTATTCACCGAGACAGACTACATCGAGCTTCAGGCGCCTGGCGGCCGCCGTTGACGCCAAGCTGATCAACGGCCGTCTTATGAAACCCGGTCCACAGTGGTGTCAGTGCGCGGAATATTACTTGGTTGCCTAGTGAGCTCGCTTATGTGTACCGCTCATTCTATCTCACCGTGAGGCAGTTTGATGTGGCTCTCCAAACATCCAGAGCAGGCGACGTTTTTGCATGGAAAGGATCTTATCGTCAACATTGTCGATAACCAAGGCTTAGATGACATCTGGACTGAACTTCGGAAGGGTCGCCACGATCGCACCTGTGACGATTTCGGCTCCTTCTTTGCCACTCAGTTCCGTCGCGCTTCTACCACGATGGGCTTATGCTACCAAAGCAATGTGATGTTCTCCTTCGCAGCTGAGCAGTTGCGACACGCGGGCATTGACCTGACCATTCTGGAATGCCAGTGGGATGCCTCCCAGGAGCGCTTGCAAAACCCGTAGCTACTTGACTCCCAGGGACGCAAGCAGTGGTTGCAAGGGTTGGGGAAAGACTACCTCTCGGAAGCGAGGGCCAGATTTGCTGCCCAGCAAGTTAACAGTCTGAGAGGGGCTCGCTCCCTCATCCAGCGGACGGCAATCGAAAGCTCCTGGCCCAAAGGGAACGCAGAAGAAAACCGGGCGTGCCAGTGGCCCTCCGACCCCCTCTCAATCTGTCGACAGCAGTATACCACAAGGAAGGAAGCGAGGATGATAGGGCAGATCATTGGATGAACGTCATAGATTTCCACAGACTATAAGAGGTTACACGAATGAGTCTGATTACGGTCACGCTAGGCGAATAATATAGTGCTTCCTCCAACTCGCCTAAAGCCCGAGTTACTACGAGATGTGCAGAGGAACCAACCCCAAGCGCCTTTCAGCTTGATGAACTTCTTCCGATATCTGGTCGGGATCCTTCACATTCACATGAGATAATACCACCAAACGCCGATCTTCTTCCGCAGCATGCTCTAAGGACATGTGGTCGTAGTCAAGGGACCAGAGGGACCCATCGCCTGACCCGCCGGGTGCATCATCGAGGCAGTCTCGCCAGCTTTCTTGATTCCAACAAGAGAGTTGTATATTGCGGCGCATTGCTTCCTCATCATGATGACGATCCAAGCGGAAAAAGCCCCCGTTAGGAACTAAATCCACTTGAAAGACGGTGGAGAACTCTGGGACGCATTTTGCAATAAGAGCCGATTCCGTCGGCGCTGATATACAGGCACCGAAGCGCAAACACCATTCATCCCCCAGCGGCACTGCAGTTCTCTCCCGGACAAATTCGTGGAGCGCTTTGCCGGAGAAATACCCGAATGGGACGTCCTTGTGATTAATCGTGAATATTCGCGGGTTCATCTCAGTTGCTACTGCAGCATCGTGACGCGTACGCCATTCATGAAGCTGGGAAAAAACTGTTTAACTGGCATATATGGAAGAGGTCGGACTGGCTTACCAGGTAACTGCTGACGGTCACATCGCTTGGATGCAGCGAAGCCGCAATGGCAGGCACCGTCAGAAGGGGCGCTTCACTGTGACCATTAGAGGGCCATTCTTCTAGCGATACAAGAAACCACAGGTATGAACGGCTGCGACCAAGGAGCATAATGGCATTGAAACATGCGATGAAGTCGATATGCCTCAGAACATCATCGCCGCGGGACTCGAAACAACGATAGATTGACTCAAATTGGTGAATTCCGCGCTTTGAGAACCATCCGCGCTGGGCGCGGTGCGGCGGGCCATGCGCAATATCGAAGACTTGGGATCATGAAAGTTGTGTTCCAGGAAAAGTAGTATCTGGCCCTCTTCAGCAACATCGAACGCTGACACGTAATAATCCTCGGATTCTTCAACTGCCGAGCTGGTTTCCACGGTCCAGAGTCTTTCGAGAGATAGGGCTAGTGCCCCTGTCAATTTGCTGTCTGCCGTGTTCCAATTGATTTGGAAAAGGGAGAAGTATCCTTCCAAACGGAGACACAATAGCGGACTGCCGTGCGCAAACACAAGACGTGCTTCGTGAATAGTCGTATTCAAGTCGCTTCGACATGTAGGCCACTTCATCGACAGCTCGTTTTGGATCTGAACATCGTCCATGCCGTCATAAAAATCGATACATGCGTAGCGTAGTCGTAGTTAACCACGACCAGCGTATCACCCAGAAACCAGGCCGTCACCTTGCGGTAATTTTCCTGTGCAAGCGGACTATTAGTATTGGTGAGTATTACTGATAGATGCTCATACGGGTACACTGCCTTCTAACAACAACTGACAATTGTCGGAACGACGACGAGCATGAATTCGTGGGACGCCGTTCCGGGTCCCATAGATGCACCACTGTTCATTGCTGGTGAGGATAGAATCCGAGGTTGGTACAGGCCATGTGAGTTGACTAAATTTGGCCAGATACCGAACAGTTATGTCTTCGGTAGGTACCGTGGACTTGACGCGATCTGGACTAAGCACTTGAAAGCCTCGAAGACCAGTCTTACTGTACAGGCCGAACACGCCATGGGAGGCTAGTTCTCCGTTGGGCCGCGTAACGCTCGGCACGGTGTCCCATTGCTGACGTCGTTTCCATTCCTCATCTGGCGCGTTGCGATCGTATCTTATGGTCTGATTGTCTTCTGTGAAGACAAGCAGGTGGCAAGCGGACACCATCCACATTAAAAGAATTGGGGTCGATATACCACCCAGCAAAAGCAAGGGTTCCATGATCGGGACCCATGCAGAAGACACCGGGGTCACAGCTTCATCCAGTTGCATAGGCTTTTCGAATTGATGCCCCTTGCCGACTCGTTTGGAAAGCACTTCCGGAAGGACATCGAGAGGAGGTTCTACAGGGGTATTGGATTGAGTGCCATATGTTGATGAACCCGTTCCGGGAGGAGAAGATATTGCGTGCGCTTGAGTTGCTTCAGGCTGTGCGGCCACGTCTCCCCTATGCCGCTTATGCAGAGAATCTGGACGCTCGTCCTCCATGGCTGCTACACCGTGCCGCAAGCCTCGACCAAAATTAGTATCAAGGCCAGAGTTTGTGAGGACAGAAGAGAGTTGAACATAAAGGGGATGTTTACGGCCCAGTCACTGACCCACACGGACGTAAAAGCAAGGTTTGTTGCCGGCACATGTCCAGATGCCCGCCAAAGAATCCACATAACTGAAGCTAGAACGCCATACACTTGTTGTTGTGTCTTTTTGTGTGACTTAAAAATGGCGGTTGTCAACCACGCCAAGGAGGCGCCGAGCACGCCCAGACGCTTACGGGCTGGCCGAGGGCTGCCCAGAGCGCTGAAAGTAACGGAACTGGAGGAGGAAGAGGTGAAATCCCGCTGGGATGGGAGAGGGTTCGAGGGTTCCTGAGACGGGAGGTGGAGAAGTTGGCTCGAGGTGCTTGACAACTTCCTTTTTTCCGCAGTGTTTCGTCCCATCCCCATCGGGGAGGCGCGTGTCTGTTCCCACACTCATTAAGATCAGAATCACATCCCCATCTCTCGGCCGCCTTCTCAAACTGTTCACCCCCGATTACATAAATGAAAATAATACGAAATTCAGTAGGAATAGATTGCTACCGACATGCCCGAGTTAGACTTTGTCCACCTTTCGTCAGATGACGCAGGTAATATATATACTTGCATATCTAACTTGAAGCTTCACATCTGGAAGTCGTTACAGTACCACACACAAGAAAACGATCGTGTGATCAGTTTGGGGTACAAGAGCCTGATTATTACGGCCGTGCTGCCCAGACCGGGATAACACGCTTAAGCTCAGTCATATAATTCCGATACACAAAACCGGCAATACGCGGGAGTGGGAATGCCAAGTACGTACAACCGCTCTCCGCAGATTGGAGATGGCAGATGCTGCTGTCAGCGGGCCGTGACATGAGTTTCGTTGAGCACAGGAAGCGGGGATAACTGGACGACGTTCAGGGGATATATCAGGTGGAGAAAACAGATGTTGCTTCAGATGCTCTGACATGTATGGTCCACACGGACTGATTGTTCGGTGTATTATTTGCTGGCATTGACTGGTGGATATAAGGATGTAAGGGGGCATTATAATCATCAGGCGATGAGCGCCGAGGGAGCCGAGCGGTCGTTGCTTTCCCGGTCAACGTTGGTCTGTTCCTGTCCCTTGTCTTCTCCTCCTAAGGCATTATCAATATTCATCAACTAACCATCATTCAACACCGAAAAGGTTTTCCATCTCTCTCTACAACCACCACCGCCAACGCCATTTATCCGGATTATTACCCGACTCACTTGTCATCGCCGCTGCTTAAGCCAAGTTCCCGACCAAGGGCGCACGGGAACGCCCGTTGGAGCCCTAACACATTTCACGTAAACCCAAACCCGAGCAGCGCCGTCCATCACTCCTCGTCCATTTCACTCAGTGGACTAGCAAAACCGGCTGCACGCCGTTTGTACCTTCACCACCACGACTTGCTCTTACACTTCACATCGGATACTCAAAGTCGGGGATGGGTAAATCACAAAGCAAGCTTTCGCCAGAGCAGCTAGCAGAGCTACAGAAAACGACAAAGTGTGCGTTCTTCTTCTGACTGTGCATGAGTGCTCCATCTAACTACGTGCTAGTCGACAAGAAGGAGCTGCAGCAATGGTGTGCACACAGTCTCCAGCATACCACCAGACACTGACCCCCTAACAGGTACAAAGGGTTCCTCAAAGACTGCCCCTCTGGCCAACTTGACAAACAAGATTTTGGCAAGATCTACAAGCAGTTCTTCCCCTTTGGCGACCCGAGCCAGTTTGCAGACTACGTATTTAACGTCTTTGACGAGAACAAGAATGGCACGATCGACTTTAAGGAGTTCATTTGTGCGTTGAGCGTGACGAGTCGGGGGGTGCTGGATGAGAAGCTCAAGTGTGCGTCATCCTTTTCATATGCGGCGTATTTGGGCGCTCATCATGAGTAGGGGCGTTCCAGTTGTATGATATCGACGGAGACGGGTTCATAACATACGACGAGATGCTCCAGATCGTTCGCTCAATATACAAGATGACGGGGCAGATGGTACCACTCCCGCCGGACGAGGACACGCCTGAAAAGGTGGGTCTCTCTCAGTCTACTTCGTGGAAGAGTGCTCCAACTGATGCATGCTCAGAGAGTGGACAAGATTTTCCGGGGGATGGATAGGGATAGAGATGCTAGGTTGACGTATGACGAGTTTGTCGAGGGCAGCAAACGTGATCCGACAATTGTCAAGGTCAGTCTCTGTTGCTGCGTATGCGACCGTCTCTGACTGGATATCCAGGCATTATCACTATACGACGGCCTGGTCTAACTCTCACTCTTTGCCCTCTCCTGCATCTGCTTCGTCCTGTTCTGCTTGTTGGGCAACTGTGTTCTCATGGCTGTCTGATGCGTGTGGACCGCGCTCGTCATGTACTTCCACATTGCCAATTACTAGACAAATGCTGTATCCATAACCTCGTCCTGCAACTCCAGTCCAGAGCTCACGCAAGCTTCCTCTTGCTACTCCTAACAGGGCGCGCAACAGGCACCTGGCCATCCCCTTCCTCGCTCTTGGGCAGCTTGCCCCATCGCTCAAGCACACGCCGCTCCACGTCCGCACACGTCCAGTGATACAGCCCCTCAGACAAGTCGAGATTATCCCTTTCCGCGGCGAACAGCTTTACAAAGTCCTGCGGTGCACCCGTTGACCCCGAGGCAGTGGCAAACGGTGACTGGCCCATGGCCTGCATATCCGCTGCAGCTGAATGGGCATCAGCGTGCGCCTTACCTGACTGCACGTGCATGGGGACGTACAGTTATCCGAGCCGAGGATGAGCTTGAATAGCCCGTTCAGGCCGAACAGGTTGAGGAAGTACCAAGACAGAGAGGAAACCCAGCGGACGTCCATGTCCGGCGTCTCTATCCCTCGTTGCATCATCGGTTTCCACCCCAGAGTAAGAGGGAACGGGAGCTTGACTAGTTCTCATCAGAATCCAGCTAGGAAAGCGGGAGGAACATGGGCAGGAGAACGCCCACGCCCGCAACAACTTCCACTCACTGAGGACAAAGCCCTGGAAGAAGAAGTTGATCCAGCCCATAATAACCATCTGGGGCACCATCATCACCATCTGCTTCTTCATCCCGTCCATCATTCCCTCCATCTGGCTCGGATCGCTTAACGGGTTCGCAGGCGTGCGCTCCTTGTCGTCTTCCTTCGGCGGGCCGTCTTTCAGGTACGTACCGGCCGCGAAGGCGGAAGAGAGGGAGGAGGAGATGGAGTGGTAGTACTGGGGAGGGATGGGTGAGGCAGCTGAAGTCGCACGCAGGATTTGGGAGCGGACGAGTGCACGTCTGCTGAGTGTTAGGATGGTCCTGCTGTAGTGAGAAGTGGGAAGACGCACTGTTCACGAATCACTTTTCGCGGGTGCGGTTTTGGAGTTGTATTGAGCAGTTGGGTCACATAGTGCCTCAGTACTCCGACCAATATCTGATAGGATATTCAGCAATTTAGATATTGACAATAGGCAGGAAGGTGGACTGACCATAACGAGTGTGATGGGGAACAGCACCTGTGTTGGATGAGCACATCGTTAATTTCATTCGTATATTTCACTCACCCAATCCCGAATCGCTGGGTCGAGATACAACGCTTCTCTGTTCCATTGTAAGCTTGTATTTGTATAAGTAATTGTAGTCTTACAACGCCATGATGTTACAAGTTGAAGTGGACAAGTCCAAACAATATTGTAAGGGACCTTGACACGACGTCCGCTGATGTATCCCTCGAATAAATTGAAAAATATACAATGACAACAGGAAAGAGGAGGGAGTTGAGTGTTGTATAATGTTGCAACAATGAATACAATGGTAAATAACAGGATTAAATCGTGTTATTAAGGTAGGCCTCGAGCTCAGCATCAAGCTCGCTCAATTCTTTTCTTGGGCGGCCATTCGAGCGCTGAGGAACATCTCCATTCCTCATCTCACGAGGGCCTCTTCCACCTCTCCTACCACGACGCCTTCTCCCTCCTCCTTCCTCCTCCTCCAACTCCTCATTCTTGCCCCGTCTCTCTTCCTCCCGCATCGGCATTGCAACAGGCGCATCCTCGTACCTCTTCTCTTCCCTGCTTCGACGCCCGCCCAGCCCACCTCGGCGCTCAGGGGAGAACTCGCGCGCCCGCGCCTCTTCCGTCCAGTCTGATCGCATCTTCGAAGGGATGGTATCCACGTCGTCCACTTCGTTGTACGCGTCGAGCTGGGCGTCGAGTGCATGCTGCCTTCGAGCGGCCTGATCTTCTCTTGTGGACTCACGCTCCCTCCTAGGCCTAGGCATCCTCCGCCCCTGCCTATACTCTCCATTCTCCCCCCTATGCCCATTCACCAGGCCCGCATCATCACCAGCAAGATACGCATCGAGCTGGTCGTCCATCTCCGCCTTTTTCCTCTTCTGCTTCTCGCTCGACTCGTCCCTCAGGTAAGCGTCGAGTTCCTCATCCAGCGCACGCCGTTTCTCAGCGCTCATTTCCCCTTCGTCCTCTTCCTCCCGCCGCCGTTTTCGCCCATAACCCTCCTTACCCGCCTGCGTCCCGTATGTGGAGTAGAACCTCGACTGCCCACGCGCACCGCGCTGCTTGATATCTGCGATCTTCGCCTGGCGGACGAATACAACCCCACGGAGAGCAGCGCGTATTTCCTCCGCCCCCTCAGCACGCGCTTTCTCCGGCCACGCAGCTTTAGGAACGGGCTGTGCCTTCTGCAGCTCGAGCGGATCGGAGAACGCCTCCCCCTCTGCAGGCGGGTCAACCAACAGGAACCGATGCGCTCCACGAGCCACAGTCCCAGAACTGAAGAGGACGACGCAGGTCGTGTCGTCTACCCATTCCAGGCCTGTAGGCGTCGGGGCGTAAGTGGCGACATAGGCGAAGACTTGGTCCGTAGGCAGGTGCGCGATGGGTTCGCCTTGCAGGAGGAGAGCATTGGGTCTATGTCCAAGTTCTGTACTCGATTAGCGTTGAACTTTTGTTATGATATATAGGCGCCTACCCAAGTCCATCTCATCCTCCTCTGGCTCTGGCTCCTCGCCTCCACTAATACCTTTCAACTACAACACATAAGGGCCCTCCTGATCCCGCTATATACAAACCCACCTTCCCCAAATTGCCCCTAATAGTCTTCGAGTTCTCTACTCGGTACACCTTGGTCGGCGGCGCGAGCCTGTCCCGCAAGCTCCCAATGCCCTCGAGAGCATCCGCTTCTTTGACCATTTCGTCCGTGACTGGGACAGGCGAGGTAGGATCGTCATAGGGCAGCATCACGTTTGCCTCTTCGTCGTCGTACATGGTCGTTGTAGATCAATAGGGGTGGTTGGAAGGAAGAGAAAAGGATGAGGAGTCACTGTCACTGTTTTGCATTGCCTCGCCAAGACGCGTGAATAAAAAGTTGCTCAGCCACTAAAGGCCTACACTGGATTATTTCTCTACCCTCTACACTTTGCACTCGACAAAACACTTTAATACCATTCAGCATGAGCGATACGGAGCAGGTCGAGGTGAATAAGAACAAGCGATTTAGGAAGGATAAACGTGAGTAATTTTGTGGCGCATTGGGGGCGGTACTGATGCTTCAGAAGCGTGGGATACGGATGACATTGATCAGTGAGTCCTGTGCTCCATTTCTCTATTTAGTCTGACACTTTCTAGTGTATGTCACTGCAGAGCACTATCAAGTATTATGCTAATGATATGTAGTGGAAAGTTGACACCTTCGAGGCAGCGGACAACAAAGGCGGTACTTTCCTACAAGAGTCCTCATTCGCGACGCTCTTCCCCAAATACCGAGAAAAGTACCTACGTGAAGTCTGGGGCGTAGTGACCACCTCCCTCGAAGCGCATGTGCGTGCTTCCCCCCACTAGTACCACCATGCACCATACTGACGAGAGAAGGGAATCGCCTGCATGCTCGACTTGATCCACGGGTCCATGTCCGTGCGCACGACACGCAAGACCTTTGACCCCTACATCATCTTCAAAGCCCGGGATATGATCAAGCTCCTCGCGCGTGGAGTTGCGGTCGGGCAGGCGGTGAAGATCCTGGACGACGCTGTGGCGTGCGATATTATCAAGATTGGGAATATCGTTAGGAATAAGGAGCGGTTCGTCAAGCGGAGACAGAGGATCATTGGCCCGGATGGGAGTACGCTTAAGGTGCGTTTCGCGTCTGCTTAATATATGGGTGCTTATTGGCTACAGGCCATCGAACTCTTAACACAATGTTACGTCCTCGTGCAAGGAAACACCGTATCCGTGATGGGCCCGTACAAGTCGCTTAAGGAAGTCCGACGTATCGTCATCGACTGTATGAACAACATCCACCCTATCTACCGGATAAAGGAGCTCATGATCCGACGGGAACTGGCCAAGGACCCTAAGTTGGCGAACGAGAGCTGGGACAGGTTCTTGCCCAAGTTTAGGAAGAGGAACTTGACGAGCGCGGAGAAGAGTGCTAAGAAGCGGGCGAGGGATGAGGGCGAAGAGGCGCAGAATGGGGCTCAGGAGGCGTTTCCGAAAGAGGAGGACCAGGCAGAGTCGTCGACTGCTCCTCCGAAAGAGGAGAAGAAAGAGAAGAAGGAAAAGAAGAAGAAGACGTACACTCCTTTTCCGCCTGCGCAGTTGCCGTCCAAAGTGGATATTGCGCTCGAGACGGGAGAGTATTTCCTCAAGAAACACGAGAAGGTGCGGCGGGAGGTGCAGAAACGCGAAGAGGTGCAGCAGGAAGTGGTAAGAAAGAGGAAAAGAGAGAGGGAGGAGGCGTTCGTCGCTCCCAAAGAGGTGGCAGAGGCGTCTGTGGAGGAGAGGAGGAAGAAACGGAAAGTGAAGGAGGCGAAGGAGGTGGAAGGCGAAGAGGGAGGAGAGAAGAAGAAAAAGAAAAAGCAAAACGTTGTAGTAGAGGAGTGATTCTCTATTGTTTTCCTTCTTTTGGTGTTGATGTTTGTTCTGCATTTGTCCTCGTTGTGAACAGAAGCAAGCATACCAGAAGCGGGGCTGTTCCTCTTTCTCAGCGCAGTCCCGACAGTGTCCAGAGTTGGATTACAGATGTGCTGGGGGTATCGCAGTTGATTCATTACTGTTCACTCGCAGACGATTATGGTACATCATGAATAATATTATTATCCATGTCACATCCTTGTTAAGCAATCCAAGTAGGAATTAGGTTATGAAATAAAGAAAAACAAAGTACTTTTAATATTATATTTAGTAAATATCGGTTAGACTGCCATAGATAGATAGCCACACATGTATTAATGCATCGCCTCGGTCAGTTCACCGGCGTCGACCATTAACCGTCCATTGTCCTTTCACCAATCCCTTGCCACTCGACGTCCACCTCCCCATCGAGCTCACCGTCTCCCCCTTCCCTTCGAACATTCTCTGTCAGTACCAGTGAATAGAAGCCAACGAGGACGGAAGCTGTGTGGCCTAACTCACTCAGCGTCGTTGCCGCGTCGCTGGTCTTGACCTGACTGACTTGCTGGACTTGACCGGCGCGGACGGCGACGGCGGTCGTCTACACCACCGAGACAGGCCACTCGTTGTCACCGAGACAAGGGCAGCGTACGCCATCCGACATCCTCGTCTACTATTTGTACTCCTTGGTCCTCATCGTTCACCTTCCCACCTTAACACGAGCGATCAATGGCCGCTGTATCCCCCCTCTTACTCCCCAGCTCTGGTACACATCCAGTCCGCATAGGCACCTCCCTCAAGCGAAAGTTCGCCTCCCTCGACGCTGATTCCAATCCCGGAGGAAGGAGACAACGACAACGGAGAGAACTCCCCGAAAGCGAGTTTCATGCTGTGCAGTGTACGTCGTACTCGCTGTGCTCAGCTTGTGATGCTTATGTGCGCAGTTGGCAGACAGCCGGAGAGCGTCGACCCCGCTAGCGGAAGTATGTTTGATACTACTGGCGGTGCCGGCGACGGAAGTTCTAAGATTCAAGTCGAGCGACAATCCGCTACTGTACGTTTCCATCCTCCTAAAGCCAATGCATCCTAACTCCCTGCGCAGGGCGAGAGGTTCCTCTTTACTGGCACACAAACCGCCTCTAAACTCCGCGACTGCCTCCTCCTCTGGGACCCCAACACCAATAGCTTCACGCTCGAGGTGCTCTCGTCTTCCACCACGCTGGCATACGACCGTTCAGCTACGAACGTGCTCCGGCGACAACAGGGGATCGAAGTGAGCCTTACTCCCTCTGCTGGGGGTTCTGGCTCTGGCAGCGGGGGGAGTGCAGTGCAGCCCCCGGCTGTGGGAGGGGACGAGCCTACGCCTCTGGACCTAGGCGGGTATGGGGATGCGGACATGGACGCTGAAGCGGATGCGGATGCGGAGGGCGACCCCGATGTGGACGAAGAGCCCAGTCCTGTCAATAGGAATACAAACACCAGCGAGGAGACGTACGTCAATGCGGATCTTGACCCTGACCTGGAGGAACCCGAACTTCAAGCATATCGTCCCGCTCCCGCTCCTGTCCTGAGGCAACGCCAGCCGCCACGCACTATCCCGGCATACGAGGAGATCGACATGCGTGCTGGGTACGTGTCAGAGGATAGCGACCTGCTGGCTGAAGGTGATGGGGATGTTGGAGACGTTGGAGATCTGGACGCCGACGGGGTGACGGACGCCGATGCGGAAGGGGTGACGGATGATGCTGAGGCCGAGGTGGAAGTGGAACCGACAGCCCACGAGCAGGAACAGGATGCTGACGAGGAGTTGGACGACTTCCTTCTTGCGGACCTTACTGCTCATCAGGAGGAGGAGGAAGAAGAGCCCGAGCCTGAGCCCACCCCCGTGCCTGAACCCGAACATCGGTCGCGTCGTGGACGATCATCCACTTCTCACGCCCATGCCGCCCCTACACAACCACCCGTTCCTCCTACCCGCCCGCAGCCGCCAGCACTCCGAACTCTCGCTCTGCCTACCGCGAGACGTATGAGCTTGCGGAGCGCGACGACGCAAGCGATCAACTCTGTCTCTTCTGCCAGTACGCTTCCTTCTCCCGGAACCGCTGTCAACGGGGCCAATGGGGCTGAGAAGAAGTGGGACGACGACTCTGATTCCGATTCGGAAGATGACGAGGATGACGAGGAGGAGGGAGATGGCGAGGACTCGGAGTTTGACTTCCTTGCTGCGGAGCTGAATGACCCCGGACAAGAGGAGCAGTCCCAGGCGCCTGCGGAGGGAGACGAGGACTGGGAAGATGTCGAAAGTGGACAAAGTCCGTTGGCGGGACAGAGCAGGAGCAGGGGACGACAGCTGGATATCTGGGGTGATGAGGATGATGAATAACCTGCATCTTGGTTGGACGGAATGCGGAAAATGTACATTTGTGTACTGTAATTTGGGATGTAGTAGTATAGACAGAGCAGAGGTGTACTGGTACTTTTGCTTAGCGGTTTTATTCATTTTTATTCTTGCTTTCCAAATCTCCGTAATACCCAACATTGTTTAACCCTACCTAGTTCAAGCGCCCACGCGCCTCCTCTTCCTCTAACCAACATGTCCTCCATTCCCCTCTCAACACCTCTAATACCCACAAAGTCCTTGTCCAAAGAGATAGACGGAATCCACACTGAGCTCAACATCCAATCCTATTCCGACCGAGTGCTGGTGCTCATCACCCAGCTTAACAAAGTCGGTTGCTTCGTCAGTGCCCTCTTCGCTCTACACCAAGCACTGATGCTGACGGCGTGGGACAGATTCAAGCTTCGCTTCCACCTACTGCACCGCTGTTGCCTCCTCTCCCCGGTAGGCTACCTGAGCCAGCCGTAGGCACAGTCCTTACGCCCCTCTTCGGCGCCGCCCCCTCCGAGCACTTACACGACCTCTACTCCCTCTACGCTAGTCAAGTCGCCGTGCTTCTCTGGACGTCGGAAGGTGGAGGAGGGCGCAAGCCGGTCGTTGTGGGCGTTGCGTTGCAGAGGCAGAAGGAGGGGGAAGAAGGTAGTGGGTTGACAGACAGGGAGAGGAAGACGTTCGAGGGCGTTATGCGTATGGTGCAGGAATGCTTTCCCTCATAGACTCTGATCCAAGATACGTGATATCATTCAAGCTAAATTCTAAGCAATCTACTATATCTATATCAACCTCCATTTCTACAGCTTCGCTGGTCTAAGAAGCTTCCCAAACGCCTGCCTAAAGTCCGCCTTGAGATCCTCGAGGTCTTCGAGGCCAATCGAGAGTCTGCACAGTTTGGGATTCGCCCCGGGGTCAGAGATGACACGCTGCTCGATGAGGGACTCGACGCCGCCTAGGCTTGTGGCGCTCTGCACCTAAGGTGTTAGAGGATGGGGAGGAGACGACAGAATGGGCGTACGACGAAGTATTCGAGCAAGTTTGGCAGCTTGTTCGCATGCTTGGGATCGTGCAACTGCAGCAAACTCAGAGAAGTTCTCGAGGATCTCAACAAACTGGCCTACATGCATGGCAAAACAAGCGCTTCCCCCCTTCATCTGATCCTTGAACCAGGCCTCTCCAGATTCCTTCTGCAAGCTCGAGTGCCACACCTGTTCGATGACTCCCCCAGGCACGCAATCCCACGTCTCTCCCTTTGGTGTATGGGCAATCCTGTCCAACCACTTGGCAAGTTCCGTCGCAGTCCGACTCTGTTTTGCCACCCGGATAGGAAGCGTCCTCAGCGACCGGAGAAGAAGCCACGATTCCAGCGAACCCATCATGCTACCCAGGAACGTCCTATCCTGCCAGAGCTCCATCCACTCCTCCTGGCTCTGCACTACCAGCACACCGCAGAGCAAGTCCGAGTGACCGCCGAAGTACTTTGTCCCGGAATGCATGACGCAGTCTGCACCTTGAGCAAAGGGGTTCTGCAAAGGAGGAGGAGCAAATGTGCTGTCCACCACGAGCTTGCAGCCTGCGGCATGCGCACGGTCCGCGTAGTGCTTCAGGTTGCGGACTTCCCCCGTCGGGTTAAGGGGGGACTCGACCCATACGAGATCACCGGGCATGTAAGGGTCGTCCAGATCTATGAGCTCTACAGAGGAGTTCGAGGACTGGTACACGCTGATGGACATGTGGAACCCGTGGTATCCTCCACGGATGGCGATGCGCTTAGGCTTATAATGCACCAGAGCAGCGTACCCCGCAGCGAGACCCGAAGCGTAGGTGACCGCATGCCCTTGCTTCGAATCGCTCAGCACAACGTTTAGAGGAGGAAGAAGAGGGACGCACGCATATCTGCCCAAGCAGCTTCTCGACCCTCGTACTGACCCCCTGGGTATAGCGGGAATAGACATGCCTCGTCGGGTTCGCAGGGTCGTAATCCACCGGGTGGCCTGGTTCGTCGTCCTCCCTCGGCTCAGGATGGCGGAAAGCTGGAGAACGTCAGCTAGAAATGAGGAAATGAGAGGAGGGGCGTACTGGTGCTAACGCTGATCTCGGGTGCGACGGCTGATGTGGGACGATAGCCGTCGTCGCCGTGTATCAGGGTAGTTTGCATCGATGATTTGTGTGCCATTGTTGATATCCACCAATGTGTATATTCAATTCAAAGTAAGGAATAAGAGTATTTCAACAATGAAGAATGAGTTCAACAATGAAGAAAAGACAGTCAACAATATGAATCCACTCTTCGGCTTTTCGGTATTTTCCTCCCAGATTCCGGAGATTCCACATCCCGGACTATCTTACCTCCGAGCCAACATCGCGTCCCTGCAATCAAAGTCGCGTCCTCTCTCCTCCCACTTCAACATGGTCAACATCGACTCATCCACTCAGCAGGAGGAGCACGACCACACTCTGGAAGAGGACGACACAGATGCGCTATTCGACGAGCTAGAGAATGACACCTACGACTTCTCAGGTCTGAGGGAGCAGCGTATGGAGGAGCTGAAGCGGGACTTGGAGCGCACACGGGCACAGGATGAGGTACATGGGCGATATACAGAACTCACAGAGGAGAAGGATGTTATCCAAACCAGCGCGTGCGTGCAGTTATCTTAGGTTGACAAGGCGCGGACTAAGAGTGGAGCAGGAAGGAACCACTCTGTGTCATCCATTTCTACCACCGGGATTTCCGGCGATGCAAGATCATGGATTCCCACCTCGAGGCGCTCGCTCCCAACTACCCCGGCACACGCTTCCTTCGCGTTCTGGTAGAGAACGTGCCCTTCCTCGTCGACAGGCTGCAGATCAAAGTCCTGCCTTGTGTAGTCTGTTTCGTAAAGGGGGTGACGAAGGACCGCCTGGTGGGGTTTGAGCAGCTGGGGAACGCGGACGAGTTCGAGACGGGCGTGTTGGAGTTGAGGCTAAAGCAGAGCGGTGGGTACATTGCCACGATGGTTGGGGGTATGCTGACCCGATTTGGTCTAGGCGTGATTGAGGACGCTCCGCGCGTGCCGTTGAGAACTCGGTATAGCGAGCCAGAGAGACGGTCAGGCATTCGGAACTCTTGCCTTGGAGATGAGGATGATGACCCGTATGCATGAGGCATGAGCATGAGACTAAGATTGTATGGATTCGCATTTTCATCTTATCATTTGCACCAGACAATTGATATTGCCAAGAGTCCACCCGTCATGTTGCCACGCCTGGGCTGAGCGGCAACGGACGTGTTGACGTGTCCCTTTCTGTCCCCGCAATGTTCGACCGATGCTTTCTATTGAGCACAACGTGCACGCTGCCTGCCTCTCTTGCCCTCCCTGTCTCCCCCTCTGAAAAGAACCACATCCTATCTCCCATCGTCCCAGATCGGCGAGTCTAACGTCTCTACGATCCCCAACTGCCAACCGTAACCGCTAATCGGCTCCGCTTCCAGGGCACGATGTGTGGTCGCTGATGCACACCGTCGCCTGCAGGAAAAGGAAGTTGGCTGGTTGGAGAAGGAAGAGCCGGGAATCACCCCAAACAGGAGTCTAACGGACCTTCTCAACCGTCGGGCTGACGCTTGTGCTTCGTGCACTGTAATGTCCGAGTGCATAAAGAAGCTCAAAGGAAGGCACGAAGATTAACGGCATACCCTTAACAAAGACGGGAGATAGACCGGAGTGCTATAGTGCGGGCGCTTGCCTCACTAATAGTCTGTTCGCTGTGGAAATTGGAAAACTGACTAACAGTGTTCATATTGTAGGGTTGCATAGTAGGAAGGAAGAAGAACCCAGAATCGAACTCCGACACCGGGAAAAGACTATATATGACCTGCGGGGTTAATCAGGAGATCGATTGCGATCCACCATGTTCCTTATATGATACGGACATCACTTGGTCGTTGGGGATGGTGAATAGGACGTACCTCTGGAAGAGATGAAGCAAGAAAAGTCGGAATTCTTCCCTTCCGAATTCCCGAGGAATGTTTGACTGCCCATATATGACCTGATTCGCTTACGTATGTTGTCTCTCTCTTTTTTACACTCTGCCGCGTGACCTTTTTATCAACTAGCTGCACGTGTTCGATGCCTGGCGTGACCCAACTCATGCATGGGCTTGGTTCTTCGCCCAGTCATATATAGCACTCAGGTGTAACCGCTTCTCTTTGCCCCTGCTTTCTTACCCTCCTGCTGTTATCTCCTACTTCAGGGACATGCCAAGCACCCGCAGACGTGCTCCGCCTCAACCAGTAATCTCAGAATCAGAATGGAAGAACGTTATCGTCCTTGGAGGATCATACGGCGGTGCGTTCATCTCCTAGCCGTATATATGTGTCACCGCCGCTGATTCTTCGGCTGATGCTGATCATCCCCATCTACAGGAGCACGAGCAACCCGCATGCTGGCAGAATCGCTTCCAAAGGGGTACAGGCTCATCCTCGTCGAGAAGCAGTCGTACGTCCCCTTTCCCCTTGTCGCCGTCGCAGAGAGTGCGCAGGCTGCCAAGCGTATCATGCGTGGGGCCCTAGATCCGACCGGCGCCGAAATTATCAGATTACTGACATTTTTTCAGACATTTTAATCATCTCTACGTCTTTGTACGTCTGTCATCTCTGGGCGTTCCATCTGCTGATCTTTTCATTGTGCCGCTCGGCTTTCGGTTTCGGACCAGATAGCCGAGATACACCGTCGTACCGCACCACGAGCACAAGGCGTTCATCCCTTACCCGGAGCTGAACCCCCCTTCACCTCCAAAGCCCACACGAACCAAGCGACCTAAGCCCTATCCTGTGGGGGTCTACTACTACCCCGAACCTGACGCCGAGTACCAGGACATGTATTTCCTTCCCTCCCGTCCTCCCTCTGGCCCCCACCTCATCCTGCACGCCAGCGTCGAGTCCCTTCAGGCGAACTACGTCACCCTTTCCCGCGAATTTCCAGAACATGGCTTGACAGAGTATGTCCCGTATGTGTATCTGGTCTATGCACTGGGTAGCGTTATGCCCCAACCGCTGATAATGCCCCCGGATGTGCTGTTCAAGCTTGAGGGCGTGGCGTGGATGGTCGACCAGAACGCCAAGATTAGGAAGGCGAAGCAGGTCGTCGTCGTCGGAGGCGGGGCCCTCGGAATCCGTGAGCCACTTCCCAGGGATTTCGTGATGGTGAACTAATGCTACCCGGGGCAGAATACGCCTCGGATATCGCAGAGTTCTACCCCTCGACCCGAGTCACCCTGATCCATTCCCGTCCCCACCTTCTGCCACGATTCTCCGAACGCATGCATCCGCTTATCCTCGCCCACTTGCAGAAGTTGGGGATAGATGTCATCCTCGGAGACCGACTGCTCGACCCGAAGCCGAGTAATGGCAAGGTGCATACGCTGAAAGGGCGCGAAGTCGAGTGCGACTACCTAGTACGTCCCCTTTCCTCCCAGGATAACACCGCTGATAGCAGTATGTAGATATTATGCACGGGCCAGAAACCGAACACCTCCATCCTCGCAGAGTCGTTCGCCGCCGCCGCACTGTCCCCGCTCACAGGGCACGTAACTGTGCTCCGTACGATGCAGATAGCGCTCTACGACCTACCTTCTCTCTCCCCTTCCACTCCGGACTCCGGACCAGGGGAGTCCATGCTCGGTCTGACGACTGCGCCAGCCACCACGGAGAACGGAAACTCTGTGCCAAACGGCGATGGGCCGCACCTGCCCCCGCCCAAGCATACCCCCTGGCCCAACATCTTCGCCGTAGGCGACGCAGCAGACGCTTTCGGGGCTATCAAAGCCGGCCACACGGCATACTACCAAGCTGAGGTCGCGGCACGCAACATCCTCCGTCTTATAGCGCAGTTCAATCCTCATTTTCCGGTATCCCCCCTCCTGACGCAGCCGTTCAAGTTGGAGGAAGACGAGACGCAGGAGATAGGGCTGGAGCTCGAGGAGTACGCTCTTGGCCCGCCGGCTATCAAGCTCACGGTCGGGCTGCACGAAGCGCTCGTACAGGATGGGGACGGCGTGCGGGAGACGGAGTGTGCGGAGGATCTAGACGTGGAGGTCATGTGGCGATCTATGGGGGCTGATCCGGGGGATATGTGGGATTAGGAGGAGGATGACTCTGGCCCTAACCCTAACCCTAACCCTAAATGACTGAGGATGCATTCAGGGAGGATGTTTGGGAGGATGGGAGTGTCTATCAAATAATACTGTAGATGACTTCATGTAAACTGTTGAGGGTTGGAACATACAGGTACAGTATAATAGATTGTTCCTCATTCACTACTGGCAATGGCCCACATTTGACGAATGGCCCATACCCACCGAAGCCACTCATTTCTTCATATAAGGCTGTGCCTCTGGGCTATTCCAGGAGAAGAATTGCCCACTGAGGTCTGAAGAGCCCTTCACCACCAGTGATGCCAGGACGTAGCCCGAGTCCTCAGGCTTGACAAGCTGACCCGAGGAGTGTACACTTGCGACCCAGTCTGCTTCTGCAGGACTAAGATGAGCAGGGGCAGATTTCAAGAAGTTCAGTTGCATCTGCCTGACGTTCAGTAAGAGTGAATGTGGAAGTACGGTGCGCTCACCTCCGTCTCGACCATCCCCGGGTGAACGGCGAAACTGGCAATGTCCGGCTCCTCATTCGCAAACGTCCTGCACACGGCGTTCATAGCCGCCTTACTAGCATTATAGCTCGCCATCCCCGTCGTCTTCCCCACCGCGCTCCCCGAGCTAACAAACACCACCCTGCCTTTATTCTCCCTCAACGCGGGAATGGCGGGGACGAGTGTGTGGAAGAGGGAGAAGACGTTGAGCTCGAACGTCTTGCGCCAGTCGGAGGGGTCGCACTTTTCGACCCTGCCAAAGAGGCATATGGCGGCGTTCAGCACCAGTCCGGTAGGAGAGGGCATCACTTTGAGCGCTTCGAGAGAGACCTCGGGGTCGGAGCTGTCCTTCCCATGAGCACTGCGTCCTTGCAAGAAGCAAGAAGAGCGGCGTACACATCGCCCAGAACGACCACGAGTTTATCCCCAAACTTGGCTTTCAGAGCCTCCAACTCCGGTGTCGTACTCCTCGAGATGGACACCACCTTGGCGTCATACACCTCTAGCAGCACCTGAGCTGTCGCGAGCCCGATACCTCTACGCAATGGAAGGGGCTAATGTCAGTCGCTCGTCGCGTCACTTAGCACGGAGGACGTACTTGGATGCACCGGTGATGATTACCTGAGGGGATGACATGGTGGTTCTTTTCTAAACACACTAGCATCTCCCCGGCGGCGGGCACGGTATATCAACCCGGAGGACATGCTGCGAATAGGCCCCACCTAGGGGAAGATAGGGAGTGCTGGTAATGACCGGAATGTCGAGGGCGGGATCCGACCGCTGCCACGTCCCTGCTATCGGCGCTGCCTCAGACCGAAAGATATGCATCTGACAATCATTTGTTGCTGGAAAGAACGAAATGAAGTTGATATCACTTGTCAATAACTCGTCGTCGCATGGCGTATCAAGTTGGTGATGGGTGATACCTTTCTTCTCCGGGCAACCGTCTACTCATTCCCGCGCTAAGTAACTTTCTCCAGAAGCTTAAGGGCCAGAATCATGCATGGAATGAGCAGGATCAAGGGCAATACACTGGATTGCTTAAGTTATACATGATTGACAGTCTTGACCATGCCCTGAGAAGCGCGCACATCAAAGGTCCTCTAAGAGGTTCGCACTCGTTTGCTGCGTCCGAGCCTTTTCGTCCTTGATGAGGGTGACGAAAGTCTTGAATCGGGGATCGCTCGCGTCCTCTGCAGCCGGGTGTTCCAAACGATTGCAGCACGGCGATTGGCCGGGTTGAGAATGAGATGAGTAGGAAAACAGCCGGTGCTCAGCCTGGTCGTCTCGCTGGGAAGACAAACGGAGACTGACCCATAAGCTGATAGAGCACGCTCTCGCTCGTAGTGACTCTCGCCCCTGCCTCGCGCATCGTCTACTTCCCCATGACCGAATGGCACAAAATCAGAAAGCGGGTTTAGGGGAAAGGGAGGACGCACGGAGATGGCGATCGAGCGCTCGCCCTTATTGCAGGAGGAGATGCCGTCTGCGAGGACGTGTACGCTGTAGCTCTCACGCAAAAGGTCTAACGCCGTCTGCAGCACGCAGATGTGACTCTGTAACTCCGTTAGACTGCTCTTCATTCCACACAGAAGCACATAACGTATGTCGCACCTCGATACCGAAGAGCACTACATCCTGCACGCCCCTTTCCTTCAAGCACGCCTGGAGTTCGGGGATGACCATGCTAAACTTCTTCTTGGGCCAAGGGCCGTGCAGAAGCTTGGAGTCGTGGAGTGCTTCGAGAGGGAGGGTAGCGACGGTCGTCCCTAGGGCTTTGGGGTTCTGCTCGGTGAGCAGGACGGGGATCTCGAATATCTGACAGGTGTCACCTTGGGTGGGATGAGATATAAAGGGAAATCGCGTACCTTAGCAGCGCGCAGCATCTTCCCAGCCGTAGCTTCGACATCGTCAAAGCTGTAGATCGCCGTCCCTACGCCCAGTTACTCTGCATAAGCGCCGGAGCGTTACTTGACTTACGGAAGGCAGTCTGCAGGTCGCACAGGAGGAACGCAGTACGGGCAGCGACGATCTTTGCTGCTGCTGCTGCCATGGGTGGTGAGTGGAGAGGAAGGGGGGGGAGGTCGCTGTCGTCGTCGTGCAAGTCGGTAGAGCACAGATGGACACAGGCCAAGAGTGTGGTGGAACAAGCCTGACCGTCTTGGTCGGAAGCAAGGTACCGGAATGCCGTTGAATAACGACATGAGTCTAAGATTCCCGTCACCGGGCATTATGCTGCTGTGGCCGAGAGGTCTAAGGCGTCTGACTTGAATCCTTGTTCGAGATCATATGTGCATCGCACGCGTAGGTTCAAATCCTGCCGGCAGCGTTTTATTTTCCTTTGCCCCTCCCCAGAGGGGTTCCTCCTCTGTTCCCCAATGCGTAACTGTCTGTGTTTTTGAAGTTCATTTTCAACATCATTTCCCTTGACATAGTATGTATAACCATAGTTGTGCTTAAAGATTAAGATTAAGAACCAGAAAGCACCCATGTATATAGTGGCTATGCCCAACCTTCTGTTAGCCTGCTTGGCAGGGCTCGTTCGAGCGTCTCAATTTCAGGAGCGTCGCACGACCCGCGTCTCACCATTGATTTGCATTTCTCTTTCTGGTATCTCTCTTTCCTCTTTGGATTGTTCTCATATTGCTTGTCTGTTGAACCACGTGCTTTCCATCTACTTGTTCAATCGCCGTAAACCGCCCCACGCCCTCCAGCGCAAGACTCAAAGCCGCTTTCCCCTCTATCACCACATCACGACATCTTCCACGCACCGCCTTACCCCCAAGACAGATATCTCATCATGGGCCAGTCTTGTGTGTCTTCTATTACCTGTATACCAGACGACAGCGCACTCAATGGATATCATCGCAGCATCACTGTATTTGGACGAGATGTCGAAGAAGACGAACTGTGAGTACACTATGCATCTTGTGGGTCAGGACTAGCGCTCACCTCCATCAGTCACCCCCGCAGAATTAGAACGTCTCAAGAAACGCTTTATGAAACTGGACAGGTGCGCCCTTATCTGTTCATATAGCACCGCTAACCCGGGTTTCTAGTGACAACTCAGGGTCGATCGATAGAGAGGAGTTCCTTTCCATCCCCGCGATAGCCACAAACCCGCTCGCGAGCCGGATGATCGCCATCTTTGATGAGGAGTGCGCCCTCTTTGTCGCTGATTCGGAACTGTCGTGCTCATGCGCATTCGTAGTGGTGGCGGAACGGTCGATTTCCAGGAATTCATTACCGGTCTGAGCGCGTTCAGCGGTCGTGGTGGCCGTGAAGAGAAGCTCAGATGTGAGTTCATTTCAGGTCTCCTCTACGTCTTCTGAATCGCACACGCCTAGTCGCGTTCAAGGTATATGACGTGGATCGGGATGGGTTTATCTCCAATGGCGAACTGTTCCTCGTGCTCAAGATGATGGTCGGTGCTAACCTGAAGGTACTCCCCTATCTCCAGAATTTGTATGAAAGCTAATCTCCGTACGCAGGATCAACAACTACAGCAAATTGTAGATAAGACGATCATGGAAGCGGACAAGGACGGGTAAGGTGCATTCCATTTTCGCGTGGGCGCATATATCTGACATGCCTGGGCGTATCAGCGACGGGAAACTCAACTTCCTAGAGTTCTGTAATATGATATCCAATACGGTTCGTCTCCTCCTCTTCTGCCGTTTTATTGCTCAACTTGCGGCTTTAGGACGTCATCAAGCAGATGTCGCTTGAGAACCTTTTCTAGCCGTAACGACACCTACACCCGTTCCCCCTCACCTCACTCGACCTCTCCACTTCTCACGTGTAATCACGCATGTACTTTCCCTACCGGGCCATTGATAGTCTGTCCTGTCCTCGATACCAAGTACGAATCAAACGATTGCTGCTGCATTCGTTCCTCCTCCCTTTGCCCCTAAAGGCGAGACGAAATTGGGAGCAGGGTCCTGCCAGCTTTCAGCGCTTGAAAGGGCGGGGCGCCGAGCCGGGATGCTCGGAATGACATGCTTCCGGGGCTGAATTAGCTTCCCGTACATGGCTTGCAACAATATCAATCAATTGTCTCATGAACCTCAGTGACCTCAGTACAAGCCTGAATGACCGGCTGAGTCAGTTGCTCACGGACCGCTGAGCGTCTTCTTACCCGCCATCCTACCTCCCTCCATGTGAGGTTATGTACAGCATGCTCGTATTTGGAACGCTTTCTATATGTGCAGAATACAAGTAGTCCAAGACATGATAGGCGTTAAGATTGGGCATCTGAGAGATGAAGCTGACTGATGAACTGAACACTGAATACTGAACACTGAAAACAGGATATACCAAGAGGAGAATGAAGGGTGTGTGACTTGGAGTGCAGTCGTCATCGGGCGACGGAGATAGTTACATGAGAAACAGAAGAAGAGGATTGTGGGTGTCGTGATTTTTGCATGAGGGCGCCGCGGGACCGAGAAGTAGAAGGTGTGGGGTAGGAGGGCTCACGTCCGCCAGTCTTCCTTTTGCGCTTCGCCGTGATTGAATGTCTGCACAGCCGTGCCGATTGCCTAAGCTTGTCAGTGAATTCGGTCGACCATCACTTCCCCGGCGGTGACCATTCAGAACGCGCAACGTGATCCAATGTACGCATCAACATATCAACCGACAATGCTGAACGGTCATCGCGCCGGTCACTCGGCCTTCGCCTGAGCGCCAACCCTCGATACCAAGGGTGGGGGTGCTCTCGCGGGCCGGGGCGAAGGAGAGAAGCCAAGTTCATTATGCCTTCGGCCGCCCAGGGTTGTCGGTCAGGCCAGAATTAGACCTGCCGCAGCGAGTCATCCGCCTTGGTCCCTTCCCAGGGCTTGTCAAAGGTGGAGGAACGTCGGGCTGGCGGAGGTGACCCTTGCAGAGCCAAGCTACGATCAAGGGCTTTTGGGGGTGACATGTGTGGGGGTGGCTGTGCTCAAGACGGCGGAGTATGAAAGCCAAACGGGGCCAAATGAGCAAATCAGAGCGCCCGCACCGTTATCGGACCGGACCGCCGCATGGGGAGGCGTTCCGAACTCGGCCGGCCGTCGGCTTAGTACTTGCTTGGGGCATTGACCGAGTCCTCGGGCGGGGGATTGTAAGGCCGAGACTTGGGCACTGACTGAGAGCGTGTGGCATGATCGAGCTGGGGAGTGGATTTGCAAGCATAGGCGAGGGATTGCGAAATAATATTGGCTGGCGTGGAAGAGGGTGGTGGGCGGCAGGAAATATCGAATGTTGAGAAGGAATGCTGGCCCAGTTTGGGAGCAGCGGCCCTGGTAATGATACAGAGAAGAAGCGTGGTGCGAGTGAGAATTGAGTGAGAGCCGTGATCGTCAGAGGAGTGCGTGTGAGAGAATCGAGAAGCCCAGGCAAGGAACGAGACCGAGGAACCGGAGAGGAAAGGGATCGATGGTGATGCCAGCGAGTGGATCATCGCCTTGTATCTTCCCTGGCCTGGACTGGTTGGGGATAGCCACTCTGCCACTGTCCGGCCGGGTTCCAACCAGGGATGGGGTTCATGGTTGGAGGGCATGCGTCCATAGGTGGAGATTGAGGGAAGAACTGACCATAATAGGTTGGCCCTCCCTGAGCTTGCTGCATCTGCTGAAGAAATGGATCTTGAGCGGCTGCATAACCCGTGTCATGCCCATGTCCGTGCGCGTGTGCATGGGCATACGGGTGAGGACCATGCGAGTACGGACTGCTGTTTGTCGGTATCGGCATGGGGTGATGGTGTATGTGGCGAGTTGGGGACGCGGGTGGAGAGAGTGGGGGAGCGGTTGACGAGATGGGGGACAGGGACGGGAACCCATGGCCAGAAAAGGATTCTTGGGGAGAATGCATCGCCTTTCTCTGTGGGGACCTCCATCGCTCGGTATCCACACGAGGTGTGGTTCTCTCCGCTGGTTCCTCTGCCTCGTCGATCGCCATATCGAACCCGCGGCTCTGACTGCGATGTCTTCTCGCACTGGCGCTCATTCCACGCGTGTCCCACGGTACGCCCATTGGAGGATGTGTGGCCACCGGCGTCCCCTGCGGGGTGTTGCTCGTGTGGGTCGGGGTATACCCGTTTTGGGATGCATTTGAGCCAAGGGTTTGAGAAAGGTGCGCCTTGAGAGAGGGATAAGTTACCAAATAACAGAAGATAAGTATAACGCGCACCTTTACTGCTTCAAGATCTGAAGCTTCCTGCCCAATGCCATTTCCCTTGAGGGAAGCGATAAGATCGTCGATTGATACGGGAGCCATGGTCTAGATTGTCGTGCTTCACCGCGCTAGATGGAGATGTCTGCGATTGCGATAAGGAGCGGGGTAAGCAGGAGGAAAAGCGAGTCTAAAGGAAGGAGGATGTGGTGGTCAAGGTGGAAGGAGTCAAGGGGAGAAGAACAAGCGCTGCCGGACAGTCCAACCCGTGTGTCTCTGCGGAGGGGTTATTTATCATTCATGACTATCCGCCATGTTCGCGCCCGGCCGGTGGCTGAGCCGCAACCTTCTTTGTCCATTTTCAGCTGCCGAACTCCTTTCCTCGAATAAGGCAGTCCCTATCCCTTCTTCTTTGCTTCCGTAGACTAAGCTCGGTAGAACGGCCCGCTTTACCCTTTTAGGTTAATACATTCATTTGCTCCCGGGTTACAGAGTCATAGCCGGTGCCTTACCTCGGCAGCGGGGACTTCCTGATGCCGAACCGCAACGCCGACGTCTAAATTGTGCTACTACATTCAACAACTCCACAATATATCTTGTTTCTCCCGACGCACCGCATATTCATGGTTACATTTTCCTGTGTATGGACATATGAAAAGTAGCAAGATTTCCCATGCTAGAACGTACGACCGTATCCTCACATGCGGGCAAACACGGGTCGCCCCATTCTCACCACCGGCAGAGCGGCTTACGCCTTTGACAAGTGGGTCCAACGTACGTACAGCCGGAGAAACGTTCCTGCCTTCCCTACCGCCAGACGGACTAATCCCGGCTCTCCACGCATTGCCGTTCTGGCGGTTAGCCGGGTGCGGTCGTCCTGGTTTTGGTTCAGGCCACAGCCGGCCAAGAACAAGCTTTATTGGGCACTTGGATATCCTCGACGTTGTGCACCTTGCGGCATGTTGGTCTTGCCAAAGCACCAGCGGTAATCTCGTCCGGGTGTGTCGCACGCAGCCCGAAAGGCCAATATAGACAATACCCGGCAAGCCCAATCCCAGCTAACCGCCTTCTGCAATATCCAGTTTCACCAATTTCGTGTCGGTCTCCTATCTCTCGCGCTAGTCCGGGAGAACACTCACGCAGCATGCACTCTGATGAACGCGGTGCGCCTCATTACCCGCGCCCACCGCGGCACTTCCCTGCCAGCGTTGGCGACGGTGCTCAATCACCAGCTTGCACACAGGGGGAAGCTGCGCGCCCACAGATCGGGTATCTCCCTGGCTTGCGGGGTAATCCGCTGGCGTTAACCTGCCTTTGCCGGAAAAATAAGTTGTTCAGCCTTGTGGCCGCCGGCTGGGATGATGGAGGAACACGACATCTGTCACCTCCTGGTCTGTCGCCTGCTGTTCGACTGTGTGAGGAGGAAGCACGCAGAGGGCGTGACGTTGTAGGATCATGGGAGTTCTGTAGGATGCTGGAATGACCCTGAAAGGCGGGGTGCTACCGATGATCCTCCGATCGAGAAGCAGCTATTTTGATAGCAAGAGTCTTACCCAAAAAATGGACCACAGTGTGTTGAGTTCTGGGCCTGAGCTACGTTGGAGTCTAGAAACGTGTTGAAGTGAGAGCCCTGCCGCTGCCTTGGCTGTCTACAAATAACACGCTGTGGTTGAATGCTACGCACGTTTCTTCCTAGGCCTAGGAGTGTCATTGATCAGTAAATGGACGACCGGCAGTCAGACGGCTTGGCAGAAACATAGTGAAAGAAAGAATATGATAGACGGTCCGGAGATTTGGTAAACAACGAGTCAATCTTGTTGAATAAGATGCTTGGTCTGCTTCTCATCGCTTCGCAAAGTGATCCTCCTTTCCTGAAAGGTTTATTGTCACCGAACAACTCGCATCCCTTCTCGCCTTCATTGAACAAACCGGTCCGAACCACTCCCGCTAGCTACGCGGCATACATACCAATCATGACAGATGACGCATTCTCATCGTTTCCGGCAAGTCAAGTTATAGCTCACGACCCGCCAAGACCAATTATAACAGGCAGCGGGAGCTGCGAAGCTCCCCGGCTTAGAGATCCCTGGCGAGCAGAGCCTTATTTGGCCAACCGCCCGCAGTGATTTCCCAGGCTGCTGGTGCGTGTGATCGGGTTACAGAGGGATGATAAGATGCTGGAAGGCGGAGGAGGCATGTTGGGCCCGATCACAACGTGTATGGTGAATAGAGGGTCCGTCCGTGACAGCCAGAAAGGACTGGATGGTCGGAATGCAAGGGTCAAGGCCATGAATAGCATGGTTGACAAGGTTGTTTGCTCGTTGTGCGGTCTCTAGCAATTGTCTTCAGCACTCACATGCCTGGGCCTAGGCACAATTCGGAACTGGTGGAAGAAGACCCTCTCATATCAGTCATTATGCCCCAGCCTAGACCTTCTCCACATGCATGAACATTCGGGATAAATTGGAATATTACCATGATACAGACAAACATACAAATAAGAGTGACCGTGCAATATTCGTACATATGCTGTAAGACGTGAACACAACAGAATGAAAACTGAAATGATTACATCCGCTCAGAACCACGGCATCGACAGCTCACTCATCTTGGCGAGCTCCAGAGGGTTGGTCGCAGTACCGATAAGGTCGATAATCGTCTGGAACACGGGTACGGTGCTTGCAGTACCCTTACTCCTCCCCATCTTGCAGGAAAGAAGGTCGACCTTCTCGGTGATACCCTTTACGCACTCACCAACAATCGCGAGAATCTGCGGTTCGTTCAGGTTGCCCTTGATTTGTTGCTGCCACGCAGACACTTCGTCACGCATGAACAGAAGCAATGCCATATCGAGATCGTACTACGAAAAATCTCAGAAAGATTGCATCTGATATGGGTGTCCGACTCACCTCCGGTGACGCTAAGGCTCTCGCGATGCAGAGGAGAGCAGAGGGAAGAATGCCTTCCACGCCCTCCTTTGTTATGAAGCGCTGCAAGTTCGGCGTGAGACGGAATGGTGTGGATTCGTTCGCCTTAGGTCCAGCGATGGTCAAGACCGGATGCTGTTCCGTCATGAAGATATTGCCAGTCGAGCGATCTACGTAGAAGCGACCAGGAATGCGATGGCTCAAGGAGAATACGTAGGTCAAGAATTGAGTGACAGCGGTCTGTACGGTGAACTGTTTCCGGAATGACCATAGGTCCTTCTTGTGTGGATAAGTGCGAAGGAAATACTACGAAGAGTTGAGCATTGAATTCGCGGTATAGATCGATGTGACTTACATTCAGCATCACATTGTCAGACATGAGCTTTGTCTGAATTTCATCATACACCCCCAATCGAAGTGGTCCAAGCTGGAGACGGTCTGGCAGCTGAACAAATTCGGTTAGAGTCGAACAGCCATTGAGTGTCTATCAACGTACGCTGCCTTGACGCCCCAGAGCCAGACTAGTCTCACGCATCTTATCTGCGAACGAAAGAATGGTGTGCTCCTTCGTCCAGCCCCTCTTGGCCATGTATTCGTCACTGATATCTTGGAAGGAGATGACTGATGATTTGTGCTCGATGAGTCGAACGCTGGCAGAGACGGGAACAACGGCTGGAAGGTAGAAATTTATACCTCGCCTCATGGACTCCTTGCGAGTTTCCACAGTACTGCATACAAGGTCAGGTGATTCATGGGAGTTATGCGGGCGCTACTAACCTCCCGAGGATACGGAAGAGCTGCGTGAGGCGCTCTTCCCGACGATTCCCTCGACTTGTTCCGTGATGTACCGTGAATCCGTAGTTGACACCATTGTTGCCCATGACCGTCACTCGCTTGAACGTGCCGCCGAACGCTCGCGTCGTCTCATACTGGGACTTGAATCGCAGAATCTTCACGAAGTAGAGATTCGTGTTCTCAAATTTGAGATACTGGCCTGGGACTTCGATGTCATCAAATTTGGAATGTTGGAACTCTGCTAGATGGTGACTGAGGCTGTCCAATCCTCCAGACTTTGGCCTTCGATCGACGAGCATGTCGTATTTGTCCCGCCACGCGGTAATCCTTGAGAGGTATTCTCGGAGATTGACCTTCACATCCAAGAAATCACGCTTGAATTCCACCTGGACATACGTCAGCACCACCACTGACGAAGAAAACATAACTCACATTAACGCCTTCCGGAAGACTGGGCGCGAAGCTATGCATATGCTGCAGGATACTCGGGGGCACTGGATCGCCTCCGGGCTGAGGGTGCATAGAACGCCCTGCCCATCCCTGGAGATACAGGTAAGGACAGTCTGGATTATCACTGCGTGGACTTACACTCAACGCCTCCATTACCATGTGTTGGAGGTATCGTAACAATTCCTCCTCTGGGCCGGTCTTGAAGCCTTTGACGAATTGCTCAGACATCGATTCCATGGTCAATGCAAGTAGAGGGAAGGCTGTCTTTAGGATAGTTGTGATCTCCTCAGCATGCTGCCAAGGCTGACGGGGCTCCTGCATGCCCGCAGGCTGGGAGCCAGCAGGTACATTGGCCAGGGTCATTGTTCCGTTTGTGCCAGGTGCCTCTTCCTTTATAATCATCCCGTTCGCAGCCTGGGCAGCTTGGTTGCCGTCGGTACCAATTTGTGCGGTCTGAGCCATAGCAGCGACATTAGCCTGTGCCTATGTCAATAGTATTGAGCTCAAATAATCATATGATATTGTGGTGCTACTCACATTCACAATTTTCGCGCGAGCCTGTGCTTGTGATTCGCGTTGTTTTTTCGCCAATGCTTCCTCGTCTCGCATGGTACGCAAGTGAAAGAATAACGCCTATATAGCCATCAGTATTGATCGTTTCTTCCACTACGTTACGGACCTGAGGGTAAAACTTGGCCAATTGCAACAGGATGCTACGAGCTTGCCTCGCCTCTTTGTGACCCAAAGACATCAGGAGTTGTGGGATGAGATGAATCCACCACCAAAATGCGTAATCACCGCGATGACCATCGAAAGCGGCCGTAACTCGTCCCTCCGGATCGTCCACCCGTAAAAGCCACAGTATCCTAGCAAGAAGCGGACGTGCCTTCGCGTTCTTGAACATCGTTGCAGCCTGAAGATACGAAGTGACTGCATGAGCTGCCAACTGGGTGTCTCCTCGAACTCGATAGAGGCGGTCACAAAACTTGCCCCACTCACACCATGCCTTCGCCAGCGCAAAATCAGTCTTAACCGCTGTGGAAAACGCGGAGTATGCTTCATCATCCATGCCACCTGCCGCAGCGATGAACATGCCCTTCATGGTGAAGAACTCGGCCTTCTGAGGAGCCGAGAAATAGATCAAGTTCGTATTATTGATCACCTCAAGACCGGCTGCCAATTCCCGGCGCTGGAGATGGCACTTCGCTTGTTCCCGCAGTTTGAGGAATGCCTCTGAAATCTCGATGTTGGGCAGTGTGTAAATCTTGGTGAGCGACGTATGGCAGAGGTCCCATAGCTCATGCTTGCGGGCTACGTGCGCAAATCTGTTGATAATCCAAGCCATCTCGTGGTACCCTCGATAGCCGAAGGTGTTATTGTTCGCTGTCGCTGTGCCGGCATTCGGTACTTGAGCAATCAAAGGCAAATAGGCCTTGTTGATCACAGTGAACATATGCTGGCGCCATGCCACGAGATCACTCCAGATCTGGATGTCGTCCCACGGATTGGGGAGACGTTCTCTCCATCCTTGAAGAATGACCTTCAGCTCGCCCGATTTCTTCTCCAAGTTGGTCGCTTGAGTATTCTGTATGCTATGGAATATCTGCTGGCTTTCCTGGAGCTCAACGAGCTGCTGGAAGTGATGGAATAATGGAATATGCGCGGGTGAGACTGATACGGGAAGGGCAACCCATTTTCTGAGTGCAAGTTGAACCGCCCGGTCAATTGATGCATTGAAGCCGGTAATATCGGGCGTTCCGGCACTGTAAGCCTTCAGAATCGAGAGATAAGTTTCAAAAACTGAATGACGTGGCGTTGGTGTGTCTGAAACTGCTTCTAATGCCTTTTCAATAGGGTCTCGATCCGCGGTCCAGTCCTGGGTACGCCACGCGCATTCCAATATCAGATCGGGATCGTTTACGCTCCGACTATATTCCCATAATATCTCCCATTGACCGAGCTTCTGTGAGCCAAGTAGCCAATGATCTTCCCAGAGACTGTGCTCAGCCTCAGTTGACGGATGTGTGGTGTTCTTCGCCCTCAGTTGCGCGTTCTCATAGATGGTGATGGCTTCCTTCCATAACCCATTCTGCTGGAATGACATAGCAACATTGGTTTCCCAGTGTAGCGCCCGGCGCCGCCACACGCCGTAAAACATGTCTTCTTCCTGCAGCTCCGCATATAATTCCGCAAGTGAATCCAGGGTATTCTCTTGAAATCCGTCATCGTCCTTGATCAAGCCTAGTGACATCTGCAGTAATTCGATGGCATCGTGCCAGGCATTGAAGCTTTTCCCTATGTACTTGACGAGATGGGGTGGCAGAGCAATGGGCGGGAAACATCCGGCCAGGCCAGCAAGTAGCGTCTTAGGCACATTGGGATCCTTTCCGGCCTGTTTACGGTGGTATGGCTGTCCAAGCTGTGTTACGATGAGGGGGAGCATGTCGCTCTGCGCTCTGCGCGACAAGCAAAGCCAGAAAGACCTGAATGTGCCGACCCAGATGACGTGGGTTGTATCCGCGTCCAGCCAAATGAGTAGTCGTAGGAGGGAGACTAGCTTTGCGCTGCTTCGTCGTCCAAGGGCTGCATTAAATTCTGAGGTGGGTAGATCGACGTCCATGGCATCCTGGGGTGGTTGTTCGTACGCGATGTCATCCGTCGCACCAAGGATTAGGTCCAGGGCCTGATGCATCCAGTAGGAATCCGCGATATGGTCCCAAGATACGGATGCGAACACATATTGTAAGCGCAGCATGAGAGACCGAGGTAATGTGTTGTCAAGCAGCTCCATGAATTGGTTACGTAAGACTGGATCTTTGAGTCGCGTGCCGGTGAAAAAGGCTCCTTCGAGTCGAACTGTCAGATCAGTCCGATGTAACGACTGGTCATGGAAGATGTCGCGTATGATGCTGTAATACTGTGTCCTTAGGGCATCATCGCCTCTCGTTTCCAGGGACACGACTTTGTGCAACATGACAGCGATATCCTTCAGGGGAGGCGAGCCATCCGTTCGCTCGAAGATCCACTTCCTCACCATATCGAGAATGGCACGACACATGGACTGGCTGTTCGACTTGTCCACGATGCCAGACAAGATGTTGAACATGAGTCTTCGAGGTTCTCCGAGTGGCCCCAGACGATCCTGGAAGAGCTCTAGTATCGTGCGCATAGATCGCGCATCTGCGGACATTGCGGCTGGCGCAGCATCATTCATCGCGACGTGGGCCCGGGCGAGCTTGCCCATGACGTTTGCAAGGGACGATGCGAAAACGTCGACTTTTTCTGGCCTGTGTCTTGCCCAACTACGAAGAAGGAACAAAGCGCCCTGCAGCCCAGTTACGGAAGTGATGCCAGAGACAATAGTTTCCTGAGCCCATGTGTACCAATTGGCGACACCATCTGCTTCTTCTTGGTCTTCGGGTGACTCAGGGATATAGTCGAACATTCGGTCTACTACCCCAGCCAGCGATTCGTGCAAGATAGTATCATCACTCAGCAGCGGCTTTCGTAGGAGGTCGAGCAGGGTCGTCGCCTGCGATCTGAACCAATCCGCAGAGCGCCTGTCCACCACTGCGGCAAGCACAACGGCATTATTTCGGAATGTCGTTGCTGTTTCATTATTGTAGTCCGTCTGGATAGCATCAGTTCTGTCTTGCGTCCAAGTAACTGCTACACTTACTTGGACAAGATTACGCATGAAGAAGGACAGCACGACGTGAACATCCTGCCACTCTGGGGACGGCAGCACGTCAGTCAATAAGGCATACATCTTGCCGACCAATCCTCCTGCACTGATTGACTCTTGCGCGGTACAAATAAAGCGAACCAAGAAGCTGACGACAGTTTCTTTCAACTGTACCGGCATTCTGTATCCTCCAACGCCTTCTGCCATCGATTGTCGTTCCCATCGTACGACTAACTCAGCTGTCTCGACAGCGAGTGTCCTTGTTTCTGTAGTAGCACTTGACGCGATACCCAGCTTGAACAGAGAGTGTACCATGTGATTGACGAATAGTTCTCTACTGTCGAAGAAGAGATTGTCATGGCGCAAAATGAGTTGGTAGACGCTTGTTAACTGGGACATGCTGCTGGCCTCCTCCGTCAGAACTCTCCGGGTATTCTTGGCCCACCAGTTGGCATTTGCGCCTCCTTCCGTCGCGGGTTTTCTCTTTGGCAAAGCCGGGGCGAGAATATCCAGAGCTCGTTTGGTTAAAGCACGCCCTTCTGTGGTATGCGTACGGACAAGACCCGCCCAGACCCGCTGTACGATTCTTGCAGGGGAGTCGAAGAGTTCCAGGAATTGCGCAAGGAACACATATGCGGTTTGCTTGAGAATTATGTCGTCACTGGTGATGTGATTCCAGCCGCATTTGATTATATCCTTACGCGCTTCTGTCATTAGATTGGGGGCGAGCCGCATTAGGCTGGTCGAAAACCATAGGACTTCGATTACGTATGGCGTTTCGGACTCCTGAAAAGTTCCAGTGTCTAGCGTGGACAGTTTATGCCAGAGTGTCGCATGAGCTTGTGCAATGAATTGCGCGTCCACGAATTCCTCCCCTCCCTCGGTCAACGATAGATATAGCATGGGGTTGATCACGATACGCAGGAAACTAGTTTTGTGATCCAAGGAAAGGGATTGGTCATTCAGCATGACCAATGTGTGGGCAAGCATGCGCGACTTGAAGGCCGTATCATTGTGGCGACGCAACAAATCATAGATGAAGCGGCTGCAGTTGGAGACATCGATGGCGACCTTCCTCGTAAATGCCAAAGCGAGGTCTACGAGGACTTCTGGGGTGGGCTCATGCTCGAGGTGGGCCATTAGAATATCAAGTGTGATGGATGCTTGATGAGCTCGAGTGGTTGGCCAGACAGCCGATGGATCATACTCGCCGAAAGCACTTTCACGCCACCATTTGATGATCACCTGAAATACTGGTGGTCGCTCATTGAGCCAACCCGGACTGGCACGAACCATGTCCCGACAAAGAAGCAACCCTGGAATGAGCATGCTAACTCGATCGGAAGCAAAGCAGAGATTGACAACTTGCTGGATGCGTCGGTTCAAGGTGGTCTGGAGAGATGGTGCAAAACCAGAATTGAGACAAGCTCGAACTGTCCTCACGTACGCCATATTTTCTAGATTCTGAACAAGCTGTTCGAAGGCTTCTTCTGGAAATCGTTCCAAGTACTTTGCCAGAGGCTCGGTAAAGGGCGTTGTACCAGATGCGTGGATGGCGGTCTCTGTTTGAACGACAAGGGGGAGGACATGCTCCAGGAAGACATTGGCTGTCTGAGGGAGTAAGTGAAACACATTGACCAGGCGAACGAGCTTTTTTATCTCTTCATTGTCGGTCAACGGATGCTGTGCAGAGTCTTGCAGTACTTGAGGATCAGCGATAACCTTGAAATGATCGATCAGCTTGACGCCAATCTCAACTTTGAAGTAGTTCGTTAGCAATTCTAATAAACGTGCGAGACCTTCGAGATTAGGAACCGTTAGTCGTCTGGCGTCGGCAAGATTCATCAGAATTGGTTTGAGCCCAGCTTGCAGAGTATCCTTCGGGAGTTTATTCTGATGTTGCAGGACCAACTTCAAACCATCATAAGCAGCGGCTTTGATGTCATGCGAAGCAGAGTACAGCGATTTGAAGTATAATCCAGTGACTCTACATGAGCTCTTTAGTGACAAAGCCGTGCTACATGGTTCTCTAAACGTACCTCTGCCGCGTTTGGGTTTGTTTAGCCATGAAGTCCGTCACTCCCATGGACGCTGTCAACAATCTGATGCAAGCGACGCGCAGTTGTGACACCAATCCCACGTTTTTCTTCTGCGGCGTCTTGCCGAGCAACGTGTTATCCTCCGCATCAGCAAGGGCCAATGCCTCACTCAAGAGACGCCACAGCTCCTCATTAACTTCAACCAACGGTGGAGTCAGCTGTAGGCAGTAGGTCATCGCTTCGATATGTCCGATTTGTACGGGGAAGGGCAAGGCGCGCAACGGCTTTTGGTAGATGGATAGGAGTAGTCGGTCTCGATGCTGGCCGATCAGCTGGCTCACAGGCTGTTCTTCCAGTTCCGCGTATAAGTTGAGCACGGATTGAGCCGCTTGTCGAACCTCAGCAATGGAGCTCGAAAGTTCTCGGAGCATTACCACGCCAGTCATGAATTTCGTCTTCGCATCGGGTTCTTTGACGTGCCCCGCGCGAACGATGAACAGGATTGTATCCACTATCTGCTTGACGTACTGCGGCGCTCCATACGGGGTTTCTTTGAGCACGGAGAGCAAGGCTTGCACCATATCAATTTGTCTGTCCTGGACATATTCGGTGAAGTCGTCGCGCGCAGTCAAAAGCGTTAGACCGGTAAAGCCGGCAAGCTTGAAGAACCATTTAGCGTGGTAACATAGACCAATGAAGCGAGTCGTGAATTGGGTGACAAAAGCCATGGCCTCGCCATTGTTGTACGATCCCTCAGGAGCTTCCTGTTTCTTCCATTCGGCGAGATCATCCAGAAGTTGTTGCAAGAACTTCAGTACTTCTTCACGCTCTGGTGATGGGACACACGCAAAACTCTGAGAAACGGCATCGAAGAAACAAGTAGCAATGTTGCCCCAAACTCGGCGTGATGAACTCGGCGATGGCGTTTTCTTTCTCGACTCATCCTCAAATACGTGCTTGAGCATATCTCGGAGATAAGAGACAGCTGAAGGTCGAAGGTCGTCCATCTTGACGGCCAAAAAGAGTCCTTGCAGAGCTTGTTCGAACCGTGAGATCTGTTCAGTCGAATGCACGCCCTAGCTCTTTCATTAGAATAGAATTATATGAAAGTGGTATAACGTACCTTCTGAATGATGGTTGCTGCGGCTTCTTTCAGGAAATCGAAAGCTTGCTTGCGATACAGTTCAGTACTATTTTCGACCGATTTGGCGGCCAATTCAACGGCAGGGCCGATATCAAGTTGTCGCTGAGTGCCGTCAAACGCGACCGTAATTGAAGCGTCATCGCCGACACTCCTATAGTCGAATGGTAGCCTCAAATCCTGGAGACGTCGATTTCGGCCGCCAAGCTTGCCAAGAATTCTGGCACAGACATGCGCAAGTTTCGGGTCGTAAGGATGAGGCTTAAGGTGCTGATGAATGCCTGTCATGAGCTCACAGTGTGCAGGCCTGATGATCGGTTCTAGGAACTCTGCAGTAAGATTGTCCACACAGAGCTCTAGGGTTCTAAGGGCTTGTGAGACAATTTCTGGTCCAGCGTTCAGGCCAGCAACGAGGGGCTTAACCAGCAATCCAAGATGTGGCAGAAGATGTGTTAGCCGAACCGGCACGGTGAGGGCCAGTTCCACGATCAGGTCATGGTGGACTGGATCCACGAAGTCAATGAACTGGTTGAAGGCTTCGAGCATTTCTTGAAGGATCGGCAGAACTTCCCCATACAAAGCCTCGAAACGACCACCTCCGATGGCGCGGAAGAGGTTGCGCAGATTAAGGAAATAGTTGAGGGGTTCCGGAGCTTTTGCTGCAAGGGGAAAGGAGTCGAGAATGAGCTTGGCGAGATGTCGTTGCAGTACTTTCTCATTCTGCGCAGGGTACTGTGCAGTGGCTTGATAGCAGGCCTTGAACAACCTCAATGTGGCCTGCGCGGATGCCCGATCTTGGTGTCCCAATGTGGGGTACCGATCGATCAAGTAGCGCAAGAGGATGGAAACCATCTGCTGGGTTATGCGATCCGTGCTTGTCAGCTTGTACAACAAAGCCAGAAGTTGGGCGTCTTCCTTCGTTTGCTCGAAAAAGAAGTCCATATGGGTCATCCATACATCTTGAACGACATGAGGATCCATTTCGAAGAAAGTGATCGCCAACCACTCTAAGAGTTCTTTCTCTTCTCGACTCTCAGCACGCTCGGTGTTGAAGAACCCCATGCAGCGAACGAAGCCCTCGAACAAGGATCCCATCATGCTCGCATCCATGCTGGGCGTCTCCAATGACCGCATGCCTTGCAGCACTGCTCTCAGGCCGTGCATCAGCAATCGAACCAGATATCGAGTGTCCTTCTTCGCGTCGGCAAGCCCAACTTGCACAAAACCAGCTCCGGCGAAAGGCTTGGACCGTTCAATGGCGATGGGTGACATCTGATCGGCCCCATCAGGATCAGCTTCTACCGCAACGATATCGACACGGATGAGCTCAAGGTGCTTCAGCTTCTGAACGATGCTTTCGACCAGGCGAACCAGAAGTCGTCCAGCACGTTGCTTATCAGAGCACTTAACAAGCGATTCGACTAAATTCAACAGGAGCTTCGCGCAGACGGTGATGACGTCCGGTCCGAGTGCTGGGTTCAGCCATATTACTGTGTAGGTAACCAGGACCTTCTCGATTTGTTCGATTTTTAGCTCCGCTCGAACATGGTGAACCAAGTCGGCTAGCATGCTGTAACCGAGAGGTCGCAGATACTGGACTGCAGTCGCACCCGAGCCGATGACTATTCGTTCGTCCAGGAAGGCATCGATTTGGGTCTTGAAGTTAACTCTGAACTCTGTGTTGAAGATGTGGCGAATGGCGATGAGGAGCTCTCGGCGAACAGCAGCGCTTTCTCTCGGGATATCCTGCAATAACCGGACGCATATCTCGGGAATTTGCATCTCGTACTTGCGCAGATCTTCCACCTGAGCACGAATGACATATGCGAGGAAGGACATGCTTTTGATTTGGGCATTGACAAAGTCGAGGTAGACAGGTCGTAAGTCGCTCGGGATGTTATCTGTCATTCCAAGCTGCCGATCTCCACGCATGGTGGCAGCTTCGTGAGCGGCCTTTTGGGGAGCAGCTTGGACAGCCATGAACTCGAGTCTGGTCAGCATATATCTTGTCCACAGACAATGGAAGCGCTCACATTGATAACATCCGGTAGATACTCTCGTGCCACCTCGTTCATTCCATTCTTGAAAAACGTCTGCAGTGCGATCACGACCGCTATTGGGCATTCAACCAGAACCTTGAAGCTGTATATGCTTCGGGGAATAGTCTTTAGGTCATCCCTGGGGAAGTGCGGGCACTGGGAGAACATAAGCCTCGAAGATACACTGATGACAGCAACACGCACAGGTTGTTTGGGCTCGCCAAATATCTCGTTCACAATGACAGCTCCGTTTCTGTACATTTCATGCACCACCTTCAGGAACTCGCCCATGTTCGTTTCGATGGTCAGCTTGTACATCCTCGTGATATCAATAACCAGCTTGATACACGCAGTTCCAATATCCTCATTATCCACGCGCAGGAGTTTGATAAGGAGCTGCATGACCTCGTTCGCGTATTGCATGAAGGCATCGTTGTGTGGGAGCCGGTGGATCAAGTCCAAGACCGCGTGTCTCAATTTCTGACCATAGGCTATGAGACATAACCAAAAGAGAATGTCATGATAGCGTACCTGTTCAGACGAGTCCTTCACGAATGTTGCATGCTCTGGCGCTAAGAGCTTCTGCAACGAGGGCCAGACCACCTGGAGGAGGGCGCCGTACTCTGCATCCTTAGCGGCGTCAGCGAGTTCTTTCAGCTCAGTGAGATGTTGAATCTTCTGCTTAATCTCTGTAGTGCTGGTCAGTGCCTTGTCCCCCATGTGACGACAATATAAGTACTTACCGACCTTTGGGTCGCTTAACTTTGCAGCAATGGTCTTGGAGTCATGATGTGAAGTGCCATTCGTGCTGGCCATGACTCAGCAGGCGGACTGAGTTGCGAAGTTATCCCAGTGAGCGGCAGGTATTTTACAATCAAACGCTGCACTGGTATAGAGAAGTATGAGTGAGAGAGTGCACTGAATGAACAGCTCGTCGTCCGAGGCGACAAAGGCGACAATTACCGCCAGGGTGCACCTTCCTAATTAAGTAATGGCTGGGCTGTTAAGCTTTGTGTCCGTTTTGGCTCCGAAAGAGCGTGATTATCCCCCGCGCCTTGTGGGACGCGTCTGAAGCGCCCGCTGTCCCTTTGAATTCTTCCCCTGACATGAGGCGCTGTCCGCCTCAACGCTGTGGGTTACCGATCCTTCTCTCACCCCACCAACCACATGGCAGCGCCTTGATACACTTGATTATGGATCTGTTTTGCAATATTGCACGGTATTTACTAGGCCCAGGCTATTTATGGCTGTGCTAGAACAGTAAGGGGCTCGGTCATGCACGCGACTGGTGTCCGAGGCAGTCTTGGCTGCTTGCTTTTATCTAGGGGACAGCCCACTTCTGTCGCACTTTCCTCTCCCTTCCTTCACTCATCCAGCTGTCAACCACGGGGCGCAGGCGCCCTGCTCTTCATTCCAGCAGCGCAGGACGCTCGCTCAGTGCTTAACTAACCACACCTCCAATGGTGCAAGTTCGACTTATGAACGTAAATAACAGTACAACACCAGACGTAATACAGCAATTTCTGCAGAGCCCACAGGAGTGAGTTTCTTCAATGTTGCATGAAAGTGTTCAACTTATTCTGCTTGCAGCCGGGTAATCTCTGCTTCCTTCCTCGGCGCGGTCCTACTATGCTCGACATTCCTCTTCGTACGCGCACTGCTCCATGCTCTTCTCGGACATCGAATACGACGGAATGCGGCTCATACATTGGGGACACTATCAGATCGTTTAGCGAGGCTAGAGGCGAATGAGCAATTGCCCCGAGATGATCTGAGGGATGTGTTGGCCAGGGCGTTGGGTGGGAGGGCTGGGTGGGTGTATGATTCCAAAGCGTACAACATCAGAGTGGCGTTGATGATCATCTTCATCGGCTTGGCGAGTATATCTGGCCTCGTTCAGCTTGTCGATTTCCCAGTAGGTTCTTCCATCGCATGCGGTGCGTCCCCTTCCCTTTTGATCTACATACCTTCCTTGACCAACAACGTGTAGCATTCTTCACGGCATTCGGTAACATCTGCATCGAAGCCGCGTACGTGTGCGCTCTGTACGAGCTCTCTGTCGAGCTGGGGTCTTTGGGCATATCTAAGTGGGAAGTGATCCCCTTTCGGATCGTGATCATCGCTCCCCTCAGTGAGTGCGCCGCCGATGATCTGTTAACCCATGTCACTCACACAAACCATAGTCATGTGCATCGCATCACAAGTTCTCCGAATTGGCATAGTCTCGGGTTTGCCTGCACCTTTACCTACCAATGTTGGCTTTTGTTCACGTCAACGGTAAGCACATCCCTATACACCTCAGCTCCTCTCTAAGACATCACAGATTCGTTCCGCTCGCAGCAGCAATCGCGGGCGTCAACCTAGCTTTCGACATCTACTTCTTTGTCCGCTTCTACGGCACGTTAGTACCGTCATTCCTCCTCCTGCGCCATCGACTGGAAGCGATGATCGACGTCCGCTTCGCCTGGGTGCTAAGCCTCGTCGTTCTCGAGCTCTTCATCTGCGTTCCAACGTTGACAGTGACGAGCCCAACAGCACAAGACGTGCCTTTCTCCATAGGCGCCATCATCCTCCTCATAGCGTTCAACTTCCGTCCCATGCCCGAAGGGGCGCTGTCACCAGACTCCCCCGTCGCCTCGGACGCGGCCACCGCCCGGTCTACAGGGCGGAACGTCGAGCGGAACATCGAGACGGCGTCTACATCGTCCAAGTATGCGATAGAGGACTACGGGCGGGGAGGGTACGAAGAATACAAACAACGGTGGAGTGGACCGGGGATGGGTTCATCAAAGTCTACCCCAGGGCCAAAACGGTCCAGCATGCGTCAGTCCGGCGGAGTAGAGAAACACGTATCGATGCAAGTCCCGGGGGAGACGCCGCCCATGCCTCCCATGCCGCCCGTCCTGCCCATGCCTGCTGCCGTCTCTCCCATGCCTGCCGTCCCACCCGTTGCCTTTTTGCCCGAGTCTGCCAAACCGTGCAAGGTTCCCATCAGCGAGGCCTTTCCGCCCGTGTATGCCAAACCGCACAAGGCTCCCATCAGCGAGGCCGTTTCGCCCGTGTATGCCAAACCGTACAAGGCTCCCATCAGCGCGGCCTTTTCGCCCTCGCCCCTATCTGCCAAACCGCACAATGCTCCCATCAACCCGGCCTTTTCGCCCTCGCCCGTATCTGCCGAGGCTCCCATCAGCCCGGCCTTTTCGCCCCCGCCCGTATCTGCCGAACCGCACAAGGCGGCCTTTTCGCCCTCGCCCGTATCTGCCAAACCGCACAAGGCGGCCTTTTCGTCGCCCGTATCTGCCAAACCGCACAAGGCAGCCTTTTCGCCCTCGTCCGTGTATGCCAAACCGCACAAGGCTCCCATCAGCCCGGCCTTTTCGCCCTCGCCCGTGTCTGCCAAACCGAGCAAGGCTCCCATCAGCGCGGCCCTTCCGCCCCTGTCTGCCAAACCGTACAAGGCTCCCCTCAGCGCGTCAGACCTTGCGAGAGAGAAGCGAGGGAAGCGGCCCGCCGTGCCCGACCCTATCCCGGAAAGCTTGCCCACGCGCGTCGAGATCCTTTCGCCTGGCACACAGAGAGTACGCAGTAAACGGTATCCTATTGTCGTCCCTGGCCGGTCGTCACAGACTATGGCAGACGCGATCAACGCCCAGGCCCAGGCTGGCTCGTCGATCCCTCGCCCACTCCTTCTCCCCTCCTTAAGGGAACACGTGGTTGGTTCTTCCTCGTCGGGGTCGGGGTCGAAGCGCGGCTCAGTCCAGAGCTCGCCAAGACGACACAGCAGGCCTAAGCTGTACGTGTACATCCCTGGTACGCCGCCTGCGTCCGCTCCGGTATCACAACCAGTGCGACAACCAGTGCCAGTGCCAGCACCGCATCCAGCACCGTCCGTCGCTCGAGCCCCCCGCCAGCGCACACCCGAGCTAGACCCAATGCAAGCGATCGTTTCCCAACTCGCCGAAGCTCGCAATTCCGCCACCGACGAGAGGCCCAGCCCGAGCTCATCGGCTAGCGACCGCCGGCGGTGTCGGCGGTCCTCAACAGCGCACGCATTGGCCATCGTCACCCGTTCTCAGAGCGGGCATACCCAGAAACGGATCGAGATCGGGGACCGGGGAGAGGTGACGATCCAGCTCCGGACAAGGCCCGCTCCGCGTAGTACGAGCCTGAGGCAGCAGGAGAGAGACATGAGCATGAGTAGTAGCGAGAGGGAGGGTGTCACTTCCCCCAAACCTAGAGGTCCTAGGCAGCCTGCGAGCGCGAGATTGCCAAGTGCGCAGAGGACGGCTCCTGCTATTGGACAGCTGCCGTTTGAGAGACGGGCTGAGTGGCTATAGTGCTTTGCTTTGCTTTAATGTGGGTTGGCCCGGGTCGTTCGTAGAGTCTGTATGTCCTTAATCAATGGGTGTTGTACTGTCCATTTGGGTGAATCCGAAGTAAACGAATGAAAACTAGTGTACAACTCTAGCTTTCGGACAGCTTCACGAGCTTGAGTGTATCTACCCGGGATGAAGTGAAATGAGGTAACCAATACCCATGAATCCATGAACCCATGAACCGATGCACTCCGGCTGTGGACAGGATACGTCCAAAATTTCTTCGACGCTCAGCACCCGCACCCCGCTCAAGCACACGCACACGCACACGCACACGCACACGCACACGCACACGCACACGCACACGCACACGCACACGCACACGCACACGCACACGCACACGCACACGCACACGCACACGCACACGCACACGCACACGCACACGCACACGCACACGCACACGCACACGCACACGCACACGCACACGCACACGCACACGCACACGCACACGCACACGCACACGCACACGCACACGCACACGCAC